ATGGGCGGGTTGCCCCGTCATCCAGGACAGGCCTTGCTCCACAGATTTCCCGCTTGTCCGCTTGGTGCTTCGCTTCCTTCCTGCTCGGGCTGCTGGTGGAGGCGAGGGACGGGTCAGGGAGGGGCGTCGGTGGGCCACGAGAAGCGCCCCCTCCCATCCACCCGCCAGCTGGTGGGCGGCCTCATTCCCTCGCCCCTTCCTGCCTCTTCTGCACACACGGAGCAAGAACCAGCCCCTCGCGCCTGTAAAACAGGCTCTCTCTAACATTCCAGAGAAACCAAAAAGAAAAGTCACTGTTTTGAGCTTGTCTCTTTTATGGATACAACGAATAGTTTTGGCTACAACCATTGGGGATTGCACCAGCAGGGTAGAAAAACGCCTTTGCAATGCTTTGTTCTGATGCATGGCGTCGCCTTTAATGAAATAATGCGCCCCCCTCCCAGCCATGGTACGTTTGGGTTGACGTACAGTAGTAGCTGTCTGAAATAAAACCAAAGGGCAATTCGCTGCTTGGCTGCAATTTTGCAAATACAACTAAGGTCGTTGCTCTTTTGTAGTTCTCCCATTGCCAGGCAGATTTGATATTTGCAGGCCTCAATTTTGTTCTGTTCCTACGTTATGACTTTTCCACTTGTGCTCCTGCAAAGTAGGTGACTTTATTCATGGAGATCCTGCCTCGGTTTTTCTCTTCTTTTCTTAGAATAAGGCAGCAGCCAGCGAACCGGCTTTGTACTGAACCTTTTCTGAATATCTATTATAGTTGGTGAACAGTGAAGGGATCCTGTGCAGACATAGATGGAAATTGGATAACTATCAGAGGGTTGCTCAATGTGGATTATAAAATTTTTGCAGACATTTTGGTTAAAAGATTAAAAAAGGTGTTAGCAGAAGAAATTCATAAAGATCAAGCGGGTTTTCTCCCGGGCAGACATTTGTCAGACAATACGAGGAACATAATTAATATCTTAGAAAAATTACACGTGAATATTAATACTAAAGCAGTTCTGATATTTGTGGACACGGAGAAAGCCTTTGATAATATTTCTTGGAGTTTGATGAAGAAAAATTTACAGGGGATGGGGGTGGGTCAAGGTTTTGAAAATGGTATAAGTGCAATTTATTCAGAACAAAAGGCAAAATTAATTGTGAACAATGTAGTGACAGAAGAGTTTAAGATTGAGAAAGGAACACGACAAGGTTGCCCAATCTCTCCATTGCTTTTTATTTCGGTCCTGGAGGTTTTGTTAAATATGATTAGAAGGGACCAATTGGTTAAAGGTATACAAGTGGGAGCCAAACAGTACAAACTGAAAGCATTTGCAGATGACCTAGTATTGACTTTACAGGAGCCAGAATCTAGTACTAAAAGGGTATTGGAACTGATTCAAGAATTTGGACAGGTAGCAGGTTTTAAGTTGAATAAGATGAAAACTAAGGTCTTAGAGAAAAATTTAACTGTGAATGAGAGAGAAAAGTTTCAGGAGGAGACAGGATTAACATTGGTCAAGAAAGTGAAATATTTAGGGGTTAATATGACTGCCAAGAATGTGAACTTATTTAAGGATAACTATGAAAAATGCTGGATTGAAGTGAAAAAAGACTTAGAAATATGGTCAAATTTGAAGTTATCATTGCTAGGCCGAATTGCTGCGATAAAAATGAATGTGCTGCCGAGGATGTTGTTTTTGTTTCAAACGTTGCAGATCTTGGACAAGATGGATTGTTTCAAGAAGTGGCAGAGAGATATTTCTAGATTTGTCTGGCAGGGCAAGAAGCCTCGAATAAAATTTAAGATACTAACTGATGCTAAAGAAAGAGGTGGATTTGCCCTGCCAGACCTTAAACTTTATTATGAATCAGCTGCTTTTTGCTGGCTGAGAGAATGGCTGCTTCTTGAAAACACTGATGTGTTGGACCTAGAAGGTTTCAATAATGTATTTGGTTGGCATGCATACTTGTGGTACGATAAGGTAAAAGCACATAAAGCGTTTAAAAATCATATTGTTAGAAAAGCATTGTTTAATGTCTGGATAAGATTTAAGGATTTGTTAGAAAAGAAAACCCCAAGATGGTTGTCACCAATGGAAGCGAAGGCACAGAAAAAACTCAATATGGAGGCCAAATGGCCGAAATATTGGGAAATTCTGGAACAAGATGGAGACAGATTAAAATTGCAGAGCTTTGAAAAATTGAAAAACAGTGCGAGATTGGCTCCATTATTGTCAAATAATGGAGGCATACAATATGGACAAAAAAGTTGGTTTCCAGGTGGAAAAATCAAAATTGGAAACAGAATTGTTAGAACCAAAAACTAAGAATTTGTCCAGAATGTATAACTTGCTGTTGAAATGGAACACTCAGGATGAAATGGTGAAATCAGCTATGATTAAATGGGCACAAGATGTTGGACATAACATAATGATGCTGACTGGGAACAGTTATGGACCACAGGTATGAAATTCACGGCATGTAATGCCCTAAGAGAAAATTTAATGAAAATGATTTATAGGTGGTACATGACACCAGTCAAGCTTGCAAAAATTTACCATTTGCCCGACAATAAATGTTGGAAATGTAATGAGACTGAAGGTACATTCTTTCACCTTTGGTGGACATGCCCAAAGATTAAGACATTCTGGGAGATGATCTATAACGAAATGAAAAAGGTATTTAAATATACCTTTCTGAAGAAACCAGAGGCCTTTCTCCTGGGCATGGTCGGCCAATTGGTGCCAAAGAAGGATAGAACTTTTTTTATGTATGCAACTACAGCAGCAAAAATACTCATCGCGAAATATTGGAAGACACAAGATTTACCCACCCGGAAAGAATGGCAGATGAAGTTGATGGCCTATATGGAATTGGCGGAAATGACTGGCAGAATCCGAGACCAGGGAGAAGAGTCGGTGGAAGAAGATTGGAAAAAATTTAAAGACTATTTACAGAAATACTGTAAAATTAATGAATGTTAGAAAAATTTTGGAATGAAGTTATATGGCTTTAGTAGAAATGTTATAAGGAATTAAGTATAAATAGATTAATAGAAAATTAAAGGGAAAAATAAGGTTAAAATGTGTTAAGATAATTATAGGAGAGAAAACAGAGGAAGATGGAAAGGAATTGCTGAAACAATTAACAGAAGTGGAATACAAAAAGGGAGGTGTGAGGAGGTCGTGGAAACAAGTGAACGAAAGATAAGATAATGAAATGGTTTTGTTTTTATTTTATTAGTTTTATGTGTTAGCGTTTTGTAGTGTTTTTGTATTGTTTTTTTTTTTTGTAATGTTGTGTTTAAACTGTTGGAAAATTAATAAATATTATATATATATATATATATATATATATATATATATATATATGGAAATCGGATAACTATCAGAGGGTTGTGATTGTTCTCTCTCTCATTACAGTAATTCACAGTTTTAATAAAATAATGCCGTATCAATCTGAATTGGAGCTTTTGATTAAGAGTGCAGATGCACAGATCACTTTTTAAGCCTGGATGTTCCACGATTTCAAAACAAAACCCCAGAGAATTCTCTACCCCCAAGAAAAAAACCCCTCCAACAAAACAGATATCTAAATATGAGTAACACATGTGCATTTATTTTGAAAATAATTATCAGAGAACTCTTTGCTGCTAGTTACATGAAGTTTGCGCCCTGCACGTCTCGAGCCGAGGGAGGGGGCGAGGACCCGTGGCTGTGCCCTCGCCCCCCAACATGCACGCGATTCAGGCCGAGCGCTGCACCCTATTTGGGATCGGGGCCGGCAGGCAAGGCTAGGTGCAGTGTCGGAGCTGACTGAGCCCCTGGCCATGTGCAGTCTACCTGTACAGTGGGTAGGGGGCTGCTGCCGATCCAACCCATGTAAACAGTACGCTGCATAATTGCACAATAATCAACAGGTGAGAGGCGCTCATTAAAAGCCATTCCTCAGCTGCTCGATGGTGTTTCTGCAGGGGAATTCCAGATGAACGACCCTCCCACCAGCCGCTCCCTGCCTTAGCCCAGCCTCTGGCTGAGGGAATGAAAAAGACCCCAAGTGAGCGTGCAAGGCTGAAACGTTTCCTCTAACTTGAGCGAGCCCAACCCCCTGCAATGTAGGAATCTCCGCTAAAGCATCCAGGACAGATGGCCATCCATAAAAACCTCCAAGGAAGGAGAGTACGCCCCCTTCCGAGGAAGACTGTTCCACTGAGGAACACATTTTTAAAAAGCACATTTAAAAAAGGATTTTGAACCTCTTGCAATGCAGGGGGTTGGGCCAGGAGCAGAGCAAGGGGGTTGTGGAAAATTTCTTGTCACTCTCCCCGCCCATGAATCCCAAGCTGACAGCGAGCGGCCCCAGCAAAGTGGTGAAGCTCCCCCCCCCCTTTCCCTGGCTTGCTGTAGGCTTGGGAGTCATAGAGGGGTGACAAAAAAATTTCCACACCAGGTACCACCTGAGCTTGCTACTCCTCTGGCTCTGCTGAGATGTCAGTGGGATGCTCCCAGCCACAGCGGGGTTGAGGCCACTGGGGGGGGCGGGGCTCTGCGCAGTCTCCTTGGTTGTCGTGTTGGGAAACCCTGGTTACCCCCCAATCATGGTGGCGACGGCAGCCATGGTGGCAGTGCGGGCACCAGCCAGGCAGTGCCATTGGTGCTTGTGGTCCTCAGGAACTCCATGCTGCTGTGGCGCTTGCCAACTTGCCTCTCCAGAAGTCCATACTGCTGCACTTTCAGAAATCCATCCCTGAATGCAGTTCAATAATCACTACAAAGAATTTCAACATACTGCTGCCCTTTACTCCCCTTATAACAGATTAATTTTACACATAATCTGGGTGACAGATCTGCATCCAGGTTCAAGAGAGTTTAATATGGTTTAATGATTAGCTCGAGACAGCACCTAGCATAACATATATGCTGCTCACTGCAGTTGCAGGACATTGTCCTCAACCAAACTGCACTGTAGCTTTCCTTATAACCACTGCAAAACAAATTGCTTGCTGAAACAAAATGGATTGGACGGAGCCGATTCCAGTATTGTTCCTCTTTATCCTTATGGTTTCCTTTGTTTTGAAACTGGGCACTTTCTGGAACAAGAGCTCCCAAAATCTTCCACCAGGACCAAGGCCTTTACCTCTCATTGGGAATCTCCACATCATGGATCGCAAGAGGCCTTACAGAACCATGTTAAAGGTAAAGATTCCAGTTCTTCCCATGGCAAGGCTGAAGGGTACTGGGGCAGCCCAATCAGATGAGCGGAGTAGAAAATTAGTATTATTATTAATAATAGTATCAGTAATAGAATACATTTTGTTCTTTTAGAGCCTATAAATCTCATCTCCCCTTTGTATGCTACAGAACCGCCTCTTAACTTTCCCAATCATAGGACTTAGTTGCAATTTATAACTGGTAATTTGAACAAGGTGTCTGGGGGTGTCTGGTGTCTAATCCCGTTTGACTCTGCCTCCATTTTCAAGGATGCAAAAGTGCCAGTACAAACCTTGCCTAGCGCAGCCTCCTCCTTCAGCTTATCTTTCTAAACTAGATTTGAGAGGTGCCATTAAAGGTATAATCACTTTTATCCTTACAACTGCCTATGTTGTTCTGGTTTTCTGATTATTCCTAGCAAATATTTGTTCTGCCACAACTGAATAATAATAATAATTTATTATTTATACCCTGCCCATCTGGCTGGGTTTCCCCGGCCACCCAACAGACTAAGAATATGATAAAACATCAAACATTAAAAACCTCCCTTAAAAGGACTGCCTTCAGGTGTCTTCTAAAAATCAGATAGTTGTTTATTGCCTTGACATCTGTTGGGATGGCGTTCCACAGGGCAGGTGCCACTACCAAGAAGGCACTCTGTCCTGTAACCTGTAACCTCACTTCTCACAGTGAGGGAACCACCATAAGGCCCTGAGCCCTGGACCTGAGTGTCCAGGCTGAATGGTGGGGGTGGAGACGTTCCTTCAGGAATACCGGACCGAGGCCATTTAGGGCTTTAAAGGTCAGCATCAACACTTTGAATAGTGCTTTGAAATGTACTGGGAGCCAACGTAGGTCTTTCAGGACCAGTGGTATATTGTCTCGGCAGCCACTCCCAGTCACCAGTGTAGCTGCCACATTCTGGATTTGTTTCGGTTTCCAGGTCACCTTCAAAAGTAGTCCCACATAGAGCACATTGCAGTAGTACAAGCAGGAGATAACTAGAGCATGCACCACTTTGGCAAGACAGTTTGCTGGCAGATAGGGTCTCAGCCTGCGTACCAGACAGCTGTGTTGACACAGAATTGACCTGCGCCTCCATGGACAGCTGTGAGTCCAAAATGACTCCCAGGCTGCACACCTGGTCCTTCAGGGGCACAGTTACCCCATTCAGGACGAGGAGTCCTCCACACCTGCCTGCCTCTTGTCCCCCCAAAGCAGTACTTCTGTCTTGTCAGGATTCAACCTCCATCTGTCAGCCACCATCCATCCTCCAACCGCCCCCCGACACTCACACAGGACCTTCACTGCCTTCAATGGTTTTTATTTAAAAGAGAGGTAGAGCTGGTTATTATCTGCAAACCCCACAAGTGAGAGCCCAGGGGCCTGAACACTCATCCCCCAACACCACTTTCTGGACACAGCCCAGGAAGAAGGAGCAAAACCACTGTATAACAGTGCCCCCAGCTCCCAGCCCCTCTAGACGGTCCAGAAGGATGTCATGGTCGATGGTATCAAAGGCCACTGAGAAATCCAGCAGAACTAGGAAACAGCTTTCACCTTTGTCCTTAGCCGGCCGGAAATCACTGACCCGCAGTTTCAGTCTCATGATGAGGCTTGAATCCCAAATGGAAGGGATCCAAATGGACCGCATCCTCTAGACGTTCCTGGAGTTGTTCAGCAACCACCCGCTCAATCACCTGGCCAAAGAATGGAAGATTTGAGACTGGGTGGTTGTTAATGCAGTCTTGGTTCTGTCAGAGACGATTTGCATTAATATATTCTTTAGGTATGCCAGAACTCTGTTTCTCACTTTTTCTTCTGTTGAATTCCAGTTGTCAAAGCAGTATGGCCCTGTCTTCAGCATCCAAATGGGACCCCAGAAAACTGTGGTGTTGACAGGATATGAGACAGTAAAGGAGGCTCTGGTTAATCAGGCGGACGCATTTGCTGACAGGCCCATTGTTCCATTATTTCAAGAGCTTGCACAAGGCTTTGGTGAGGCACCTCCCTTTCTATTGGAACTGGTAATGCTTACAAACACACACTGGTCCCACCAGGTGAACACAATATGTTCCCAAGAAATGGTTTGTAAGATGAGTGTTTGCAAAGCAAGTCATCGAAATCCATTGTTTCTTGTGGGGGAAATCCTTGTGAATTTTTCAACCCACCTCAGTGCCTTTGACATTGACAGTGTATCTGCAGGCGTTAGGCTGAGAATGTGTCACAAAAAGTATCACCTGTGGATTTCTGCAGATAAAGCTAAAATGTTAAAAAGAGTAGACCAGGCCAACTTTTTTGGTCTTGACTTTCAGTGCTCAGTGGTGCTCTGTTGAAGAAACAAAAATGGAGACCATTTAAAGCAAACCTTTCCCATTCCCACCTTCTTCCCAACAGTCATATTGTAGAGGTGGGGGAGAATGAGACAGGAGGATTGTGAATAATAGTCACACAGCAAAGTAATGCCACACACCAAGGGGAAACTGACTGACCATTTTCTGCCCCAGCCTATATATAGAAGAAAAATGAAGGAGGCATAATGGAATACAAAGTAACAAGCAGAGTTCTGATGGGATCCCTGACATGTAAAAACCACCCTCCACTCTAGCCTACACTTTGTAATGGAAAATATTGATCAATGGGTTCTCAGGTCATGCTCTGATGGCACAGCTGCCAGCTGCTTTGTTAAAGCTCAGAAGTCTGAATGGGAGAATAGCTGGGATCCATTCTCAGTTCCATGAAAGAAATGCAGAACACAATTTATTGATATTTTTGTACAATGGCCATGCAGACATGAAACCTTTCCTCCCGTCTCTTTAGGTGTAATTCAGTCTAATGGTGAAAACTGGAAAGTGATGCGGCGGTTTGCTTTAAGCACATTACGGGACTACGGAATGGGAAAGAGGACCATAGAGGACAGAATTGTTGAGGAATGCAGTGTCCTGATAAAGAAATTTGAATCTTATGAAGGTGAGTTGGTGTTTTCCTCTGGTGCATAGCTACACTACCGTTGTTTAAAGGTGCCAAGACTATTGTGTTACATATTCCTAACTTCCAGAAGCACAGATCCCAGGGTTCCCTGCAATTGGTCTGTTCCTGTAATGTGCAGATTGCACTGCAATAACTCCTGTGACTTCCAAGCATTTCTTAGCCCAGCTACGGCAACATCCAGGGGAAACAGGAAACAGGAAGTTTTCTCCTGGCTGCTAGAAAGCATCCCATAGCATGTCCATTCTAGGAATGTTGTACTTGACTCCTATGTGTTTTACATCCCACATTTTTAAAAGTGTATTTTTGTTTAACTGTCATATTTATGTATAGGAAACCCATTTGAGACCACCACAATTATGAATGCAGCTGTTGCCAATATAATAGTGGCCCTACTACTAGACAAGCGATTTGATTATGAAGATCCCACATACATAAGACTTCTGAAGTTGGTCAATGAAAATATCCGACTCGTCGGAAGCTTTTCAGTCACGGTAATATATTTTTTACAATTAAAACAAACAAACAGTTGATTATAATAACAGTGTATGCAAAGTGGGCAGGGCTACCTGTTTATTGTATATTGTTCAGGGTTCACTACAAAACACAGAATATTGATATCTTGAGAAACCTGGTGCTAATTCAAAATATTTAGAAAACTCACACGGTACAGTCATCCCGTAACTATAATAAAGTCTCTTTTGCACACACGCTTTCTGGCCTCACTGCCATCGGGACTCCAAGGACAAGGAAGAAGAAGTGATTGTTTGTTCCATGATGGCTCAGAAGGGGCCTCCAAGGGCAGATCTCCCTCTCTGAAGGCAAGAGAACTGCCATAGCATATTATTTTGGGGTTGCACATAAATTATGCTATGCTGAGGTAGCCCACCCCCCATTCCAAATGGCATTCAAGAGTTTTGTTTTGTATTTGGGCAGTCATGCTCTGAGAGACCCAGCTGAGAGTACAATACTGAGTTTTTCTAATGTCTCTTTTCACATTTTTATCCTTTCAGCTGTATAACATGTTTCCTGCTCTTCGTTTTCTTCTGGGGGCTTATAAGACTATCAAGCAAAACAGAGATGAGCTGTTTGCCTTCATAAATGCCACCTTCATAAAACACCTCAGAGATCTGGATGAAAATGACCAGAGGAGCTTTATTGACTCATTTCTTATCCAACAGCAAGAGGTAATGGAGTCTTTTAAGTTGGCCCAGAATAAGCGTTGCCATTTTCAATTCATGTTTTGAGGGCATATTCGCAAGTGAATGCATAAGTTGTAGTCAGGAAGTCTCACTTCAGAAGGGACCAACCTGGCATACTTCCTCCCCTTTCCCAATAGTCGGCTATTGTTAATGTGTTACAGAAGTTGCCTCTGCAGGGTCAATGGTTGCATGCTCAACAGCATTTCTGGAAAAAAATCCCTGATCAAGAAAACATGTAATTATAGATAATTATGAAGTGATGAGAGGTAATCAAGTCATAAATATTGGTTGCCAGACTCCCTTTTGATACAAGGGGGGATGGGATAATGCCTCATGTGCTCAGAAGAAGGCGTTCTTCACACTGGAGGAGATAGGAAGCTTTGAGGGTGGGGAGGCATCTCAGAGCAAGGAAAAAACATTGGCCCATGCACCGACCAATCACCCTTAAATTATGCCTTCAGTTCTTTTAACCATTACTAAGATTGGAAATGAACATGAATTGGAGTTTCTGCTTATCATTTAATTAGCACCCAGAAAAGGAAACAGGTGGTTGGGTGACAACAAAGTTCTAAATAACAGGTTGGATATTATTTCTAAAATCTTAAGCTAATTAATGATGAGTTTGAAAAGTTAAAGCAGATATACAAGCCTGGTGTGCTGGTCCCATGGGTTACCCGAGAGGCGAGGTCCAAGTCCGGTCTGTGGTCAAAGGCGCAACATGGAAGCAGTCCATAGTAGCTGAAGCTGGGTGCAGGGCAGGGAGTCGGGTGAAGTCAGGAACAGGCATGCAAGCAGGGAGACAGCGCGGGTCATGAGCTCAGGCAGGAAAGCAGGACAGGGTCCAGGCAGAAACTAGCAACCAACAATGTTGCTCTCGCAAGCTGGGACTGGGGCTGGCCGGCTTTTATCTGCCCCGAGGCATAGGGCGGCCCCGATCTTCTGGTGATTTGCCTCTCCTGGCCTGGAGGCGAGCACTCCTCCTGCAGGAACTTAGTTCCTTCCTCCTCTCTGCCCTGAGCCTCTGCAGCTCAGAAGAGGCTTGACTGTTTCCGGACCCAGAGGCAACCTCAGCTTCCTCTGACGGGGCTGAGAGTGGAGTACCTGCAGGCAATGGGTCCTCCATCACCTCAGGAGCCAGAGTAGACTCAGCTGATGCCTGCACCTGAGGATCCAGCACAGGTGAGGACCCTTCAGGCTCAAGCCCCAGCCCTGGCTCAGCTGGTTCTGGAGGTGGGGAATCCTGTGCAGGCTGGGATCCCTCAGTTTCAGCCTCCGAGTCCGAATCCCAGGCCATCACACCTGAATTTGCTTTTAACTTTCAATCTACATTGCCTGTAAAACTGTTTTCTTCCTGTCTTTCCCGTGCTATCCTGACTGGGAAATAAAAGTGAATTCTATCTGCATCACAAGGGCAGCATAACGGAGACGCTCAAGGGTGTGTGTGTCTCATAAATCAGGCAAAAATAACTGACTCCTTCATTGCTTCTTGAAAATATATGAAAATGCCATAATGAACAGTTAGCACAGTTAAGAGATGAGATGTGCAGAAAGTTTGGAGAGATTTAATCAGAGATGCAATTGCAGATGAAATAATCTATAGAACCTGTGGGAAAAGACTTGGACTTTTCCCTGCCTAAATGGGGAAACAACAGCTTTACAGCTGTATAAAGGGATGAAACAAATAAAAGAAGCTGTTGTGAAAATCTGAATATTTTGAATAATAGTTATATACATAATTCACATACAGAGATGCGGAATACTACTTTTCTTCCTTTGCTTTATTTTATTTTTTAGCTTGCTTTTTCTGTGACTTTTAATCATTGTTAGTTCTCTGTACGTTCTATTTGTATGTATGTTTTGTTTTTTGAAGTTATATATTTTGGATAAATGAAGATACCCTCAGGAAGGAGATGGACCAAAGATGGACATCTGTGTGAGATGCAGAGAGGATCCCTCAGGGTGGGAAGCTGAGGAAAGAGGTGGGAACTGGGAGGGTTCGCTCTTCTGGGTCTGGAATAAGGGTTAAGGTATAAATAATAAAGATCTTAGAATTGTTATCCTTCCCCTTTCTTTTTCTTTTTCTTTTCTCTTTTAAAAAATTCTCTTCTTTTTTGGTTTCTAGTTTGTCCTGCTGCAAATTCACAGCAGTCTGAGACTGAGCCACTTTTAGATCGGCAGGATGGCCATTTGGGAGAGCAGATAGGGGGGAAATGGTAGAAAGGAGAATTATTGGATGCTAAGATCCAAGTTTTGGGCAAGTACTGTTTCGTGAGAGAACTACAGCATAGATTTAAAAAGGACAAAATATGCAGCAAAATAATAGTGGAAATATAAGTTGTTGAAAAGCATCTTTTAGCATATGTACCAAATAAAGGTTCTAAACAGCTAAGAAGTTTTAATATTTTTTCACTCTGCTTTTGATCCTCCGCCTCACTTGTGAATCTGCTGGTTGTAATGTGAAACTGCATGGCTGCACCTTTGTGAGAGAGAAATGCTAGGAATGTATCCCTGATAAGCAAGGACTGTGTGGATCTTAGAAAAAGTGCTCAGTATGGTGAATATCCCGAAAAACACACCACTGTTGGTCGGTGCCGTACGGCAACTATTGAATGAACAATTGGATGAACTCCTTCCTCTCTTCACTCCCTTCTGGCTCCCAGCAGGACAGGCAGCTACTACAACCAGCAACTCTATCGGTGTTACTCTTCCTGTTAGAAAGTGTGGCTGAAGGGAGTTGCAATCTCAAAAATATGGAGGGCACCACATTGTCTATATCAGTTTAATGAAACAGTTCCAGATGAATATGTGGTATTTCTGTGTCATTTTTCCAGTTTAGACTATGAGTAAATACATTAAAGACTATGAGTAAATGCATTAAAGAAGTTCAACTGAGAACCATATATGTCAGCAGAAAACAACACTTTATGGTAACGCTGATTTCAGATCTCCACAAGTGTTCGCCAGAAATTCTGCCTTCCATGTATGCAATCATAATACTGTTGCAGGTTTGTGGGGTCAGTCTGCATGATGCCTGAGCACGTTCCAGCTTGTGGGGATCTTGTACCCAGTAAGGGTTAATTCTAATGGAACTGAATCTATTATTGAATCAGGCAGACAAGTTTCTTTGTGAGATGAGGGCCATATACTTGTCATCTAAATACTGCCGCTAGTTCCTTTGTCTAAACAAAGGCTGTTGGCTAAGGAGTTAAGCACCACGATTCGCATCAGAGAAGGAGGAGCTGGATTGCCTAGCTTCCCCGACCTCCTCTCTTAGCTGGTAGATGGTGAACAACAGCTGTGACTACGGAGAAGCAAGACGTTTTGTGGTCTTGATGCTGAGCCCCTCTATCTTATGCTCGGGTTGTATATATGTGTAAATAAACCCTATATCGGACTTCCTGTTTCTTGCCAAGGGATATGGCTGCTTCCCAAGAGATAGGACACCCAGTTGTGCCAGAAATTCAAGACTAATATGAGGGTAATTTGTCCTGCTGACCCCTCCAGGGGATGAGGGGGCTGTCTCACCCACAGATCGTCTGAGATCTGTCACCCACAACAAGATGTTGGGGCAGAGGACGCTGGGTGCTGGACCCTGGCACAGAAGAACTCTCTGGATTCAATCTCTCGAGCAGGGACACCTGTTTTTAAAAATTACTAAGATTCAGACCAAAAACGGGCGTTTCTTGGATGGAGGAAATGAAAGAAAAATCTGCTAAATTATACAGTTGCTTGGGCTGAAGTGGCTTGGGCTGAAGAGGAGATAAGATGGCTGCGGTTGCTGCACACTTACAAAAAGAAGAATCCTCCTTCCCCAGAGAGGCTGGAAATATTTTCTCGATTATAAAAAGGGGTGTATTTTACATAAAAATGCATTTGCTTGCATGGATATATTTTTACACATGGTTTGAAGAGAGAGTGACAGCAAATTTTGGGTGCCTGCTGGTTTTCCTAGGGCCCGGGAAAACTGGTAGGGGGATATGGAGTGCATAGAAGAACAATTTCTATATAACTTACTGTTTATGAAGCACACCCTCACCGAATTGCATTTACTGGACACATTCAAAACATCAGTTCATCAAAAGAGAACAAAGAGAAAACTTGGCCGTTATTCTTAACTTTGGATGGAAGCCCAGGACTTTCAGCAGAGGGAGGTGCCACCAAGAGAGAACTATCTTTTAAAATAATCTAAGAGAGGGAAATATTGAAATAAAAGCTCCTGTTAAAACAAGATTGGGAGTCACATACCAGTGAATGATTGATTGAGAAGACAAGGATGGTTAATCAGAATTTGGAAACTGGAAATTAACAAGAAAGCAGAAAACAAATAAATATATTATCTCTGAAACCCAGGAAATGAGGAATCCTACCTTTTAAATTTCTTTGAATTTGGAATATATAATTGGTAATATGGTATATTATTTCATTTAATTTGTTAATAATTGTAATATTTTTATTGGAAAATTAATAAACCTTATTTTAAAATAAATAAATAAACCCTATATCATCCTGATGGCATAGTCTGGAAAGCCTGGCATCTCTCACTACTTAGCTACTGAAGTGATGTGCAATGATACTTTGGATCATCGGGTTCAGTCAGGTATTCATTTTCATCTTTGTACATGAAATTTTCTCACTGCATCCATTCTAATCAGTTCATACTCTTTGCAACCCAGGAGGAGAAGAAGAAGAAGACGAATGTATATTTCCATAACAAAAACTTAAAAGCTGTTGTGGCCAACTTATTTGGTGCTGGCATGGAGACCACTTCTACCACACTGTGCTGGGGACTGTTACTAATGATGAAATATCCTGAAATTCAGAGTGAGTGCTTTTAATTGGGTTGGCTCCCATTATTCTGAGATATCTTAATTCCAGTTATATGTAACTATTAGAGAGAGAAAATATTTATAATTTGCATATATATATATATATATATATATATATGTGTGTGTGTGTGTATAATCACAACAATTGTTCAGTCATAAGCTTAACATTTCAACCTGCACTCCCTTCTCCCTCTTTCTGTGGTTCTTTACATTTCGATTCATATTCCTGCATACTCCAGATTATCTCAACATATTATTTTAGATATATATTCCCGTATATATCCAATAGATATATTGAAACTGCGGGTTTTTACATTAATCCTGCCAATGTCTTAGTATGTTTACAGTTTGTTTGTAAATTTGTAATAAACCATTTCCATTGCTTTCTAAAAATAAGAATAATCTTGTTCTCCGAGTACATTTTGCCATTTCTGCGTAGTCCATTAATTTCTGTATCCATTCTTCTCTTGTCGGGACCTCTTCATCGTTCCATTTTTGAGCAAATATTAATCTTGCAGCAATGGTTGCATAAACAAATTTGTATGAATTTATATAAATGGCATACATAAATAAATTTCTAAGTACTCTATACTAAATAAATTTCTAGGTAGTTCTGATCTCATAATTTCCAAAAGAAAAGCTTATGGCTTTTTAAACATCATAAACATCTTTTTCAGTTTATCATATATCATTTCCCAGTAAACATATGAAAAATAGTACTTTCTTTCTCTTTATGTTTCCAGCACATATTCAGTTTGGATTTATACATTTAACCAATTTACTAGGTGTCAGGTACCATCTATGTAACATTTTCATATAGCTGTCTCTTAAACTAAAACATTCTGTAAATTTTATATCCACGTTTGATAAACTTTCCCATGCCTCCATTTCTGTATTATTACTAATATCTATTGCCCAGTGTATCATTGAAGATTTCACTTGTTCGTCCTTTGTCTCCCATTCCAATAAGATCTTATACATTTTACATATCACTTTAACATTACAGTTTAACAGGTCTCTTTCCAGTTGTGATGTTTGTTCCGCAACCCCCCGCTTCATATCCCTTTTAAAGACTTCATTCAAATGATGATATTGTAACCATGTTGTTAACATCTCTGATAAATCTTTTTTAAAAATTAATTTACCGGTAAATTCTCCAAAAGTGAAAGCCATAGTGGTGTTTTGGTCTCCAACAGGTTTTTATACTTATCCCATACTCCATACATTTTCCCCCCCTGATTATATGGTTTGTAAATCCTTTATGTACTTTCACATTTTCATACCTCAAGTAAGCGTGCCAACCAAAAATATTATCATGACCTTCCCAATCTGAAATATGTGGATTATTCAGTAACAATCATTCCCTCAAACAGCATAGACAAGATGCTTCATAATAAAATCTCATATGCAGCAGGAGGAAACCTCCTTTCTCTTTCATCTGTCAATTTTTTATGTTTTATTCTTATTTTTCCTTGTCAGATATATTTAGAAATATATTTTTGCCATTTGTTGAAACAATTTGTCGTCCTGATCACTGGTATTGATTGAAGCATTCCATGACCTTTTAAAATGTGGTTTTTTTGTAGGGGGGTTATTGGGTGGTTGTTTTTATTTTGATTATGTATTTTGTGGTTTTCTATTTTGATTTTATTCTGTGAATAATAAGGATAAACAAAAAGAATATTGTCAGTGATACATTCATTTTAATGGTTGAAGTAATGCAAGTTTCATTCTACTCCATATTTGCAAATTTATTTTAATATCCTCCCAAATTTTTAAATAATTATCCTTATAGAAATTCATATTCTTGCTCTTAACCACACACCCAAATATTTAATCTTCTTTTCACTCTTTAAGATGGATAAACTTTGTAATTTATTTTTACTCTCATCATTCATATTTTTTACCAGGAGTTTGGTTTTATCTTTGTTAATTTCAAGACCTGCTATTTCTAAAAAAATAAAATAAAAAATCTTTTCCAATGCCTTTGGGATTGACTCTATTGGTTCCTCAACAAATATCACCACATTAACTGCAAAAGCTATTATATTATACTATATTATATTCATATTGTCTCTTCCCGCTTTTATTCCCACTTATTTTTTTTTATTACATCTTATTTGTGCCAAAACTTCTAAAACTGTTATAAACAATGAAGGTGACAGTGGGCAACCATGTCTACTTCCTTTAGTTATTTTACAATTCTCAGTCAATACATTACTTACTGATGGATCAGTATATATTGAGTTAACTCCTTTTATAAAACTGTCTCCACAAACCATATATTCCAAAGCCTTAAACATATAAAGTTCCAGGAGACATTGTCAAATGCTTTCTCGGAGCCTAAATGCTTTCTCTTTTAATACAGTTTTAAACATATTAGCTAATGTGTCTACAAACAGTTTATAATCGTTATCCAACATCGAAATAGGTCAATAGCTCTTAACCAGCTTTGGATCTCTATTTTGTTTATGAATCAATGTTATGTATACACTCTTCTGGGATTTGGGTAACTGTCCTGTATTCAAAGTTATAATTATAATATCTTTTAAAGGTTGCATTAGGTAATCTTGTAATTTTTTAATACAGTGCTACCTCGCAAGACGAATGCCTCGCAAGACGAAAAACGCGCAAGACGAAAGAGTTTTCCGTTTTTTGAGTCGTTCCGCAAGACGAATTTCCCTATGGGCTTGTTTCGCAAGACGAAACGTCTTGCGAGTTTGTTTCCTTTTTCTTAAAGCCACTAAGCCGCTAATAGCCATGCTTCGCAAGACAAAAAAACCGCAAGACGAAGAGACTCGCGGAACGGATTAATTTCGTCTTGCGAGGCACCACTGTAATATATTGCTGAAACTCCATCAGGTCCGGGTGCCTTCCCTAATTTTGCCTGTAAAATTACTTGCTCTAAAATCATCATTGTGACAGGGCTATTCAGAAATGACATTTCAACTTTTGGTATCTTAAGCAGTCTGTTGTCTTCTAAATATTTACCCATTTCTTCTACCTTAACTCATTTGCCTTAATATGGTGCTGTATAAAAACTCACAAATTGATCTATTATTTTTTTCAGATTTTCCACAACTCTACCTCCTACCTTTATTCTCTCAATGCAGTTTTTCTTCTTTCTTCTTTATTTGCCAAGCTAATAGTTTTCCTGTTTCTTGGAGGCATATAACTTCCAGTTTTAACTTCTTTACAACATGATCAATTTTATTCATTTAGTCTTATTATTTTGCTTATTTACATTCCCAGTTAGAATTTTGAAAGCCATCTTGTTCCATAGTTATTTCTCTTTCGCCTCCACCTCGGTTGAATCTTCCTCTTCCTGTCCAAATGCTCTTTCTCCAGCTAATTTTCCACCATCTTTTCTCCAAAATTTGTATGGCTCGGTAGGATCACGAAATATTTGGTTTTTACCATTATATGTAAAAGATACCACTTCAGGATATTCCCAGCAGTGATATTTTAATAATCATCCTGGATAAAATTCCCTACATCAGTATATCAGGTTATTGGCTAAAATGTTTTTCCTGTTTAAAAAATACCAGTGTCACATTCTAGAGACTAAGTATGTGAGTATATTCCCTATTTGTTTGTCTTTTGCCTCTACCTCTGTTGAATCTTCCTCTTCCTGTCCAGCTTCCAGTTCAAATGCTCTTTCTCCAGCTAACTCTTTCCCATATTTTCTCCAGAATTTGTCAGGGTCTGGAGGATCCCCAAATCTTTGTTTTTGACCTTTATGTGTAAAAGATACCACTTCAGAATATTCCCAGCAGTGATATTTTAATAATCATCCTGGATGCATATCTCTCCCTCAGTATATCAGGTTATGGTCTAAATTGTTTGTTTGTTCTTCTTAAAAATACATTTGTTAAATTCTAGAGATTAAATTTCTGAACCTCTGGAATTGTAGAACGAGTTTGTGGCAGTTTTATGCTTCAGATATTAATTTTTAAGTCAAAGACATAATCTGAGCAGAAAAATTAATGCTTTTCTTTCTTTCTCCCCCCCCCCCCAGTAAAGGTCCAAGAAGAAATTGCAAAGGTTGTTGGATCTTCTCAGCCAAGAATTGAACACCGAACAAAAATGCCTTATACGGATGCCGTGGTCCATGAGATCCAGAGGTTTGCCAATATCATCCCAACTAACCTGCCACATGCCACGACTACAGATGTTACCCTTAATGGCTACTTCATTCCAAAGGTGATCCATTTCATTGAACTGCTGCCCACTAGTTACAATATATTTTAAGGCTTTCCTGGGAGTAAGCCCCTTGGACTTCAGTGTGGGTGACATCTGTGCAGACTTGTATAGAATTGCATTGTAAGCAAGCAATCTACCCTTCGGAAGGTGTCAGGCATCAGCTTCAACCCATTAAACAGATCTCAGTGGAAAGGAGCACAAGGTTGGAAAAGAAACCATTTCTAGTGGGATATCATGACTTATACGTTAAAGTTTGTCACACTAAAGACATTTCTTAGATGAACTGAAATCTCATTTCTCCTACACTAAATATTTATTGTACCAGAGGCATACACTTTATTTTAAAATGACTCTTGCTTTGTTTTTGCAGGGGACTCACATCATACCATTGCTGTCTTCTGTGCTGCACGATGAATCTCAATGGGAGAAACCACATAAATTCTATCCTGAACATTTTCTTAACTCTGAAGGGAAATTCATAAAGAGAGATGCTTTCATGCCTTTCTCTGCAGGTATTTTTTTTTACTTTTGTGTATACCTGCATAGTGTGTGCTTAGTCAATGGGATTTTTACATGCATGGAATGTAGCCTATTGTGCAAAGGTAAGAATCACATCAGTTCCTGTGGTCATTTCTGCCACTAGATCTGGCCACCATTGGTGTGCGGCCCCTAGAATGTTGCTCTCCAGGGAATGTGGCCCTCAGGCTGAAAAGACACCCCCCCCCCCGTTTTTCAGCACTGCAGGATGACTCGTATTGGGAGGTCATAATTCTTTTAAGATGGGCACCGTGAGCTGTTATTTGATCTCTGCATTTTAGTCTGCTTTAAAGTATTTGGGATGTTAGTAAGCAACTGCTAAACCCAGTTTCTCTGCTGCCTGTGTGTCCTTACAGGTCGGAGAGTATGTTTAGGTGAGACTCTTGCCAAAATGGAGCTCTTCCTCTTCTTCACAAGTCTCCTGCAGAGATTCACCTTCCAGCCACCCCCAGGAACATCTCAGGAAGACCTGGACCTTACTCCTGCTATTGGGCTTACAACACCTCCCATGCCCCACAAGCTCTGCGCTCTGCCACGTTTCTAAGACTCACAAGCTCCTGGCTTGCTTAACCTACCTGTGTGTGCAATGCAAGCCTTTCTTAAAACACCCCTGTTCTGCAAGGGTATTTGGGTTGAGTAGCCTAGTGGTGGAATTGGTGCATGCTTTGTCACAAATCTTGTGTTCCCCTTTACCTGCCATACTGCCAAATCCCGAGAAACTAATACTGGAGAATCTCTTAAATAAAACCTGGCCCTGAGTTCTTATGACACTTGGGGCATAGAGATCAATCAACAAATCTGATTGCATGTATTCCCATGTTAACATATACTTTCAAAGATCTTGAAGCATCATATTCCCAAGTAGATGTGAAGATAATTGTGACCAAGACGATAAAAGGTTGTTTTCTGCTGCTCCAGAGAAGCGGACACGGAGCAATGGATCCAAACTACAAGAAAGAAGATTCCACCTAAACATTAGTTTCAGGGAACTGACATCGGAGCTAGAGGTGGAGGGAAGGCTCTCTAATGATGCTGGAGAAGGGCCCAGCAGGGAGAGAGGCAGCTCAGCAGATGGGGAAGCAATTCAGTGCAACACCAGGAATAAGGAGGGGCAGATGGGGGGAATCGGCGAGAGGGCTCGCAGACTCTTCACCGGACACCAGCGGGGAGAGCACTGGTCCTCCGCTACCCACGCCCTCCCTGCGCAGAAGACTTCCGCGCAGAGAAAGTAGGAGGAGACTGGGTGTCAAACAACTTTTATGTTGGAAAAGGTTTAAGAAACGCCCACTGACGGATTCTGCTAGCGACTGAGGCAGCCACGAATTGAAGGGCTGTCCAGACAGAAAGGTTTAACAAGGCAACATAGCCAGGAGAGGCGGCAACTTACGCACGAGCAACCCCATACCATTATAGCAATCCGTCAGTCGCTGACGTTGCTTGTGCACAGCGGCAGGCAGCATCATGAGCAAAACCGGAGAAGCTGGCACCACGGAGGGAGCAGCAGGAGTGCAAAATCTGGTGGAGAGGAACCGAGATTTGGAGCAGCATGTGGCTCTTCTAACGGCGCGGCTGGACGAAAGGCGGGCTCAAGATGCACAGGTCAGACCCACCCCGTAGCAAGGAAGGTACCGGGACTGGTACACAAATTTGGAGGGAAGCCTCAGGACTATAGTGCGTTCCGGACGGAAATAGAGTACGCTTTGGAACTGCAGCAGAATGATTTTGCAGACGACGGGGAGCGGGTGGCTTATATTGTTGGGCATCTGCAGGATGGGGCCAGGGAATGGATCAGGCCCCTAATGGCAACGCAGAATGCCGCCTTGAAGGACCTGAGGAAATTTTTTCAGGCGATGGATGCAATGTACTCCAGTGATGTGCAGCAAAGTGTGACTCGGCGGGAACTGATGAACTGTAAACAGGGGCACCAGTCAGTTAGAGACTACTGGTCACGCTTTGCCATGTTAGTTCACCGGCTCGGGTGGGAACTGGACTCTGAACCCATTCAAATGTTGTTTGAGGAGGGGTTGTCCCCAACGGTGAAGGACGAGCTTTCCCGCGCACCCCGCCCGCAGTCGATGGATCAGCTGACCAAGGCTGTGCTTGCGATTGGTGTAAGGCAGGAAGCGCGGGCTCAGGAGAAGCGGGAAGGGAGAGAGCAACGTTACCATGACTACCGCATTCCTGAAATACCAAGGCAGCCTTCCCCGCCGGCGGAGCCAATGGAAATAGATGGGGCGCGCACGCGGGAGGTTTCAAATTCCAGCAACGGTCGCAAGAAGAAGGGAAAGGATTGGAAAACTAATAAGAAGTGTTTCCTCTGCCAGCGGCCAGGACATTTAGCCAGGGTCTGCCCTCAAAGAAAGGCCTGGCAAGGAATGGTGGGAGCTGCAGGGGGTGAGGAGGAGGTGGAAAAAGCAAAGGAGATGGGAAACGACAACGCTTGGCTGCCACTCAGCGGGCACAGCAGCCAGGCCAGCAACCAATAGAAGTGCCCCAACCAGACCCCCCCAGGGCGGCTATAGCCATAGAAGTTGTGCTAGAACTCCCAAATGGGCACCCAGTCAAGGTGAAAGGGCTGTTGGATTCAGGCAGTTCCTGCAATTTCTTCAGCAAGGACTTTGCACTAGAGCACCAGCTCCACCTGCTGCCCTTAGATTTCCCCTTGCAAGTAACCACCATTGATGGCAGAGAGCTGCTGGGAGGGGAAGTGACACACCAGACCCCACCAATGAGAATGAGGGTTTCCAGGCACTCGGAGACCATCGCCTTTCATGTAGCCTCACTGGCAGGGCCCCCAATAATATTAGGGATGAGCTGGCTAGCACAACATGATCCAGTGGTGGCGTGGCATCAGAGGACGTTCACCTTTGGGTCCGCTTACTGTTTGTAACACTGTCTAGGGGGGGAAACCCCAAGAATGACCATGGCCAGGGTGGCTGGGATAGCTGTGGAGCGGAAAGGGGAGGTGCCACCACAATATGCTGACCTGCAGGAGGTCTTCAGCGAGAAGGAGGCAGATAGACTACCCCCCCATAGCCCCTTTGACTGCCAAATCAACATGCTCCCGGGGGCGCAGCTGCCGGTGGCTAAACTGTATGCCATGTCGGACAGGGAGATGAAGGAGTTGCGGGAATTTATTGACAAGAACCTGAAAAGAGGCTTCATAAGAGAATCGAAAGCGGTGGAGGGCAGTCCAGTGTTCTTTGTGGACAAAAAGGACACAAATAAGCCCAGGCTCGTTGTGGACTATAGGGCCATCAATTTGGTGTCGGAACCCGTGACCTTCCCGATGCCCAGGATTGACGACATTTTAACACAGGTGAGGCAAGGGAAAATTTTTACCAAGCTGGACCTCAGGGGAGCATACAATTTGATTAGGATGAGGGAAGGGGACGAATGGAAGACCACAATGTTCACACCCCTAGGGGCCTTTGAGTACCTAGTTATGCCTTTTGGATTACAGTTGGGCTCCGCCTGTTTTCAAGCATTCATGCACCACGTGCTGGGGTCCCTGCTGTACAAGAACTGCGTAGCCTTCTTGGACGACGTCTTAATCTATTCGGACAATGAGGAGCAACATGTCAGGGAAGTGCTAAAACGACTGCAGAAGCACCAGTTGTGGGTCAAACTGGAAAAATGTCAGTTTCACGCCAGAGAAGTCGAGTTTCTGGGGTACAGGTTGTCAGACAAGGGCCTAGCGATGGACCCAAGCAAGGTGCAGGCAGTGCTGGAGTGGAAGGCTCCCAAAACCCGGAAGGACGTGCAGAGGTTCCTAGGGTTCAGCAACTTCTACAGGAAGTTCATCAAGAACTTCGCCCACTTGACAGCGCCCATCACAGATTGTCTCAGTAGCAAAAGGAAGTTCGTCTGGACAGAGGGAGCCCAGCAGTCCTTTGAAAGACTGAAGAAGGCGTTCGCATCGGAAGAGCAGCTCCTGCACGTGGATCTGGAGAAACCCATGAGGCTAGAGACCGACGCGTCCGACAGAGCCATTGGGGCGGTTCTTATGCAGCCAGGGAGGAGCAAGCAGGAATGGAAGCCGTGTGCCTTTTTCTCGCGAAAGCTGAGCAAATCGGAGCAAAACTATACTGTGTATGACCGTGAACTGCTTGCGATCTATGCGGCGTTTCGTCGATGGCGCCATCTACTAATAGGGCGCAGCACAAGATCCAGGTTTGTACAGATCACAAGAACTTGGAATACTGGAGGACCGCACGAGTACTCAACCAGAGACAGATTCGATGGGCACAGGAGTTCTCCAAGTTTTCCTTCGAAATCCGATACGTACCTGGGGAGGAAAACGTGAGAGCAGATGCGCTCTCCAGGAAGCCAGAGTACTGGGAAGGAGAGGGGCCGCCGGAGATACGACACGTGATCCCCGAGGACCGGTGGGTGTGTGGGGGAATCTTGGTGGGGAAACGAGAACTGGCCGGACTCACTAGAAACGACGTGTTCGCACAAACTAAAATCCGGGAAATCCGAGATGGAAGAGAAACCCAGGGAGGGTTTGAGGAGAAGGAAGGGGTGCTGTACTATAAGGGGGCGCTGTATGTACCGGGGGAGACCCTACAGGGGAAGGTACTCAAACAACTGCACGACAATCCCACAGCTGGACACTTTGGACAGCACAAAACCATGATGCTTGTCACCAGGCAGTTCTGGTGGCCCAGGGTGAGGGAGGATGTACGGGAATATGTACGGGGTTGCGACCGCTGCCAAAGGGCAAAGGGGGAGCGGGCTGCCCCCGCAGGATTACTGGAACCCTTACCCACGCCGGGAAAACCCTGGGAGGTGGTGTCCATTGATTTTATGACCGATCTGCCCAAGTCCCGGGGAAAGACAGCAGTCATGGTAGTGGTCGATTTACTGACAAAAATGTGCCATTTTATAGCCTGCTCACATGCGGTTACGGCAGAGGAAACAGCCAGGTTGTTTGTAGATCACATCTTCAGGTTGCATGGAGCTCCCTCGAGGGTTATCTCCGACCGCGGGAAACAATTTACTTCCTGGTTCTGGAGGAAGCTCATGAGCTTGCTACAGGTCGAAGTGGGCTTCTCGACGGCGAGACACCCGGAAACCAACGGGCAAGCAGAAAGAGCGAACAGTATACTCCAGCAATACCTACGCTGTTACGTCAGCGAGAGGCAGAACGATTGGGTGGAGAAACTAGCGCTGGCTGAATTTGCGTACAATAACGCTGAACATGTGTCCACGGGAATGAGCCCGTTCATGGCCAATTATGGGTGTCACCCCAGGGCCTTCCCGGGGAGTGGGGAGGAAAGTTGGAGCGTACCTGCGGCAGAGCAGTTTGTGGAAGAAATGGAGGCCCTGCACCAGCAACTTAAGATGAACTTGGAGCGGGCCAAGGAAATTTACAAGAGGCAGGCAGACAAGCACCGTAGGGAAGGGGAAACCATACGGGTGGGGGACAGAGTGTGGTTGTCAACCCAAGGGTTACCCTTTAAGGGGGGGTGCAAGAAGTTGCAGCCCAGGCGGCTGGGACCGTTTGAGGTAACACAGCAGGTGAACCCCGTGGCATTCAAGCTCAAGTTGCCTGACAGCATGAAAATACACCCGGTGTTCCATAGGTCCCTACTCTCACCGTACAGGGTGGGGCTGGAATTCCCTGGGCGAGAGGGAGAAGTCACCACACACCCGCAGGTAGAAGAGAGGGAGCACCACCACTTGGCCACGGAAATACTTGATTCAAGGTGGCGAGGACGCCAGGTGGAGTACTTGGTAGCTCGGGAGGGAGAACCCGGGTCGGAAAACACGTGGGTTCCCGTGGAGGCAATTGATGACGGGTATCTGGTGGAGGAATTCCACCGCCTGTTCCCGGGCAAACCCAAACCACTGGCGAGATTCTGGGAGGAGCAATTTGGAACCACAGACGATGAAGAGGATTTTGTGGGTTTTCCTGCCTCCGCGGAGGAGGGAGGAGAGGTTTCGGAGGAAGAAGAATCAGACTGGGAGGCCCACCCCGCGGGAAGGGATCAGAACGGGTGGGAAGCGGGCTTCGAATCCTCTGAGGATGACGACAGCTCCTTCCGGGGTTCCCCGCATCGTCGGTCGAAGAAAGGGACGAGTTGGATCAACAGGTTGGGCCGGGGTGGAGGGGGTCCTGGGGGGGAGGTGGATGTCAGGGAACTGACATCGGAGCTAGAGGTGGAGGGAAGGCTCTCTAATGATGCTGGAGAAGGGCCCAGCAGGGAGAGAGGCAGCTCAGCAGATGGGGAAGCAATTCAGTGCAACACCAGGAATAAGGAGGGGCAGATGGGGAATCGGCGAGAGGGCTCCCAGACTCTTCACCGGACACCAGCGGGGAGAGCACTGGTCCTCCGCTACCCACGCCCTCCCTGCGCAGAAGACTTCCGCGCAGAGAAAGTAGGAGGAGACTGGGTGTCAAACAACTTTTATGTTGGAAAAGGTTTAAGAAACGCCCACTGACGGATTCTGCTAGCGACTGAGGCAGCCACGAATTGAAGGGCTGTCCAGATAGAAAGGTATAACAAGGCAACATAGCCAGGAGAGGCGGCAACTTACGCACGAGCAACCCCATACCATTATAATTAGGAAGAACTTCCTGAGCTGTTCGACAGTGGAATTTGCTGCCAAGGAGTGTGGTGGAGTCTCCTTCTTTGGAGGTCTTTAAGCAGAGGCTTGACAACCATATGCTCTGACGGTGTTTCCTGCTTGGCAGGGGGTTGGACTCGATGGCCCTTGTGGTCTCTTACAACTCTATGATTCTATGAAAGGGTCTGGAAACCATGCCTTATGAGGAATGGTTGAGGAAGTTGGGTATGTTAGCTTCTGTGGCTGCAATGTATTCTGATTCTGAACTGTATTTGTTGATGTCAGGCAATGGCTTTGTTTCCTCCGGATTCTTTAAAAAGTCTGTAATAATAGATCTGGCAACTGGGTTTGCTTCTGGCATCTCCATGCTGCCAATTAATTCTGTGACTTTCTGCTTTTGGCTTAGAACAGGGACATCCAACTCCCGTGAGACTGCGATCTACTCACGGGGGGGGGGGGGGACTGGCAGCCAAAGTTGTTCAGCTTCTTTTAGAGAGGAAAGTTCCATTTTAGGTGTTAAGGCCAAGCTTGTTGAGTCTTTTTTATGGAGAAAATCTCCGTTATTAAGGGGAAAATGTCAGACTATAGTAAGAGGGAGAGGGGATTAGTCATTTACCAAAAGATCGCTATGGAAACAATTTGCCTCACAGCGAAAACTCAGCCTTCTGTTCCAGCGATCAGCTGAAAATGGTGGGCGGGGAGAGGGGGCAGGGCCAGCTGCTCTGAGGCAAAAACAAAGGAAAAGGAGCCAAGAATAGGCCAGAACCTCCCCGGTATCGATCAATCGATCCCAATCAACCTGTTGGTTATCCCTGGAATAAAACTACCATCTTCTCTCTGTATCTGAATGAACTTTCTCTGAGAGTCTGGATTAGCTTAAGGCTTCCCTCATCAATGGAATTCTGACTGGTCATATGAAAAATGAAAATGGTGGAAATGTGTCAAATTCAAAATCAAAACTTCAATCTCCACAAGAGGAAAAACTCAAAACCTTCTCCGCCTAGCTTCTGCTCTGAGAGGGAGCTAATCCCTTTCACAACAGAGACAAGGGAAGTCACCATGGTCTCACCAGGAAGTAGAAAAAATGTCTGGTTTGAATCTCTCTTCTCTCTTAAGAAAATCCAGCCACATCCACTAAAATGCTTTGATTTTTGTCTTCACTGGGTGCCATAACCTTTGTAGGAATGGATTTAGGCACTATGAGAGGATGTACGGTTTAGTTATTGTCCTTCCTTGTTCACATTCTTGCATGTCATATGCTCTAATGTATACAAAGATATACCCTAATGCCACCATGTTCAACAGTTTCAAGATGAAAATGAATAAAAACTATGCTAAAAAGAAAAATATTTGTGAGTGTTTCAACTGGAGAAAGTTCAGGAAATACTGGACACAATACAGTCGTACCTAATTAAAGTGGAATAATTTCATCTGCAAATGATTTCGCAATGGTGCTCTCTACTCCCAGTCTAACAAACAAACTAAGTTTACAGGTAATCATGAGTGATGAGTTCACTGCCTTCAAGAGCATTTTAATCTGTTCTGGAAAGCATTAGTTTCTGCAAGTACCCACTTGAGTAAACATTAAACTGAAAGGCATATCATCCAATGTACAGCTTTGAATAGTTGTGGAGAAGAAGAAAAATCAGAGGGATTGTTTAATGATTTGCTAGAAACGTTATGTAACATAATATTTGGGCTGTTCATTGCAGTTGGTAGACACTGTTGTTGACCAAACTGCACTGTAGCTTTGTTGTTTTCGAAGAAGTCTTTTAGACAGTGTTAGCCTTTGGGTTGCCAGGTTTTTATATGGAGGTTTTTGCTTTTTTTCTGTTTGACTTCGGAGGCCTCCAGGCCTTGGAGCTCTGCTCAGGGGCTGAGCAAGGGGGTGCAGTGATGGCGGACCACACCGGGTGACATCCTTAGGGAGGGTGACTCTCTGCATGCGTATCCCCACCCGTGACTCCAAGCCTACGCCTGTCGGGGCCGCTGGCAAAGCGGCAAAGCTCCCCCCTTCCCCCGGCTCACTGTAGGCTTGGGAGTCATGGGCGGGTTGCCCCGTCATCCAGGAAAAAGCCTTACTCCACAGATCTCCTGCTTGCCCGCTTGGTGCTTCGCTTCCTTCCTGCTCGGGCTGCTGGTGGAGGCGAGGGGCGGGCCAGGGAGGGGCGTCGGTGGGCCACGAAAAGTGCCCCCTCCCATCCACCCGCCAGCTGGTGGGTGGCCTCCTTTCCTTCCCCCTTCCTGGCTCTTCTGCACGCACGGAGCAAGAACCACCCCCTCGCGCCTGTAAAACAGGCTCTCTCTAACATTCCAGAGAAACCAAAATGAAAAGTCACTGTTTTGAGCTTGTCTCTTTTATGGATACAACGATTAGTTTTGTCTACAACCATTGGGGATTGCACCAGCAGGGTAGAAAAACGCTTTTGCAATGCTTTGTTCTGATGCATGGCGTTGCCTTTAATGAAATAATGGGCCCCCCTCCCAGCCATGGTACGTTTGCGTTGACGTATAGTAGTGGTTTTCTGAAATAAAACCAAAGGGCAATTCGCTGCTTGGCTGCAATTTTGCAAATACAACTAAGGTCGTTGCTCTTTTGTAGTTCTCCCATTGCCAGGCGGATTCGATATTTGCAGGCCTCAATTTTGTTCTGTTCCTACGTTATGACTTTTCCACTTGCGCTCCTGCAAAGTAGGTGACTTTATTCATGGAGATCCTGCCACGGTTTTTCTCTTCTTTTCTTAGAATAAGGCAGCAGCCAGCGGACCGGCTTTGTACTCAACCTTTTGCGAATATCTATTATAGTTGGTGAACAGTGAAGGGATCCTGTGCAGACATAGATGGAAACTGGATAACTATCAGAGGGTTGTGATTGTTCTCTCTCTCATTACAGTAATTCACAGTTTTAATAAAATAATGCCGTATCAATCTGAATTGGAGCTTTTGATTAAGAGTGCAGATGCACAGATCACTTTTTAAGCCTGGATGTTCCACGGTTTCAAAACAAAACCCCAGAGAATTCTTTACCCCCAAGAAAAAAAACCCTCCAACAAAACAGATATCTAAATATGAGTAACACATGTGCATTTATTTTGAAAATAATTATCAGAGAACTCTTTGCTGCTAGTTACATGAAGTTTGCGCCCTGCACGTCTCGAGCCGAGAGGGGGGGCGAGGAGCCGTGGCTGTGCCCTCGCCCCCCAACATGCACGCGATTCAGGCCGAGCGCTGCACCCCATTTGGGATCGGGGCCGGCAGGCAAGGCTAGGTGCAGTGTCGGAGCTGACTGAGCCCCCTGGCCATGTGCAGTCTACCTGTACAGTGGGTAGGGGGCTGCTGCCAATCCAACCCATGTAAACAGTACGCTGCATAATTGCACAATAATCAACAGGTGAGAGGCGCTCATTAAAAGCCATTCCTCAGCTGCTCGATGGTGTTTCTGCAGGGGAATTCCAGATGAACGACCCTCCCACCAGCCGCTCCCTGCCTTAGCCCAGCCTCTGGCTGAGGGAATGAAAAAGACCCCAAGTGAGCGTGCAAGGCTGAAACGTTTCCTCTAACTTGAGCGAGCCCAACCCCCTGCAATGTAGGAATCTCCGCTAAAGCATCCAGGACAGATGGCCATCCAACCTCTCCATAAAAACCTCCAAGGAAGGAGAGTACGCCCCCTTCCGAGGGAGACTGTTCCACTGAGGAATAGATCTCACTGCCAGAATGTTCTTACTTCATGCACATTTAAAAAAGGATTTTGAACCTCTTGCAATGCAGGGCATTGGGCCAGGAGCAGAGCAAGGGGGTTGTGGAAAATTTCTTGTCACTCTCCCCGCCCATGAATCCCAAGCTGACAGCGAGCGGCCCCAGCAAAGTGGTGAAGCTCCCCCCCCCCTTTCCCTGGCTTGCTGTAGGCTTGGGAGTCATGGAGGGGTGACAAAAAAATTTCCACACCAGGTACCACCTGAGCTTGCTACTCCTCTGGCTCTGCTGAGATCTCAGTGGGATGCTCCCAGCCACAGCGGGGTTGAGGCCACTGGGGGGGGGGGGCTCTGTGCAATCTCCTTGGTTGTCGTGTTGGGAAACCTTGGTTACCCCCCAATCATGGTGGCGACGGCAGCCATGGTGGCAGTGCGGGCACCAGCCAGGCAGTGCCATTGGTGCTTGTGGTCCTCAGGAACTCCATGCTGCTGTGGCGCTTGCTAACTTGCCTCTCCAGAAGTTCATACTGCTGCACTTTCAGAAATCCATCCCTGAATGCAGTTCAATAATCACTACAACACTTCAACATACTGCTGCCCTTTACTCCCCTTATAACAGATTAATTTTACACATAATCTGGGTGACAGATCTGCATCCAGGTTCAAGAGAGTTTAATAATGGTTTAATGATTAGCTTGAGACAGTACCAAGCATAATATATATGCTGTTCACTGCAGTTGCAAGACATTGTCCTCGACCAAACTGCACTGTAGCTTTTATTATACCCACTGCAAAAAAAATTGCTTGCTGAAACAAAATGGATTGGATGGAGCCGATTCCAGCGTTGTTCCTCTTTATCCTTATGGTTTCCTTTGTTTTGAAACTGGGCACTTTCTGGAACAAGAGCTCCCAAAATCTTCCACCAGGACCAAGGCCTTTACCTCTCATTGGGAATCTCCACATCATGGATCTCAAGAGGCCTCACAGAACCATGTTAAAGGTAAAGATTCCAGTTCTTCCCATGGCAAGGCTGAAGGGTACTGGGGCAGCCCAATCAGATGAGCGGAGTAGAAAATTAGTATTATTATTATTATTAATATCAATAATGCATTACATTTTGTTCTTTTAGAGCCTATAAATCTCATCTCCCCTTTGTGTGCTACAGAACCACCTCTTAACTTTCCCAATCATAGGACCTAGTTGCATTTTATAATTGGTAATTTGAACAAGGTGTTTGGTGTCGAATCCCGTTTGACTCTGCCTCCATTTTCAAGGATTCAAAAGTGCCAATGCAAACCTTGCCTAGCCCAGCCTCCTCCTTCAGCTTTTCTTTCTAAACTAGATTTGAGAGGTGCCATTAAAGGTATAATCACTTTTATCCTTGCAACTGCCTGATTTGTTCTGGTTTTCTGATTATTCCTAGCAAATATTTGTTCTGCCACAACTGAATAATAATAATAATTTATTATTTATACTTTGCCCATCTGGCTGGGTTTCCCCGGCCACCCAACAGACTAAGAATATGATAAAACATCAAACATTAAAAACTTTCCTTAAAAGGACTGCCTTCAGGTGTCTTCTAAAAATCAGATAGTTGTTTATTGCCTTGACATCTGATGGGATGGCATTACACAGGGCAGGTGCCACTACCGAGAAGGCGCTCTGTCTGGTCCCCTGTAACCTCACTTCTCGCAGTTAGGGAACCGCCATAAGGCCCTGAGCCCCAGACCTGAGTGTCCAGGCTGAACGGTGGGGGTGGAGACGCTCCTTCAGGATACTGGGCCGAGGCCATTTAGGGCTTTAAAGGTCAGCATCAACACTTTGAATAGTGCTTTGAAATGTACTGGGAGCCAACGTAGGTCTTTCGGAACCAGTGGTATATTGTCTCAGCAGCCACTCCCAGTCACCAGTGTAGCTACCGCATTCTGGATTTGTTGCAGTTTCCGGGTCACCTTCAAAAGTAGTCCCACATAGAGCACATTGCAGTAGTACAAGCAGGAGATAACTAGAGCATGCACCATTCTGGCAAGACAGTCTGCTGGCAGATAGGGTCTCAGCCTGCGTACCAGATGGAGCTGGTAGACAGCTGCCCTGGACACAGAATTGACCTGCGCCTCCATGAACAGCTGTGAGTCCAAAATGAATCCCAGGCTACACATCTGGTCCTTCAGAGGCACAGTTACCCCATTCAGGACCAGGAGTCCTCCACACCTGCCTGCCTCCTGTCCCCCAAAAACAGTACTTCTGTCTTGTCAGGATTCAACCTCCATCTGTCAGCCACCATCAATCCTCCAATCGCCCCCCGACACTCACACAGGACCTTCACCGCCTTCAATGGTTTTTATTTAAAAGAGAGGTAGAGCTGGTTATTATCCGCAAACCCCACAAGTGAGAGCCCAGGGGCCTGAACACTCATCCCCCAACACCACTTTCTGGAAACGGCCCAGGAGAAAGGAGCGGAACCACCGTATAACAGTGCCCCCAGATCCCAGCCCCTCTAGACAGTCCAGAAGGATGCCATGGTCGATGGTATCAAAGGTCACAGAGAACCAGCAGAACTAGGAAACAGCTTTCACCTTTGTCCTTAGCCGGCCGGAGATAATCGAGCAGCACAACCAAGGCAGTTTCAGTCTCATGATGAGGCTTGAATCCCAAATGGAAGGGATCCAAATGGACCGCATCCTCTAGACATTCCTGGAGTTGTTCAGCAACCACCCGCTCAATTACCTTGCAAAAGAATGGAAGATTTGAGACTGGGTGGTAGTTAATGCAGTATTGGTTCTGTCAGAGAGGATTTGCATTAATATATTCTTTGGGTATGCCAGAACTCTGTTTCTCAATTTTTCTTCTGTTGAATTCCAGTTGTCAAAGCAATATGGCCCTGTCTTCAGCATCCAACTGGGACCCCAGAAAACTGTGGTGTTGACAGGATATGAGACAGTAAAGGAGGCTCTGGTTAATCAGGCGGACGCATTTGCTGACAGGCCCATCGTTCCATTATTTCAAGAGCTTGCACAAGGCTTTGGTGAGGCACCTCCCTTTCTATTGGAACTGGTAATGCTTACAAACACACACTGGTCCCACCAGGTGAACACAATATGTTCCCAAGAAATGTTTGTAAGAAATAGTTTGTAAGATGAGTGTTTGCGAAGCAAGTCATCGAAATCCATTGTTTCTTGTGGGGGAAATCCTTGTGAATTTTTCAACCCACCTCAGTGCCTTTGACATTGACAGAGTATCTGCAGGCATTAGGCTGAGAATGTGTCACAAAAAGTGTCACCTGTGGATTTCTGCAGATCAAGCTAAAATGTTAAAAAGAGTGGACCAGGTCTTGACTTTCAGTGGATAAGTGGTGCTCTGTTGAAGAAACAGAAATGGAGACCATTTAAAGCAAACCTTTCCCATTCCCACCTTCTTCCATATTGTAGAGTGGGAGTCATATTGTAGAGGTGGGGGAGAATGAGACAGGAGGATTGTGAATAATAGTCACATGGAAAAGTAATGCCACACACCAAGGGGAAACTGACTGACCATTTTCTGGCCTAGCCTACACAGAGAGGATAAATTAAGAAGGCATAATGTAATACAAATAACAAGCTGAGTTCTGCTTGGCCTGACATGTACAAACCACCCTCTACTCTATCCTACACTTAGTAGGGGAAAATATTGTTCAATGTGTTCTCAGGTCTTGCTCTGATGGCACAGCTGCCAGCTACTTTGTCAAAGCTCAGAAGTCTGAGTCTGAATGGGAGAATAGCTGGGATCCATTCTCAGTTCCATGGAAGAAATGCAGAACACAATTTATTGATTCTTTGTTCACTGGCCATACAAACATGATACCTTTCTTCCCGTCTCTTCAGGTGTAATTCTGTCTAATGGTGAGAACTGGAAAGTGATGCGGCGGTTTGCTTTAAGCACATTACGGGACTACGGAATGGGAAAGAGGACCATAGAGGATAGAATTGTTGAGGAATGCAGTGTCCTGATAAAGAAATTTGAATCTTACGAAGGTGGGTTGGTGTTTTCCTCTGGTGCATAGCTACACTACCATAGTTTAAAGGTGCCAAGACTATTGTGTTACATATTCCTAAATTCCAGAAGCACAGATCCCAAGGTTCCCTGCAATTGGTCTGTTCCTGTAATGTGCAGATTGCACTGCAACAACTCCTGTGACTTCCAAGCATTTCTTAGCCCAGCTATGGCCGCATCCGGCAACACTTAGGATCAGTTTATTTGTTAAATGAGGTCTACACATAGGGAAGCTGCCAGGAGGGATTTAAGGCAACAAAGAACAGACTTAAAAACAATGCCCTTTCCATACTTTGAATTTCTGTGGGGATGTTCAGGGAGGCAGGAGGGGATATATTGTTTAATTATATCTCCCAACTTGCGTTAGCAGAGGAAACAGGAAGTTTTCTCCTGGCTGGTAGAAAGCACCCCATAGCATGTCCATTCTAGGAATGTTGTACTTGACTCCTATGTGTTTTACATCCCACATTTTAAAAAATGTATTTTTGTTTAACTGTCATATTTATGTATAGGAAACCCATTTGAGACCACAACAATTATGAATGCAGCTGTTGCTAATATTATAGTGGCCATACTACTAGACAAGCGATTTGATTATGAAGATCCCACATACATAAGACTTCTGAAGTTGGTCAATGAAAATGTCCGGCTTTTCGGAAGCTTTTCAGTCACGGTAATCTATTTTTTCCATTTTAAACAAACAAACAGTTGATTATAATAACGGTGTATGCAAAGTGGGCAGGGCAACCTGTTTATTGTATATTGTTCACGATTCACTACAAAACACAAAATGATATTGTGAGAAACCTGGTGGTGATTCGAAATATTTAGAAAACTCATACGGCACAGTCATCCCGTAACTTTGCACAAACCCTTTCTGGCCTGATTGCAGTCAGGACTCCAAGGACAAGGAAGAACAAGTGACAGTCATCTCGTAACTACAACAAAGTCTCTTTTGCAAACACGTGTCAGCGAAGCTCAGATTCTGACAGGAGGAGAAGAAGCAGGCACAGGGAGAGGACAGTTAACAGCAGAAAGCAGAGAGGAGGAGGAAAGCAGCTGTAATCTGAGCTCTGACCAAAGGGACAGACAGAGGTGTGAGAACTCCAATAGTGGGCAAGACATTGGAATGCAGGAAATACTCTCTGCCAAATCTCGTAGGATTTCAAAAGTGGCAGAGCTGCGTGAAAGATACCGGAAGAAAAGGCAGGGGCTTCCGTTCTGGGGAAGGGGGAGGAGCTCAGTCTGGGCGACTGCATCTTCTGGGGAGGACGATGAGTAGAGGAGCTCCGTCCTAGTTTGTTGTTTTAGCAGTTAACAGCCAGTGTTGTCTTGCATTTGTGGGAGAGACCAAGCTGTAACAACACGCTTCCTGGCCTCACTGCCATCGGGACTCCAAGGACAAGGAAGAAGAAGTGATTGTTTGTTCCATGATGGCTCAGAAGGGGCCTCCAAGGGCAGATCTCCCTCTCTGAAGGCAAGAGAACTGCCATAGCATATTATTTTGGGGTTGCACATAAATTATGCTACGCTGAGGTAGCCCTAACCCCATTCCAAATGGCATTCAAGAGTTTTGTTTTGTATTTGGGCAGTCATGCTCTGAGAGACCCAGCTGAGAGTACAATACTGAGTTTTTCTAATGTCTCTTTTTCTTTTTTCACATTTTTATCCTTTCAGCTGTATAACATGTTTCCTGCTCTTGGTTTTCTTTTGGGGGCTCGTAAGACTGTCATCCAAAACAGAGATGAGCTGTTTGCCTTCATAAATGCCACCTTCATAAAACACCTCAGAGATCTGGATGAAAATGACCAGAGGAGCTTTATTGACTCATTTCTTATCCAACAGCAAGAGGTAATGGAGTCTTTTAAGTCGGCCCAGAATAAGCGTTGCCATTTTCAATTCATGTTTTGAGGGCATATTCGCAAGTGAATGCATAAGTTGTAGTCAGGAAGTCTCACTTCAGAAGGGACCAACCTGGCATACTTCCTCCCCTTTCCCAATAGTCAGCCATTGTTAATGTGTTACAGAAGTTGCCTCTGCAAGGTAAAAGGTTGCATGCTCAACAGCATTTCTGGAAAAAAATCCCTGATCAAGAAAACATGTAATTATAGATAATTATGCAGTGATGAGAGGTAATCAAGTCATAAATATTGGTTGCCAGACTCCCTTTTGATACAAGGGGGGATGGGATAATGCCTCATGTGCTCAGAAGAAGGCGTTCTTTACACTGGAGGAGATAGGAAGCTTTGAGGGTGGGGAGGCATCTCAGAGGAAGGAAAAAACATTGGCCCATGCACTGACCAATCAGCCTTAAATTAGGGCTTCAGTTCTTTTAACCATTACTAAGACTGGAAATGAATATGAATTGGAGTTTCTGCTTATCAATTAATTAGCACCCAGAAAAGGAAACAGGTGGTTGGGTGATGACAGAGTTCTAAATAACAGGCTGGAAATGATTTCTAAAATCTTAAACTAATTACTGATGAGTTTGAAAAGTTAAAGCAGATATACAGGCCTTGTGTGCTGGTCCCATGGGTTACCCGAGAGGCGAGGTCCAAGTCCGGTCCGTGGTCAAAGACGCAACATGGAGGCAGTCCGTAGTAGCTGAAGCTGGGTGCAGGGCAGGGAGTCGGGTGAAGTCAGGAGCAGGCATGCAAGCAGGGAGACAGCGCGGGTCATGAGCTCAGGCAGGAAAGCAGGACAAGGGCCAGGCAGGAACTAGCAACCAACAATGTTGCTCCCGCAAGTTGGGACTGGGGCTGGCCGGCTTTTATCTGCCCCGAGCCATAGGGCGGCCCCAATCCTCTGGTGACTCGCCTCTCTTGGCCTGGAGGCGAGCACTCCTCCTGCAGGAACCCTATATCATCATGATGGCATAGTCTGGAAAACCTGGAATCTCTCACTACTTAGTGACTGGAGTGATGTGCAATGATACTTTGGATCATCGGTTCCAGTCAGGTATTCATTTTTATCTTTGCACATGAAATTTTCTCACTACATTCGTTTTAATCAGTTCATACTCTTTGCAACCCAGGAGGAGAAGAAGAAGAAGACAAATGCATATTTCCACAACGAAAACTTAAAAACTGTTGTGGCCAATTTATTTGCTGCTGGCATGGAGACCACTTCTACCACACTGCGCTGGGGACTGTTACTAATGATGAAACATCCTGAAATTCAGAGTGAGTGCTTTTAATTGGGTTGGCTCCCATTATTCTGAGATATCTTAATTCCAGTTATATGTAACTATTAGAGAGATAAAATATTTATAATTTGCACACACACACAGACACACACACACACACACACAATTGTTCAGTCATAAGCTTAACATTTCAACCTGCACTCCCTTCTCCCTCTTTCTGTGCTTCTTTACATTTCATTTCATATTACTGCATACTCCAAATTATCTCAACATATTCTTTTAGATATATATTCCCGTATATATCCAATAGATATATTGAAACTGCGGGTTTTTACATTAATCCTGCCAATGTCTTAGTATGTTTACAGTTTGTTTGTAAATACGCAATAAACCACTTCCATTGCTTTCTAAAAATAATAATAATCTTTTTGTTTTGCCATTTCTGCGTAGACCATTCATTTCTGTATCCATTCTTCTCTTGTCGGGACCTCTTCATCGTTCCATTTTTGAGCAAATAATAATCTTGCAGCTATGGTTGCATAAATAAATAAATTTGTATAAATTTATATAAATTGCATACATAAATAAATTTCTAAATATTCTATACTAAATAAATTTCTAGGTAGTTCTGATCTCATAATTTCCAAAAGAAAAAGCTTATGGTTTTTTAAACATTGTTTTCAGTTCATCATATATCATTTCCCAGTAAACTTTAACCTTATTACAAGCCCACCACATATGAAAAATAGTACCTTCTTTCTCTTTACGTTTCCAGCACATATTCAGTTTGGATTTATACATTTAACCAATTTACTAGGTGTCAGGTTCCATCTATGTAACATTTTCATATAGTTGTCTCTTAAACTAAAACATTCTGTAAATTTTATATCCACATTTGATAAACTTTCCCATGCCTCCATTTCTGTATTATTACTAATATCTATTGCCCAGTGTATCATTGAAGATTTCACTTGTTCGTCCTTTGTCTCCCATTCCAATAAGATCTTATACATTTTACATATCACTTTAACATTACAGTTTAACAGGTCTCTTTCTCGTTGTGATTTTCATTCCCCAACCCCCCGCTTCATATCCCTTTTAAATACTTCATTCAAATGATATTGTAACCATGTTGTTAACATCTCTGATAAATCTTTTTAAAAAATTAATTTACTGGTAAATTCTCCAAAAGTGAAAGCCATAGTGGTGTTTTGGTCTCCAGCAGGTTTTTATACTTATCCCATACTCTATACATTTTTTTCCCCTGATTATATGGTTTGTAAATCCTTTATGTACTTTCACATTTTCATACTTCAAGTAAGCGTGCCAACCAAAAATATTATCATGACCTTCCCAATCTGAAATATGTGGATTATTCAATAACAATCATTCCCTCAAACAGCATACACAAGATGCTTCATAATAGACTCTCATATGCAGCAGGAAAAAAACTCCTTTCTCTTTCATCTGTCAATTTTTTATGTTTTATTCTTATTTTTCCTTGTCAGATATATTTAGAAATATATTTTTGCCATTTGTTGAAACAATTTGTCGTCCTGATCACTGGTATTGATTGAAGCATTCTATGACCTTTTAAAATGTGGTTTTTTTGTAGGGAGGTTATTGGGTGGTTGTTTTTATTTTGATTATGTATTTTGTGGTTTTATATTTTGATTTTATTCTGTGAACCTCTGGATATAGGGTGGTATATACATTCACTAAATAATAATCAATCAATCAATCAATCAATCAAAAAGAATATTGTCAGTAATACATTCATTTTAATTGTTGGAGTAATGAAAGTTTCATTCTCCTCCATATTTGCAAATTTATTTTAATATCCTCCCAAGTTTTTAAATAATTATCCTTATACAAATTTATATTCTTGCTCTTAACCACACACCCAAATATTTAATCTTCTTTTTACTCTTTAAGATAGATAAACTTTGTAATTTATTTTTACTCTCATCATTCATATTTTTTACCAGGAGTTTAGTTTTATCTTTATTAATTTTAATTTTTTTAAAAATGATATTTATTAAGCATTTTAAAATTACAGAAAAAACAAAAAAAACAAGGGAAAAACAAACAGCAATCAAACAATACAAATCGATAAAAATCAAAATCAAAGAGCAAAACCAAAACACATAACACATCAAAATCAGAAAACAGAAGTAAACCACAAAAATTTAAAAACAAATCCAATATTCTCAAATCCTTAACTGCCATTACCTTATTTCGTCGACCTCCTCACACCTCCCTTTTTTGTATTCTAGTTATTAATTATCACAGCAAATCCTTCCCATTTTTCATAATATTCTGTCATTAAATTACCTTAATCTATTTTAACCTTATCTTACAATAAAAAACCCTAAAACTTTAAACTTAAAACTTATTTATACCAATTTCTCATAACCATGACATATTCTTGCATAGTTCTTTTTAACATTTCTGCTAAAGCCAAATAATTTCGTTCCAACATTTTTCTAATACTCATTAATTTTACAAAACAATCCTAAATAAAAAAAAATAAAAAAAAACTTTCTTCCAATCTTCATCCAACGTCTCTTCCTCCTGGTCCCGGGTTTTGTCAGTCCTTTCTATCCCATCCATCTAGTTCATTAACCTGGTAATTAACCTGTCTGAGGCCCTTAAGTCTCTTCCATGTCCCTTCCGCAGATCTTCTTCATCTTTATACCTGTACTTTACTTTGTCTTCTGATCCTTTCACTCGTGGAAACTCCAACTTGACAGTATTTTTGTCCCTTCTCGACAGATCAGCGCCTTTTCCATAGTCCACACTGAACTCCATGTGGTATTTAAAAGCATGTTTCAAGGTCCCTCCAGAGTTGAGGACCCCCACAACCCCAAACTCCTCACGGCCCATTGCCAGACTTGAAAAGTCAAGACATCCCTGCATAGGGGGGGTCTATCCAGCCCCCCATCTCCAAACCAAACAAAACTCTGTCTCCCCAAATCTGGCTTTTTCCAAGTTCATTTGTCAGATCCAACAACTCATGTTCCTGCTGGGCCACAGCTCCCTCCATCTCTGCCACCCGAGGTCCAGCAACAACCTCCTCCCTCATCTGATCTGTCAGAGCACACTCCTGAGTTGATTCCTGGGTGGGCTCTATATAGATACCCACTACCTGTCCAAAATTTCTAATCGCAACAGTCATCAAATCCGTCTTCTCATGTAACTGTTCCAATAAAGCACTTGTCTTGCAGAAAGCACACACCAGAGCCTCTGAATACATTGTTATGCAAGGTCAGAAGTCTGTTCCCACGATCTTAATCTGTTTGCAGCTGCGAAGCTCCCCAGTTCAAATTTAATAACAGTTTCACAAGCTCCCTCTAGGGGATGAACTTCTATTTGTATCAATCTCTTTTCTTTCTTTTCTTTTTTTTTTAACAGCAGATCTAACAACAAAGTTTCCTTTTTCAGATATTTTGTCAATATTTGTTCCTTTAAAATGCGAAAGAGAACAATGGAATCACTATGTTTCTCTTCTTTTAACTGTCTGTCAAAAACATTTGTCTATAGTCAATGAACTTCCCAAAAACGTCTGTCCTGACACCCCGCTCCCAGGTTCAAGACGGTGGAAAATTACTTTTCTTTACACTCTCTTCTGCAGGTTTAAACAGTCCGGAAAAAATCCCCCCTCTTCTCCTGCTTCCGAAGGGGGTTCAGTAGTTTTAGATGATGAAAGTTGATCCTTTAGAAACGATTTTCTAAACTCTAGTTTGCCATGTCTTTATTAATTTTAAGACCTGCTATTTCTAAATAAATAAATAAATAATCTTTCCCAATGCCTTTGGGATTGACTGTATTGGTTCCTCAACAAATATCACCAAATGATCTGCAAAATCTATATATTGTATTGTATTATATTATATTATATTATATTATATTATATTATATTATATTATTATTCATATTGTCTCTTTCCTGCTTTTATTCCCACTTATTTGTTTCATTACATCTTATTCTTTGTACCAAAACTTCTAAAACTGTTATAAACAATAAAGGTGACAGTGGGCAACCATGTCTACTTCCTTTAGTTATTTTACAATTCTCATTCAATACATTACTTACTGATGGATCAGTATATATTGCCTTAACTCCTTTTATAAAACTGTCTCCACAAACCATATATTCCAAAGCCTTAAACATATAAAGTCCCAGGAAACATTGTCAAATGCTTTCTCAGAGTCTAAATGCTTTCTCTTTTAATACAGTTTTCAACCTATTAGCTAATATGTCTGCAAACATATTTATAATCCTTATCCAACATCGAAATAGGTCAATAGCTCTTAACCAGCTTTGGATCTCTATTTTGTTTATGAATCAATGTTATGTATACACTCTTCTGGGATTTGGGTAACTGTCCTGTATTCAAAGTTATAATCAGAATATCTTTTAAAGGTTGCATTAGGTAATCTTGTAATTTTTTAATAATATATTGCTGAAACTCCATCAGGTCCGGGTGCCTTCCCTAATTTTGCCTGTAAAATTACTTGCTGTAAAACCATCATTGTGAAAGCTCCATTCAGAAATGACATTTCAACTTTTGGTATCTTAAGCAGTCTGTTGTCTTCTAAATATTTACCCATTTCTTCTACCTTAACTCATTTGCCTTAATATGGTGCTGTATAAAAACTCACAAATTGATCTATTATTTTTTTCAGATTTTCCACAACTCTACCTCCTACCTTTATTCTATCAATGCAGTTTTTTCTTCTTTCTTCTTTATTTGCCAAGCTAATAGTTTTCCTGTTTCTTGGAGGCATATAACTTCCAAGTTTAACTTCTTTACAACATGATCAATTTTATTCACTTAGTCTTATTATTTTGCTTATTTACATTCCCAGTTAGAATTTTCAAAGCCATCTTGTTCCATAGTTATTTCTCTTTCGCCTCCACCTCGGTTGAATCTTCCTCTTCCTGTTCAAATGCTCTTTCTCCAGCTAACTTTCCACCATATTTTCTCCAAAATCTGTATGGCTCGGTAGGATCACGAAATATTTGGTTTTTACCATTATATGTAAAAGATACCACTTCAGGATATTCCCAGCAGTGATAATGTAATAATCATCCTGGATGAATTGCCCTACATCAGTATATCAGGTTATTGGCTAAAATGTTTTTCCTGTTTAAAAAATACCAGTGTCACATTCTAGAGTCTAAGTATGTGAGTATATTCCCTGTTTATTTTGCCTGTACCTCTGTTGACTCTTCCTCTTCCTGTCCTGCTTCCCTTCCAAATGCTCTTTCTCCAGCTAATTCTTTCCCATATTTTCTCAAGAATTTGTCAGGGTCCGGAGGATCCCAAAATCTTTGTTTTTGACCTTTATGTGTAAAAGATACCACTTCAGAATATTCCCAGCAGTGATATTTTAATAATCATCCTGGATGCATATCTCTCCCTCACTATATCAGGTTATTGTCTAAATTGTTTGTTTGTCCTTCTTAAAAATACATTTGTTAAATTCTAGAGATTAAATTTGTGAGCCTATGGAATTGTAGAATGAGTTTGTGGCAGTTTTATGCTTCAGAGATTAATTTTTAAGAGACCTAAATCAAAGACATAATCTGAGCAGAAAAATGAATGCTTTTCTTTTTTTCTTTTTGTTTCCCCCAGTAAAGGTCCAAGAAGAAATTGCAAAGGTTGTTGGATCTTCTCAGCCAAGGATTGAACACCGAACAAAAATGCCTTATACGGATGCTGTGGTCCATGAGATCCAGAGGTTTGCCAATATCGTCCCAACCAACCTGCCACATGCCACGGCTACAGATGTTACCCTTAATGGCTACTTCATTCCAAAGGTGATCCTTTTCATTGAACTGCTGCCCACTAGTTACAATATATTTTAAGGCTATCCTGGGAGTAAGCCTCTTGGACTTCAGTGTGGGTGACATCTGTGCAGACTTGTATAGGATTGCATTGTAAGCATGCAATCTACCCATCGGAAGGTGTCAGGCATCAGCTTCAACCCATTAAACAGATCTCAGTGGGAAGGAGAACAAGGTTGGAAAAGAAACCATTTCTAGTGGGAGATCATGGTTTATACATTAAAGTTTGTCAAACTAAAGACATTTCTCAGATGAACTCAAATCTCATTTCTCATACACTAAATATTTATTATACCAGAGGAATACACTTTATTTTAAAATGACTCTTGCTTTGCCTTTGCAGGGGACATACATCATACCATTGCTGTCCTCTGTGCTGCACGATGAATCTCAATGGGAGAAACCACATAAATTCTATCCTGAACATTTTCTTAACTCTGAAGGAAAATTCGTAAAGAGAGATGCTTTCATGCCTTTCTCTGCAGGTATTTTTTTTTACTTTTGTGTATACCTGCATGATAATAATAATAATAATAATAATAATAATAATAATAATAATAATTTATTATTTATACCCCGCCCATCTGGCTGGGCTTCCCCAGCCACTCTGGGCGGCTACCAAAAGAATATTACAATACTGTGATACATCAAACATTAAAAGCTTCCCTAAACAGGGCTGCCTTCAGATGTCTTCTAAAAGTCTGGTAGTTGTTGTTCTCTTTGACATCTGGTGGGAGGGTGTTCCACAGGGAGGGCGCCACTACTGAGAAAGCCCTCTGCCTGGTTCCATAGTGTGTGCTTAGTCAATGGGATTTTTACATGCCTGGAATGTAGCCTATTGTGCAAAGGTAAGAATCACATCCGTTGCTGTGGCCATTTCTGCCACTAGATCTGGCCACCATTGGTGTGCGGCCCCTGGAATGTTGCTCACCAGGGAATGTGGCCCTCAGGCCGAGAAAGGTTTCCCACCCCTAGTTTTCAGCATTGCAGGATGGCTCATATTGGGAGGTCATAATTCTTTTAAGATGGGCACCGTGGGCTGTTATTTTATCTCTGCATTTTAGTCTGCTTTAAAGTATTTGGGATGTTATTAAGCAACTGCCTAAACCCAGTTTCTCTGCTGCCTGTGTGTCCTTACAGGTCGGAGAGCATGTTTAGGTGAGACTCTTGCCAAAACGGAGCTCTTCCTCTTCTTCACAAGTCTCCTGCAGAAATTCACCTTCCAGCTACCCCCTGGAACATCTCAAGAAGACCTGGATCTTACTCCTGCTATTGGGCTTACAACATCACCCATGCCCCACCAACTCTGTGCTCTGCCACGTTTCTAAGACTCACAAGCTCCTGGCTTGCTTAGCCTACCTGTGTGTGCAATGCAAGCCTTTCTTAAAACACCCCTGTTCTGCAAGGGTATTGGGGTTGAGTAGTGGTGGAATTGGTGCATGCTTTGTCACAAACCTGAAGTGTTCCCCTTTACCTGCCATACTGCCGAATCCCATGAAACTAGCATTGGAGCATCTCTTAAATAAAACCTGGCCCTGAGTTTCTTATGACACTTGGGGCATAGAGATCAACCAACAAATCTGGTTGCATGTATTCCCATGTTAACATATACTTTCAAATATCTTGAAGCATCACATTCCCAGGTAGAAGTGCAGAGAAAGCCACTTCCGAGCTAGGGAGGAGGTGGGGTTGCGGGCTTCATGCCCCTTCCCACACTCGCGGGGGCTGGCTCCAGCCCACACGATAGTGGAGAATCCTCGGATGCGTCATACCCCGAGCCAGCCAATCGGCTGGCTTGGGGGGCATGGCCTCGCCTACTTAGGTCTGGCGTGGCCAGGGCTCTTCCTCTTTCCCGCGCCGCAGCTGACCTGGTTTTCCCTCCCCTCCCACCCTTTAGGCTAGGCTCTCTGACTATGGAGTGCAGATTTGTCCGTATATTGTACTCTTTCAGCTGCTTTTGTTTTTTCATCGCACCGCTTCATTTAATTGCATCCAATTTCAAAGTTCTGTCCAGCTCTTTGAGAATTGTTATTTTGGCAGCTCCCAAATCGTTGATCTTTCCCGTCCAGGTGTTATCAAAGAAACAGAGAGAAACCTCCTTCTTTATTCTTAAGCAGACTGTTTGCAATGTAGCAATATATCAGACAGTTAACAATTGGCCTTTGGAATCCTCCCAATCCCCCCTCCAGGCCCTAGAGGGGGGCTGCCAGACATCCATTCAGCCCTCTCTCTCGCTCATAATAAAAAACATCTTTTTGCAAACAGTTGTGTATATAATATTGTTTCCAGTCTTTATGACCAACCATCAGTTAGCTCCTGTTTCTCTTAATCAGGGAAGTATTTCAGATATTCCATAAGTGCGTGGTGGGTAGAAGCCATTTTGTCCTTTGTCCTTTGTTTTCGTCTTTAACAGGCATTTCAAATCTTAGAAGCAAAGCCGCTGCGAATAGGTCCCAATTATATATGAAAGTCCATCTGTACTCACTTTTTGAAGAGCAATTTAGGTTCTTAATGAGGCTTGGCATGCAATGCAAATTGTTAATGTAAGAGGGAAAAGAAAAAACATACCAAGGCCGTCTAGATTCCAAACATCGTGATGAAGATCTCTTTGAAGTTTGATGTATCAGAGACTGTACATACTGCAGGTTTTTCCCCAGCTTCGTCAGTTCAGAGCGTGTCTGGTTGTTTCCAAATCTTTATATTTTCCCAAACAGATGCGTCTGGCTATGGGGTGGCATCGCAGGAGTGTCAGTCCGTCCCTTGCTCCGTGACCCAGTGCCCCTGCCGTCTGCCACATCAGCAATCTGGGGCAAACCGCGGGTCGTCGAGACAGTCCTCCCTGCCCTGGGGAGGCTGCCAGGGCTAATTACCCCCATATCAGCCCTGAATTATCGGAACGGTTGAGGTCCAATCGTGTGGGATCCGCCATTTTCCACGGCCGGAAACAGGAAGCCCAGCAGCAGCACTTGGTTAACTTGAACTCTTGTGTCCTGTGTCTTTATTTCTATAGGGGGAGGCAGGAACTCGCCACACAATTGTGACCAAGACGAAAAAGGGTCTGGAAACCATGCCTTATGAGGAATGGTTGAGGAAGTTGGGAATGTTAACATCTGTGGCTGCAATGTATGCTGATTTTTGATTTAGATTTATTGCGGCCATTGGCCCATATCGAAAACAATACATCAGAATTTATCCATAAACAATACAATTTAAACAGTTCCAAGTTAAAACACCCTTATAAAACCAATTTTACTTTAGTTAAGTAAACACTATACACAATAAGCTCCTCTATGTAAACCGCAATTCCGGTCCATCAGAGTTTGGGGGGTATACGTCTTAGTTCTGGCACTTATTGATGGTTCTTAAGTTTAGCTAAGCTGTCAGAAACATACAGTGATCCATTTCTCCTCTTTTGAAATAAAACATTAATCAGGTATCTAGCGATTACAAGGGATCTACTTGTATCTTCGTCGTTTAATAAGTATATTATTTGGGCTTCCTGAGGACTGTCAGCAATTCTCGATAAATATGGGGCCAGAAACTTGGACCGTGAAGCCGAATGTAATGGACAACAGAAGATTATATGATATAACGATTCTATAGATCCGCTTTTACAGTCACAGAGGAGTGAGATCTGTCCGTTGGAGAGTCTGTTACCCAACACGTTTGATGGGAAAGCATTGAATCTAGCCATTATAAAGGCATACCTGTGCGTCACCACAGATAAGGTAGTTAAGTAAGATGGAAGTTTCGTTGGTGGTGTTAAGCCAAGGTTTATCGGCGAACAGGTGCCACCACCTGTCGCAATATTAAATTGTAAATCCATCTCCTCTAATTTGTGAGTTATAATTCTTTTGGCCGAAGTTAAATCCAATTTTAATAGTTCAGATGGAGATAGTCCTAGGGACACAAGTTTCCCATGTATTATTTTTGCCCAGGGGCTAGGGAAGTCATCTCTCCAGAGGCATTGTATCAAGTGGAGATTTGGAAGTTTATGCCATAAAGCCAACCAGTAACAGAGGATGCATTTCCATAGTGTGGTTTCTAGAGATGTAACATTTAGTTCCAGTCGTATAGCAGTATTGCTTACACACCTGGGTAATTTTAACAACCTTCTTAAAAGCTGGTTTTGGATTACCTCCAAATGGGTTAGATTAGTCCCATAATGGGACTGCATATGCTATTGTTGCAATCACCTTTGCCTTGAAAACTTTTAACACTGATGGAATATGGAAAGCCCCATCTGAAAAGAAAACGCAATAGCGCATAGGAAAGGGCTTTAGCTCTGTTTAATACATATGCAACATGGACCTTCCAGCCCATGTTGTGTTGGAGAAAGACTCCCAAGTACTGAAATTTAAAGACTTGGTCAATAGCTTTTCCGTCTATTCTCCAATTATAGGTTTTTCGACTCTTGGTGAAAATTAGGACTTTGGACTTAACATGGTTAATTGTAAGAAAATTTGATTTGCAGTAAACATCGAAAATTTTTAATGCCCTCCTAAGGCCGACTCTTGAAAAGGATAGGATCACTGCGTCGTCTGCGTAGAGTAGAAGGGGGCAACGATATTGGGCAAGACGGGGGGCGTGGATCGTTCCTTGAGCCTCTATCAGAGGCGCCCTCATATCACTTATAAACAGATTAAAAAGGGTCGGAGCAAGGATACATCCTTGGCGAACACCTCTATTGATAGCTACTGAGTTTGAGAGGTCGCCTGCCGGAGTGATTCTCACCCTAGCGGCCGATCCGTCATGCAATTTAGTTATTAGCCACAAAAGTCTTTTGTCTATTCCCCATCGGGCTAATTTTCCCCAAAGCAATCCTCTGGGGATGCTGTCAAAGCGGCCTTTAAATCAATAAAGGCCGCACAAAGTTGGCCTCTATTTGGGGAGGAGTATTTCCGGGCAAGGTGGTATAAAACTAAGACCTGATCAACCGCTGACTGATTCGGTCTAAAACCAGCCTGTTCAGGCCCAATCAGGTTGTTCTCTTCGGCCCACTTAGTAAGCTTAGTTAACAGGAACCGTGCATATATTTTCCCAATTAATGACAATAAACTGATATTCCTGTAATTTCCGGGTCATCTGTCGAGCCTTTATTATGAATTGGAACCCTAATCGCCTCCGTCCCTATTCTGGGTACCGGCCCACTGTTGGTGACGGCATCACCGGTAGCGGCCAAGATTTTCGCCCACCAGTCAGGATGATTTTTGATAGCATCTGCGGGGACTTGAGCAGGACCGGGGCTTTTCCGATTTTAAGATTAGAAATAAGTCCGTGGATTTCTTCCGGGTCAGTGGGAGGCCAAAGGGTCAGCTGCTCAAAGACTCCATCGATTGTATTAATATTAAGGTCTGGTAAGGCAAAATAATTCCTTAGAAAGGATTCCCAAATTGGGGCAGGAATAACTGTTAAGGGGTATCTTTTAGATTTTCTGTTAACCAACAGCCAGAATTTTCGGGAATTACGGGTACTTGAGGCAGCTATAAGTGCTTGCCAGCGGTTCAATTGCCATTCCTGTTTGGCCTTTTTCTGCACATATTTGTAAGCTGATTTTGCCTGATAGTACTCCTTGGGAAGCGTAATCGCCTCTGGAGGATTTGTAATCATTATAAATAGCACAAAGATGTTGTTTGGCTTGTTTGCAATTACGGTTAAACCACGGTGCACCTGTCTTGGGGTGGGCCCAATTTGCCTGGTGGGTTGGGACAGAAAAGAATGACGTGAGGTCATTCAACAGATTGGCAAATAGATTAATAGTTTGATCGTGATCATATGAAGTTATGCCAAGGGCTGAATAGGTTTGTATGATCTCCTGCTGAAAAAATTCAGAATATTTTTGAGCCTGTATGCTGATTCTGAACTGTATTTGTTGTTGTCAGGCAATGGCTTTGTTTCCTCCAGGTTCTTTAAAAAGTCTGTAATAATAGATCTGGCAACTGGGTTTGCTTCTGGCATCTCCTTGCTGCCAATTAATTCTGTGACTTTCTGCTTCTGGCTTAGAACAGGGACGTCCAACTCCCACGAGACTACGATCTACTCACAGGGGGCGGGGGAGCTGGCAGCCAAAGTTGTTGAGCTTCTTTTAGAGAGGAAAGTTCCATTTGGGGTGTTAAGGCCAAGGTTCTTGAGCCTTTTTTATGGAGAAAATCTCCGTTATTAGGGGGAAAATGTCAGACTAGAGTAAAGGGGAGAGGGGATTAGTCATTCACTAAAAGATCGCTATGGAAACAATTTGCCTCACAGTGAAAACTCAGCCTTCTGTTCCAGCGATCAGCTGAAAATGGTGGGCGGGGAGAGGGGGCAGGGCCAGCTGCTCTGAGGCAAAAACAAAGGAAAAGGAGCCAGCAATCGACCAGAACCTCCCCGGTATCGATCAGTCGTTATCCCTGGAATAAAACTACCATGTTCTCTCTGTATCTGAATGAACTTTCTCTGAGAGTCTGGGTTAGCTTAAGGCTTCCCTCATCAATGGAATTCTGACTGGTCATATGAAAAATGAAAATGGTGGAAATGTGTCAATTTCAAAACCAAAACTTCAATCTCCACAAGAGGAAAAACTCAAAACCTTCTCCGCCTAGCTTCTGCTCTGAGAGGGAAGAGGGAGCTAATCCCATTCACATTGGAGTCAGTGGAAGTCACCATGGTCTCACCAGGAAATAGAAAAAATGTTTGGTTTGAATCTCTCTTCTCTCTTGAGTAAATCCAGCCACATCCACTAAAATACTTTGAATTTTGTCTTCACTGGGCCCCATAACCTTTGTAGGAATGGATTTAGGCACTATGAGAGGATGTACAGTTTAGTTATTATCCTTCCTTGCTCATATTGTTGCATGTCATATGCTCTAATGTATACAAAGATATACCCTATTGCCACCATGTTAAACAGTTTCAAGATGAAAATGAATAAAAACTATGCGAAAAAGAAAAATATTTGTGAGTGTTTCAACTGGAGAAAGTTCAGGAAATACTGGACACAATACAGTCGTACCTAATTAAAGTGGAATAATTTCATCTGCAAATGATTTCACAATGCTGCTATCTACTCCCAGTGTAACAAACAAACAAAGTTTACAGGTAATCCTGAATGATGAGTTCACTCCCTTTTAATCTGTTCTGGAAAGCATTAGTTTCTGCGAGTAAGCACCACTCACTTGAGTAAACATTAAACTGAAAGGCATATCATCCAATGTACAGCTTTGAATAGTTGTGGAGAAGAAAAAATTCAGAGGGATGGCTTAATGATTCGCTACAGACATTACATGACATAATATATGGGTGGCTCATTGCAGTTGGTAGACACTGTTGTTGACCAAACTGCTCTGTAGCTTTGTTGTTTTTGTAGAAGTCTTTTAGACCGTGTTGGCCTTTGGGTTGCCAGTTTTTTATCTGGAGGTTTCTGCTTTTTTTCTGTTTGGCTCCGGAGGCCTCCAGGCCTTGGAGCTCTGCTCAGCTATCGGTGGGATGCTACCAGTCCCAGCGGGGTTGAGGCCACTGGGAGGTGGCTTGGGGCTCTTCACGGCCTCCTCGGTTGTTGCGTTGGGCACCACTGGTTACCCCTCAATCATGGTGCTGATGGCGGTGCAGGTACCATCCAGACAACGCCATTGGTGCTTGTGGTCCTCAGAAGCTCCATGCTGACCTTGGCGCTTGCCATCTTGCCTCACCGGAAGTCCATACTGGTGCACTTTGAAACATCCATCCCTGAATGCAGTTCAATGATTACTCCAAAGAATTTCAGAATGCTGCCCTTTACACCCATTATAACAGATATATTTATACATAATCTGGGTGACAGGTCTGCAGCCAGGTTCAAGAGAATTTGAATCTGTTCTGGAAGGCAATAGTTTGTGGAAGTAAGCACCACTCACTTGAGTAAACATTAAACTGAAAGGCAAATCATCCCATGTACAGATTTTAATAGTTGTGGAGAAGAAGAAAAAAATCAGAGGGGCAAATCAGAACACATTTCCATTTTACTGGATGGTTTAATGATTTGCTAGAGACAGTACCTAGCATAATATATATGCTGCTCACTGCAGTTGCAAGACATTGTTCTTCACAAATTGCACTGTAGCTTTCATTATAACCACTACCCCAAATAATTGCTTGCAAAAACGAAATGGATTGGATAGAGCCGATTCCAGCGTTGTTCCTCTTTATCCTTATGATTTCCTTTATTTTGAAACTAGGCACTTTCTGGAACAAGAGCTCCCAAAATCTTCCACCAGGACCAAGGCCTTTACCTCTCATTGGGAATCTCCACATCATGGATCTCAAGAGGCCTTACAGAACCATGTTAAAGGTAAAGATTCCAGTTCTTCCCATGGCAAGGCTGAAGTGTACTGGGGCAGCCAAGTCAGATGAGCGGGGTAGAAAATTATTATTATTATTCTTAATATCAACAATACATTACATTTTGTTCTTTTAGAGCCTATAAATCTCATCTCCCCTTTGTGTGCTACAGAACCGCCTCTTAACATTCCCAGTCATAAGACTTAGTTGCAATTTATAACTGGTAATTTGAACAAGGTGTCTGGGGGTGTCTGGTGTCGAATCCCGTTTGACTCTGCCTCCATTTTCAAGGATGCAAAAGTGCCAATACAAACCTTGCCTAGCCCAGCCTCCTCCTTCAGCCTATCTTTCTAAACAAGATTTGAGAGGTGCCATTAAAGGTATAATCACATTTATCCTTACAACTGCCTATGTTGTTCTGGTTTTCTGATTATTCCTAGCAAATATTTGTGCTGCTGCAACTGAATAATAATAATAATTTAAAAATAACTTATTATTTATACCCCACCCATCTGGCTTGGTTTCCCCGGCCACTCTGGAAGGCTCCCAACAGATTATGAACATGATCAAACATGATCAAACACCAAACTTTAAAACTTACTTTAAAAGGACTGCCTTCAGGTGTCTTCTAAAAGTCAGATAGTTGTTTATTTCCTTGACATCTGATGGGAGGGCATTCCACAGGGCAGGCATCACTACCAAGAAGGCCCTCTGCTTGGTTCCCTGTAACCTCACTTCTCGCAGTGAGGGAACCGCTAGAAGGCCCTCAGAGCTGGATCTCAGTGTTCGGGCTCAATGATGGGGGTGGAGACGCTCCTTCAGGTATACTGGGCCGAGGCCGGTTGGGGCTTTAAAGGTCACCACCAACACTTTGAATTGCGCTAAAAAAGGTACTGGTAGCCAATATTGGTCTTTACGGGCCGGTGTTATATGGTCTCGGCAGCCACTCCCAGTAACCAGTCTAGCTGCTGCATTCTGGATTAGTTGCAGTTTCTGGGTCACCTTCAAATGTAGCCCCACGTAGAGCGTATTGCAGTAGTCCAAGCGGGAGATAACTAGAGCATGCACCGCTCTGGCGAGACAGTCTGCGGGCAGTCTGCGGGCGGATAGGGTCTCAGCCTGTGTACCAGATGGAGCTCGTAGACAGCTGCCCTGGACAAAGAATTGACCTTCTTTCAAGGACAAAGAAGTGCCTTCATGGGCAGCTGTGAGTCCAAAATTACTCCAAGGCTGCGCACCTGTTCCTTCCAGGGCACAGTTACCCCATTCAGGATGAGGGAGTCCTCCACACCTGCTCACCCCCTGTCCCCGCAAAACAGTACTTCTGTCTTGTCAGGATTCAGCCTCAATTCAGCCACCATCTACCTCCAACCGCCTCCTGACACTCACACAGGACCTTCACTGTTCTGTTTTAAAAGAGAGGTAGAGCTGGTTATCATCCGCATACTGATGAACATGTACCCCAAACCTCCTGATTATCCCTCCCAGCAGCTTCATGTTGATGTTGAAAATAATGGAGGAGAGGATGGAACCCTGAGGCATCCCACAAGTGAGAGCCCAGGGTCATGAACAGTTATCTCCCAACACCACTTTCTGGACACGGTCCAGGAGGAAGGAGCAAAACCACTGTATAGCAGTGTTTCCAGCTCCCAGCCCCTCTAGGTGGTCCAGAAGGATGTCATGGTCGATGGTATCAAAGGCCACTGAGAGATCCAGCAGAACTAGGAAACAGCTTTCACCTTTGTTCTTAGCTGGCCGGAGATCACTGGCCCACAGTTTCAGTCCCATGATGAGGCCTGAATCCAAATTGGAAGAGATCCAAATGGTCCGCATCCTCCAGGCGTGCCTGGAGTTGTTCAGCAACCACCCGCTCAATCACCTTGCCAAAGAATGGAAGATTTGAGACTGGGTGATAGTTCACCATACTGGCTGGGTGCAAAGATTTATTTTTTAATAAGTGGCTTTATAACCACCACTTTCAGCGGGTTTGGGAAGGCTCTTTAACAGAGTGAAGCATGCACCACCCCGCAGAACTTTTATGAGCCAAGATGGGCAAGGATGAAGGAGACAGGTGGTCAGTTGCACTTGTCCAAGCAGCCTATCCACATCCTCGGAGGTAACAGTTTGGAATTGATCCCATGCAACTTGACTAGACATCCCATGCAACGTGACCCTAGCACTCTCCCGCCCTGGCCCTGCTCCCAAGGTGGAGTCTACTGAACTGGGTGAAAAGGCTGAGCTGCTGTATCATGAGTCCAGCAACTGTTGCTGCTACAGCTATTAGTAGCAAATGTCTCGAAGAGGATTGTGGCATAGACAATGCTCTTTTACTTTATCATTATGTTATTTGGATTCTGTTATTGAAAAAAACTGATAATAGTCTAACAGTCAAACTGTGCTACTAGATTCTGTGGATTGTATAAAAGAGCCTTTATTCTTAGGTAAATGTGCAAGCTAATGCAGTCTTGGTTCTGTGAGATATGATTTACATTAATATATTCTTTGGGTATGCCAGAACTCTGTTTCTCAATTTTTCTTCTGTTGAATTCCAGTTGTCAAAGCAATATGGCCCTGTCTTGGGCATCCAAATGGGACCCCGGAGAATTGTGGTGTTGACAGGATATGAGACAGTAAAGGAGGCTCTGGTTAATCAGGCGGACGCATTTGCAGACAGGCCCACCTTTGCATTATTTCAAGAGCTTGCACAAGGCTTTGGTGAGGCACCTCCCTTTCTATTGCAACTTGTAATGCTTGCAGACACAAACAGATCCCACCAGGTGAACACAATATGTTCCCAAGAAATGGTTCGTAAGATGAGCGTTTGCAAAGCAAGTCAATGAAATCCATTGTTTCCTGTGGGGAAAATCCTTGTGAATTCTTCAACCCACCTCAGTGCCGTTGAAATTGACAGTGTATCTGTAGGCATTAGGCTGAGAATGTGTCACAAAAAGTGTCGCCTGTCAATTTCTGCAGATCAAGCTAAAATGTTAAAAAGAGTAGACCAGACCAACTTTTTTTGGTCTTGACTTTCAGTGGCTCAGTGGGGCTCTGTTGAAGAAACAAAAATGGAGGCCATTTAAAGCAAACCTTTCCCATTCCCACCTTCTTCCCAACAGTCATATTGTAGAGGTAGGGAAGAATGAGACAGGACGATTGTGAATAATAGTTGCACAGCAAAGTAATGCCACACACCAAGGGGAAACTGACTGACCATTTTCTGGCCTAGCCTACACAGAGAGGATAAATTAAGAAGGCATAATGGAATACAAATAACAAGCTGAGTTCTGCTTGGGCTGACATGTACAAACCACCCTCTACTCTATCCTACACTTAGTAGGGGAAAATATTGTTCAATGTGTTCTCAGGTCTTGCTCTGATGGCACAGCTGCCAGCTACTTTGTCAAAGCTCAGAAGTCTGAGTCTGACTGAGAGAATAGCTGGGATCCATTCTCAGTTCCATAGAAGAAATGCAGAACATAATTTATTGATTCTTTGTTCAATGGCCATGCAAACATGAAACCTTTCCTCCCGTTTTCAGGTGTAAGTCTGTCTAATGGTGAGAACTGGAAAGTGATGCGGCGGTTTGCTTTAAGCACATTACGGGACTACGGAATGGGAAAGAGGACCATAGAGGACAGAATTCTTGAGGAATGCAGTGTCCTGATAAAGAAATTTGAATCTTATGAAGGTGGGTTGGTGTTTTCCTCTGGTGCATAGCTACACTACCATAGTTTAAAGGTGCCAAGACTATTGTGTTACATATTCCTAACTTCCAGAAGCACAGCTCCCAGGGTTCCCTGCAATTGGTCTGTCCCTGTAATGTGAAGATTGCACTGCAATAACTCCTGTGACTTCCAAGCATTTCTTAGCCCAGCTATGGCCACATCCGGCAACACTTAGGATCAGTTTCTTTGATAAATGAGGTCTACACATAGGGAAGCTGCCAATAGGGATTTAAGGCAACAAAGAACAGACTTAAAAACAATGCCTTTTCCATACTTGGAATTTCAACAGAATATTTTTGTTTAACTGTCATATTTATGTATAGGAAACCCGTTTGAGACCGTCACAATTATGAATGCAGCTGTTTCCAATATTATAGTGGCCATACTACTAGACAAGCGATTTGATTATGAAGATCCCACATACATAAGACTTCTGAAGTTGGTCAATGAAAATATCCGGCTTTTCGGAAGCTCTTCACTCACGGTAATCTATTTTTTCAATTAAAACAAACAAACACTTGATTATAATAACAGTGTATGCAAAGTGGGCAGGGCTACCTGTTTATTGTATATTGTTCAGGGTTCACTACAAAACACAGAATATTGATATCTTGAGAAACCTGGTGCTAATTCAAAATATTAAGAAAACTCACACGGTACAGTCATCCCGTAACTATAATAAAGTCTCTTTTGCACACATGCTTTCTGGCCTCACTGCCATCGGGACTCCAAGGACAAGGAAGAAGAAGTGATAGTTGGTTCCATGATGGCTCAGAAGGGGCCTCCAAGGGCAGATCTCCCTCTCTGAAGGCGAACCTCCAGAGGGGAACTGCCATAGCCTATTATTCTTTTAAAAAAAAAAAAAAATATTTATTCAAATTTTAAGATTACAGAAAAAGAAAAAAGTAAAGAAAGAAAAACTAATCACATACATCCTACAAGAAAAGCACAATACAAGGAAAAATACACAAGACAAAAAATCACAATAAAAAATAACAAAAGAAAAATTCAACTTAAACCATTAGAACCGTTTTCCCATTTACTTATTTCCGTGACTTCCTCTCACTTCTCTGCTTTGTATTCTAATTCAAATTGTATCTCCAGCAAATCCTTCTAACCTTCTTTTCATTTACTTATTTTAACATTCAAAAATATTTAATTCTCCTCTATCTTTTATTTTACACTTCATATTTACTTAATTCCATTATGCTCTGTCTGCCAATACGGTCTAATATTCTTCTCCAACCTTTTCTAACATTCTTTTATATTACAGTAATTCTGAAGATATGTTTTAAATTTTTTCCAATCTTCTTCCATCGACCCTTCTTCTTGATCTCGAATTCTGCCGGTCATCTCAGCCAGTTCCATATAGTCTATCACTTTTCTCTGCCATTCTTCTCGGGTAGGCAATTCTTGTGTCTTCCAGTATTTCCCAATAAGTATTCTTGCTGCTGCTGTCGCATACATAAAAAAAATTCCTGTCTTCCCTTCGCACCAATTGACCGACCATGCCCAAGAGGAAGGCCTCTGGTTTCTTCAAGAAAGTATATTTCAATACCTTTTTAGTTCAGTATATATCATTTCCCAGAAGGCCTTGATCTTTGGGCACGTCCGCCAAAGGTGAAAAAAGTACCTTCGTTTTCTTTACATTTCCAACATTTATTATCAGGCAAATGATAAATTTTTGCTAGCTTGACTGGGGTTAAGTACCACCTGTAAATCATTTTCATTATATTTTCTCTTAAGGCGTTGCAAGCCGTAAATTTCATACCTGTGGTCCATAACCATTCCCAGTCAGCAAACATAATGTTATGCCCAACATCTTGCGCCCATTTAATCATAGCAGATTTGACCATTTCATCCTGTGTATTCCATTTCAACAGCAGATTATACATTCTTGACAAATTTTTAGTTTTAGGTTCTAACAATTCCGTTTCCAGTTTAGATTTTTCCTCCTGGAAACCAATCTTTTTGTCTAAATTAAAAACCTCCCTTATTTGATAATAATGCAGCCAATCTCGAACTTTAGCCATAGCCTATTATTCTGGGGTTGCACATAAATTACGCTGCCCTGACGTAGCCCTAACCCCATTCCAAATGCCATTCAAGAGTTTTGTTTGTATTTGGGCAGTCATGCTTTGAGAGAGCCAGCTGAGAGAACTGTACTGGGCTTTCCTAATGTTTTCTTCTTCTTTTTTCACATTTTATCCTTTCAGCTGTATAACATGTTTCCTGCTCTTGGTTTTCTTTTGGGGGCTTATAAGACTGTCATTCAAAACAGAGATGAGCTGTTTGCCTTCATAAATGCCACCTTCATAAAACACCTCAGAGATCTGGATGAAAATGACCAGAGGAGCTTTATTGACTCATTTCTTATCCAACAGCAAGAGGTAATGGAGTCTTTTAAGTTGACCCAGAATAAATGTTGACATTTTCAATTCATGTTTTAAGGGCATATTCGCAAGTGAATGCATAAGTTGTAGTCAGGAAGTCTCACTTCAGAAGGGACCAACATGGCATACTTCCTACCATTTCCCAATCTTCGGCCATTGTTAATGTGTTACTGGTACAGATGTTGCCTGTGTAGGAGCAAAGTTTGCATGCTCACCAGCTATTCTGAAAAAAATCCCTAATCAAGAAAACATGACAATGGGGGTATATAAAAGAGCTGTTGTGAAGCCCAAAGAGATTGATGGATTTATGTTAAAAGATGACTGGAGGTGACAGAGATTGGATTTAGAAAGCGAGATTCTAGTTAACAAATGGAAGGAAGAAAAAACCCCTCACTTCATAGGTTTGTAAAATGACTGGATGAAATTGTAAAAAAGAGAGAGAAATCTTTCCTTTTAAAAAAAACCCCAAAGTGAAACATCACCAACAAGAAATGAGATTGGCATGTGGCACTAGGTATGATTTAATGAAGATACAATATGCAAATATTTATGGGCTATTTTACTGTTAAGATTTGTTGGAACCCTTGACAACTCATCATATTGAAACAGAGAAAGGCTGTTTTAGACAGTTGATGAGAACAACAATTAAAGAGCTAGATTTGGACTTTTTCAGTTGAATAAGGTGAACCCAAGAGGCCTGGGAGTAAAGATTGAAAAATATCATCTAGCAGAATGAAAAAAAGTGCTCAGTGTGGTGAAAATACTGAAAAACACCCCACTGCCTGTTGGTGCCATGCATCAACTATTGAATGAACAATTGGAAGAACTTAGAGTGGAGAGGCATTAAATTGTTAATAATGGGGAGCTGCTGCTGAAAAGGCCAATTCTCATGTTGCCACGCTCCGTTGGTCTTGGAGAGGAGCTACAGGAAGAAGCCTCAGATGGATCTGCAGGATCTTGGTCGATTTATATGGGGAGAGGTAGTCTTTGATGTATTGCAGTCCTCAGTTGGCAGTTGGACTAGGACTTAATTAATTTTAAGTATGCTCCTTATGTGAGGCAGGTTACTCCACAGTAGGGAAGCATTTGCTCTTTGGCAATAGGCCAGGCATTTATCCTTCTCCCTCTTAAGATTCTTCCCTTTTCTCCTGCGTCTCTTCACTCCCCTCTGGCTCCCAGCGGGACAGGCAGCTATTACAACCAGCAACTCTATCGGTGTTACTCTTCCTGTTGGAAAGTGTGGCAGAAGGGAGTTGCAGTCGCGAAAATATGGAGGGCACCACATTGTCTATCTCAGTTTAATGAAACAGTTCTAGATGAATATGTGGTTTTTCTGTGTCATTTTTTTCCATTTTAGACTATGAGTAAATACATTAAAGACTATGAGTAAGTACATTAAAGAAGTTCACTGAGAACCATATATGTCAGCAGAAAACAACACTTTATGGTAACCCTGATTTCAGATCTCCACAAGTGTTCACCAGAAATGCTGCCTTCCATGTATGCAATCATAATACTGTTGCAGGTTTGTGGGGTCAGTCTGCATGATGCCTGAGAATGTTCCAACTTGTGGAGACCTTGTACCCAGTAAGGGTTAATTCTAATGGAGGAATCTATTGATGAATCAGTCAGACAAGTTTCTTTGTGAGATGAGGGCCATATACTTGTCATCTAAATACTGCCACTAGTTCCTTTGTCTAAACAAAGGCTGTTGGCTGAGGAGTCAAGCACAACAGTTCGCATCAGAGAAGAAGGAGCTGGATTGCCTAGCTTCCCCGACCTCCTCTCTTAGCTGGTAGATGGAGAACAACAGCTGTGACTATGGAGAAGCAAGACATTTTGGGGTCTTGATGCTGAGCCCCTCTATCTTATGCTCAGGTTGAATATATAGTCATACCTCGGGATAAATACGCTTCAGGATAAGTATTTTCGGGTTGCGCTCCGTGGGAACCCGGAACTAACAGAGTGCATTACTTCTGGGTTTTGCCGCTCAAGCATGCGCAGACGGGCAAAATGACATCACACACATGCACGGAAGCAGTGAAACATGACCAGCGCATGTGAAGACACACAGTCGCATCTTATGTTCTGTTCAGGATGCGAACGGGGCTCCAGAACAGATCCAGTTCACATCCCGAGGTACCACTGTATGTTTAAATAAACCCTCTTTCATCATGATGGCATAGTCTGGAAACCTGGAATCTCTCACTGCTCAGCGACTGTGGTGATGTGCAATGATATTTTGGATCATCGGGTCCAGTCAGGTATTCATTTTTATCTTTGCACATGAAATTTTCTCACTCCATTCATTTTAACCAGTTCATACTCTTTGCAACCCAGGAGAAGAAGACGAACAAGACGAATGTATATTTCCACAACAAAAACTTAACAGTTATTGTGGCCAACCTATTTGCTGCTGGCACAGAGACCACTGCTACCACACTGCGCTGGGGACTGTTACTAATGATGAAACATCCTGAAATTCAGAGTGAGTGCTTTTCATTGGGTTGTCTCCGATTAGTCTGAGATAGCTTAATTCCAGATATATGTAACTATTAGAGAGAGAAAATATTAATAATTTTCATATCTATCTATTTCACAACAATTGTTCAGTCATAAGCTTAACATTTCAACCTGGACTCCCTTCTCCCTCTTTCTGTGGTTCTTTACATTTCTTTTCATATTCCTGCATACTCCAAATTATCCCAACATCTTCTTTTAGATATATATTCCCATATATATCCCATATATATATTGGAACTGCAGGTTTTACATTAATCCTGCCAGTGTCTTAGTATGTTTACAGTTTGTTTGCTAATATTCAATAAAGCATTTCCATTCCTTTCTTTATTTCTTTTTTTAAAAAGGTTATCTTGATATATTATTCTCATGGTAAGTTTCGTCATTTCTGTGTAGTCCATTAACCTCTGTATCCTTTCTTCTCTTGTCGGGACCTCTTCCTCCTTCCATTTATTTATGTATAAATATATGGGCAAATAACATTCTTGCAGCTGTGGTTGCATACATAAATAAATTTATATACTGTAGTTCCAATCCCAAAATTTCCAAAAGAAAAGCTTCTGGTTTTTTAAAAATCTTAAACATCTTTTTCAGTTCATTTTATATCATTTCCCAGTAAGCTTTAACTTTATTACTAGACCACCACATATCAAAAAGGTACTTTCTTTCTCTTTACGTTTCCAGCACATATTCAAGTTGGATTTATACATTTGAGCCAATCTATTAGGTGTTAGATACCATTTATATAACATGTTCATATAGTTTTCTCTTAAACTATAACATTCTGTAAATTGTATATCTGTTCCCATGCATCCATTTCTATATTATTAATAACTATTGTCCAGAGTATCCTTGTAGATTTCACTTGTTTGTCCTTTGTCTCCCATTCCAATAACATCTTATACATTTTAGATATCACTTTAACATTACAGTTTAACAGGTTTCTTTCTAGTTGTGATTTTCGTTCCCCAACCCCCCGCTTCATATCCCTTTTAAAGACTTCATTCAAATGATGATATTGTAATCATGTTGGTAACATCTCTGATAAATCCTTGAATTATTTTAATTTAAATTCTTCAAAGTGAAAGCCATATTAGTGTTTTGGTCTCCAACAGGTTTTTATACTTATCCATACTCTATACATTTTTTTCTGATTATATAGTTTATAAAACCTTTATGTACTTTCACATTTTCATACCTCAAGTAAGCGTGCCAACCAAAAATATTGTCATGACCTTCCAAATCTAAAATATGTGGATTCTTCAATAACAATCATTCCCTCAAACAGCACAGACAAGGTGCTTCATAATAGAATCTCATATGCGGCGGGAAGAAACCTCCTCTCTCTTTCACATCTATCAATATTTTATATTTTATTCTCATTTTTTCTCTTGCCAGATATATTTATAAATATATTTTTGCCATTTGTTGAAACAATCTGTCTTGCTGGTAATAATTGAAATGTCCTATGACCTTTTAAAATGTGGTTTGGGGCGTTTATTGGGTTGTTTTTATTTTGATTATGTATTTTGTAGTTTTATATTTGATTTTATTCTGTGAACCTCTGGATATAGGGCAGTATATAAATTCAATAAATAATAATAAGAAGCATAAACTAAAATAATATCCTCAATAATACATTCATTTTAGTGGTTGACACCCTACCCAGTAACGAAAGTTTCATTCTCCTCCATATTTGCAAATTTATTTTAATATCCTCCCAAGTTTTTAAATAATTATCCTTATACAAGTTTATATTCTTTGCTCTTAACCACACATCCAAATATTTAATCTTCTTTTCACTCTTTAAGATGGATAAACTTTGTAATTTATTTTTACTCTCATCATTCAAATTTTTCACCAGGAGTTTGGTTTTATCTTATTAATTTTAAGACCTGCTATTTCTAAAAAAAACAAAACAAAATCTTACAGTGCCTTCAGGGTTGACTCTATAGGTTCCTCAACAAATATCAGCACGTTATCTGCAAAAGCTTTTAATTTATATTATATTATTATTTATTTTTATTATATTATATATAATATATTTATATTGTCTCTGTCCCACTTTTATTCCTTTATTTTCTTGGTTACATCTTATTCTTTGTGCCAAAACTTCTAAAACTGTTATAAACAATGAAGGTGACAGTGGGCAACCATGTCTACTTCCTTTAGTTATTTTACAATTCTCAGTCAATACATTACTTACTGATGGATCAGTATATATTGCCGTAACTCCTTTTTAAAAGTGTCTCCACAAACCATATATTCCAAAGCCTTAAACATATAAATTCCCAGGAGACGTTGTCAAATGCTTTCTCACAGTCTAAAAACATTAAAGCTGCCCATTTTTCATTTCTCACTACTAAATATTCTATTACATCAATTATGTTTCTATTATTATCTTTCATTTGTCTTCCCAGCAAAAAATCAGCCTGATCCAGCCTTAATGGATTACCTCTTTTAATACAGTTTTCAACCCATTAGCTAATATGTCTGCAAACAGTTTATAATCGTTATTCAACAACGAAATAGGTCGATAGCTCTTAACCAGCTTTGGATCTCTATTTTGCTTATGAATCAAAGTTATGTATACACTCTTCCGGGATTTGGGTAACTCTCCGACATTCCAAGTTATATTCAAAATATCTTTTAAAGGTTGCATTCGGTAATCTTGTATCATCTGGCCTATGAGACCGCCCTTGAATCCCTGAGGCAAAGGGCATTTCACATAGTGACCTGTGATCTTGATCTCATGCAAGAGATGAGATAGCCTCATATCTTAGGAACCTGTCTGTACCAACCTATCAGCATTTATTTACCAAAGCCAGACTAAATGTATTTCCATCGGAAGTGCTAAATCATGAGTAGGCAAACTAAGGCCCGGGGGCCGTATCCGGTCCAATCACCTTCTAAATCCGGCCCACGGACAGTCCGGGAATCAGCGTGTTTTTACATGAGTGTCTTTTTATTTAAAATGCACCTCTGGGTTATTTGTGGGGCATAGGAATTTGTTCATCCCCCCCCCAAAAAAACATAGTCCGGCCCCCCACAAGGTCTGAGGGACAGTGGATTGGCCCCCTGCTCAAAATGTTTGCTGACCCCTGTGCTAAATGGTTGACTGAGCGGCATCCCTTATGAGAATAGGCTTTGTTTATGTTCTCAGGACATCGCATATTTTACTGCATTGTGGCAGTACGACCAACTGATCAAACCCCTACTGGCAAATCTGCTGGGAAAATCTGAAGCCTCCCATGCTAAATATCTTTTGGATGACAGGTCTAATGATATTACACTGGCCGTGGCAAAGTTTCTTTCAGAAGTTATAAGAAACAAAGATTATCATGCTAGAGACAAAACAAAATGACCCCCTCTGTTGCTCTTTCTTGTGTGGTTGACTGTCTTAACTGTATTTTTTTCTGAAATTGCTCTATGGGACTTTGAACCGCAATAAAGATTTATTATAATACAGTTTTAAACCTATTAGCTAATCTGTCTGCAAACAGTTTATAATTGTTATTCAACAATGAAATTGGTTAATAGCTCTTAACCAGCTTTGGATCTCTATTTTGATTATGAATCAAAGTTATGTTTGTACTCTTCCAGTATTTGGGTAACTCTCCTGTATTCAAAGTTATATTCATAATATCTTTTAAAGGTTGCATCAGGTAATCTTGTAATTTTTTAATAACATATTGCTGAAAGTCCATCAGGTCCACATGCCTTCCCTAATTTTGCCTGTAAAATAGCTTGCTGTAATTCCATCATTTTGGTATCTTACGTAGTATGCTGTCTTCTAAATATTTACCTATTTACCCATTTCTTCTAAATATTTACCTATTTCTTCTAAAACTGCTTTTGTTCATTTTTGAATACAGTGGTACCTCGGGTTACATACACTTCAGGTTACATACGCTTCAGGTTACAGATGAATTAAGTACTTAACCCAAGGTACCACTGTAATTGTTTTGGGTCCAGCTCAGGTTTTATACACATTGCAACTCCTCTCTTTTTTGTTATATCAGAAGGTACAAAGTCCTTTCCATGCCTTTTATTTATTAAAATTCTTCTATGTTTCTTAACAATGTGTTTCTTGGAGGCATATAACATCCCAGTTTAACTTCTTTACATGTTCAATTTTCTTGGAGACAAATAACATCCAAGTTTAACTTCTTTACATGTTCAATTTTATTCATTTAGTCCTATTATTTAGCCTATTAACATTCCAAGTTAGAATTTTCAAAGCCATCTTGTTCCTTATTTATTTCTCCACCTCTGTTGAATCTTCCACCTTCCAGTTCAAATGCCCTTTCTCCAGCTAATTCTGCCCATATTTTCTCCAAAATTTGTCTGGCTCTGTAGGATCCAGAAATCTTTGTTTTCTGCCTTTTTATGTACAGTGGTACCTCAGGGTTACATATGCTTCAGTTTCATACGCTTCAGGTTACAGACTCCACTAACCCAGAAATAGTACCTCGGGTTAAGAACTTTGCTTCAGGATGAGAACAGAAATTGTGCAGTGGTGGCGCAGCGGCAACAGGAGGCCCCATTAGCTAAAGTGGTGCTTCTGGTTAAGTACAGTTTCAGGTTAAGAACAGACCTCCAGAACGAATTAAGTTCTTAACCCGAGGTACCACTGTAAATGCTACCGCTTCAGGATATTCCCAGCAGTGATATTTTAATAATTATCCTGGATGCATTTCTCTCCCTCAGTATATCAGGTTATTGATTAAAATGTTTGTCTTATTTAAAAATACCTTTGTCAAATTCTAGAGATTAAATTTGTGAGTCTGGGAAATTGGAGAACCAGTTTATGGCAGTTCTATGCTGCAGAGATTAATATTTTAAGAGGCCAAAGTCAAACAGATTATCTTGGCAGAAAAATGAATGCTTTCTTTTTTTGTTTCCCCCAGCAAAGGTCCAAGAAGAAATTGCAAGGGTTGTTGGATCTTCTCAGCCAAGGATTGAACACCGAACAAAAATGCCTTATACAGATGCTGTGGTCCATGAGATCCAGAGATTTGCTGATATTGTCCCAACCAACCTGCCACATGCCACGGCTACAGATGTTACCCTCAATGGCTACTTCATTCCTAAGGTGATCCTTTTCATTGAACTGCTGCCTACTATTTACAATATATTTTAAGGTTTCCTGGGAGTAAGCCCCTTGGACTTCATTGTGGGTGACATCTGTGCAGACTTGTATACGATTGCACTGTAAGCAAGCTCTTCAGCGTCATCTTCAACCTGTTAAACAGATCTCAATGGGAAGGAGCACAAGGTTGGAAAAGAAACCATTTCTGGTGGGAGATCATGGTTTATATGTTAAAGTTTTTCAAACGAAAGACATTTTTCAAGTGAACTAAAAATCTCATTTATCCTGCAGTCAGTATTTATTGTACCAGAGGCATATGCTTTATTTTAAAATAGCTCTTGCTTTGTTTTTGCAGGGGACACACATCATGCCATTGCTGTCCTCTGTGCTGCATGATGAATCTCAATGGGAGAAACCACATAAATTCTATCCAGAACATTTTCTTAATTCTGATGGAGAATTCGTAAAGAGAGATGCTTTCATGCCTTTCTCCGCAGGTAACTTTTTTTAAACTTTTGTGTATACCTGCATAGTGTGTGCTTAGTCAATGGGATTTTTACATGCCACGAATGTAACCTATTGTGCAAAGGAAAGAATCACATCAGTTGCTGTGGCCATTTCTGCCACTAGATCTGCCCACTGTTGGTGAGTCACCCCTGGAATGTTGCTCACCAGGGAATGTGGCCCTCAGGCTGAAAAATCCCCACCCCGGTTTTCAGCATTGCAGGATGGCTCGTATTGGGAGTTCTTAATTCTTTTAAGATGGGCACTGTGAGCTGTTATTTCATCTCTGCATTTCCATCTGCTTTTAAGTATTTGGGATGTTATTAAAGGTAAAGGTCCACTCATGGCCGACTCTGGGGTTGTGGCTCTCATCTCGCTTTACTGGCCGAGGGAGCAGGCGTACAGCTTCCGGGTCATGTGGCCAGCATGACTAAGCCGCTTCTGGTGAACCAGAGCTGCGCACGGAAATGCCATTTACCTTCCCGCCGGAGTGGTACCTATTTATCTACTTGCACTTTGATGTGCTTTCAAACTGCTAGGTTGGCAGGAACAGGGACCAAGCAACGGGAGCTCACCCCGTCGCAGGGATGCGTACCGCCAGCCTTCTGATTGGCAAGTCCTAGGCTCTGTGGTTTAACCCACACCACCACCCACGTCCCTTGGGATGTTATTAAGCAACTGCGAAACCCAGTTTCTCTGCTGCCTATGTTTCCATACAGGTCGGAGAGCATGTTTAGGTGAGACTCTTGCCAAAATGGAGCTCTTCCTCTTCTTCACAAGTCTCCTGCAGAAATTCACCTTCCAGCTACCCCCTGGAACATCTCAGGAAGACCTGGACCTTACTCCTGCTATTGGGCTTACAACATCGCCCATGCCCCACAAGCTCTGCGCTCTGCCACGTTTCTAAGACTCACAAGCTCCTGGCTTGCTTAGCCTACCTGTGTGTGCAATGCAAGCCTTTCTTAAAACACCCCTGTTCTGCAAGGGTATTTGGGTTGAGTAGCCTAGTGGTGGAATTGGTGCATGCTTTGTCACAAATCTTGTGTTCCCCTTTACCTGCCATACTGCTGAATCCCGAGAAATTAATACTGGAAAATCTTTTAAATAAAACCTGGCCTTGAGTTCTTATGACACTTGGGGCATAGAGATCAATCAACAAATCTGATTGAATGTATTCCCATGTTAACATATACTTTCAAAGATCTTGAAGCATCATATTCCCAAGTAGATGTGCTGAGAATTGTGACCAAGACGGTAAAGTGTCTGGAAACCATGCCTTATGAGGAATGGTAGAGGAAGTTGGGTATGTTAACATCTGTGGCTGCAGTGTATTCTGATACTGAAATGTATGTGTTGATGTCAGGCAATGGCTTTGTTTCCTCCGGGTTCTTTAAAAAATCTGTCATAATAGATCTGGCAACTGGGTTTGCTTCTGGAATCTCCATGCTGTCAATTAGTTCAGTGACTTTTTGCTTCTGGCTTAGAATAAAACAACCATCTTCCATCTTCTCTCTGTATCTGAATGAACTTTCTCTGAGAGTCTGGGTAGCTTAAGGCTACCCTCATCAATGGAATTCTGACTGGTCATATGAAAAATAAAAATGGCAGAAATATGTCAAAATCAAAATCAAAACTTAAATCTCCACAAGAGAAAAAACTCAATACCTCCTCTGCCTAGCTTCTGCTCTGAAAGGGAAGAGGGAGCTAATCCCTTTCACAACAGAGACAAGGGAAGTCACCATGGTCTCACCAGGAAATAGAAAAAATGTCTGGTTTGAATCTCTCTTCTCTCTTAAGAAAATCCAGCCACACCCACTATAATACTTTGATTTTTGTCTTCACTGGGCCCCATAACCTTTGTAGGAATGGATTTAGGCACTATGAGAGGATGTACAGTTTAGTTATTATCCTTCCTTGCTCATATTGTTGCATGTCATATGCTCTAATGTATACAAAGATATAACCTAATGTCACCATGTTAAACAGTTTCAAGATGAAAATGAATAGAAATTATGCTAAAAAGAAAAATATGTGTGAGTGTTTCAATGGGAGTAAGTTCAGGAAATACTGGACACTTTCAAATTAATGCTGTCATCCCTAATTGAAGTTGAATAATTTCATCTGCAAATTATTTCACAATGCTGCTCTCTACTGATAATCCTGAGTTATGAGTTCGCCGTGTTCAAGAGCATTGTAATCTGTTCTGGAAAGCATTCGTTTGTGGAAGTAAGCACCACTCACTTGAGTAAACATTAAACTGAAAGGCATATCATCCAATGTACAGCTTTGAATAGTTGTGGAGAAGAAAAAAATCGGAGGGATGATTTACTGATTCGCTAGAGACATTACATAACATAATATATGGGTGGCTCATTGCAGTTGGTAGACACTGCTGTTGACCAAACTGCTCTGTAGCTTTGTTGTTTTTGTAGAAGTCTTTTAGACCGTGTCGGCCTTTGGCTTGCCAGGTTTTTATCTGGAGGTTTCTGCTTTTTTTCTGTTTGGCTCCAGAGGCCTCCGGGCCTGGTGTAGTGGTTAAGAGCAGTAGACTCGTAATCTGGGGAACCGGGTTTGCATCTCCGCTCCTCCACATGGGTGACCTTGGGCCAGTCACACTTCTCTGAAGTCTCTCAGCCCCACTCACCTCACAGAGTGTTTGTTCTGGGGGAGGAAGGGAAAGGAGAATGTTAGCCGCTTTGAGTCTCCTTCGGCTAATGAAAAAGCGGGATATCAAATCCAAACTCTTCTTCTTCTTCTTCTCAGCTATCGTTGGGATGCTCCCAGTCCCAGCCGGGTCGAGGCCACTGGGAGGGGGCTTGGGGCTCTTCACGGCCTCCTCGGTTGTCACGCTGGGCACCCCTGGTTACCCCCCAATCATGGTGGCAGCAGTGGCCGGGTTGGCAGTGCAGGCACCATCCAGGCAGCGCCGTTAGTGCTTGCGGTCCTCAGAAGCTCCGTGCTTCTTTGGCGCTTGCCATCTTGCCTCGCCGGAAGTCCATACTGGTGCACTTTGTAACATCCATCCCTGAATGCAGTTCAATGATCACTCCAAAGAATTTCACAATGCTGCCCTTTACTCCCATTATAATAGATTGATTTTACAGCTAATCCTGAGTGACAGGTCTACAACCAGATTCAAGAGAGCTTGAATTTGTTCTGGAAAGGATTAGTTTGTGGAAGTGGGCAGTACCCCCTTGAGTAAACATTAAACTGAAAAGCAAAACATCCAATATACAGCTTTGAATAATTGTGGAGAAGAAGAAGAAAAAATCAGAGGGACAAAGCAGGACACTTTCAGTTTTAGTGGGTGGTTTAATGACTCGCTAGAGACAGTACCTAGCATAATATATATGCTGCTCACTGCAGTTGCAAGACATTGTCCTTGACCAAACTACCCTGTAGCTTTCATTATAACCACTGAATAGTTGTGGAGAAGAAAAAAATCGGAGGGATGGTTTAATGATTCGCTAGAGACATTACATAACATTATATATGGGCTGCTCATTGCAGTTGGTAGACACAGTTGTTGACCGAATTGCACTGTGGCTTTCATTACAACCACTACCCCCAAAAAATTGCTTGCTGAAACAAAATGGATTGGACGGAGCCGATTCCAGCTTTGTTCCTCTTTATGCTTATGGTTTGCTTTGTTTTGAAACTGGGCACTTTCTGGAACAAGAGCTCCCAAAAACTTCCACCAGGCCCAAGGCCTTTACCTCTCATTGGGAATCTCCACATCATGGATCTCAAGAGGCCTTATAGAACCATGTTAAAGGTAAAGCTTTACATTTTGTTCTTTTACAGCCTATAAATCTCATCTTTCCTTTGTGTGCAACAGAACCTTCTCTTATCTTTCCCAATAACTAGTCATAGAACCTAGTTGTAATTTATAACTGGTAATTTGAACAAGGTGTCTGGGGGTGTCTGGTGTCGAATCCCGTTTGACTCTGCCTCCATTTTCAAGGATGTAAAAGTGCTAGTACAAACCTTGCCTAGCCCAGCCTCCTCCTTGAACCTATCTTTCTAAATTAGATTTGAGAGGTGCCATTAAAGGTATAATCACTTTTATCCTTAAAGGTAAAGGGACCCCTGACCATAAGGTCCAGTAGTGGCCGACTCTGGGATTGTGGCGCTCATCTCGCTTTATTGGCCAAGGGAGCCGGCATACAGCTTCCGGGTCATGTGGCCAGCATGACTAAGCCACTTCTGATGAACCAGAGCAGCGCATGGAAACGCCATTTACCTTCCCGCCGGAGCGGTACCTATTTATCTACTTGCACTTTGACGTGCTTTTGAACTCCTAGGTTGGCAGGAGCAGGGACCGAGCAACGGGAGCTCACTCCATCACAGGGATTCGAACCGCTGACCTTCTGATCGGCAAGTCCTAGGCTCTGTGGTTTAACCCACAGCACCACCCAAGTTATCCTTACAACTGCCTATTTTTTTCTGGTTTTCTGAGTATTCCTAGCAAATATTTGTGCTGCCACAACTGAATAATAATAATAATTTAATAATAATTTATTATTTATACCCTGCCCATCTGGCTGGGTTTCCCTGGCCAATCTGGGCGACTCCCAACAGATTAATAACACGATAAAACATTAAACATTAAAACTTACCTAAAAACTACTGCCGTCAGGTGTCTTATAAAAGTCATATAGTTGTTTATTTCCTTGACATCTGATGGGAGGGCATTCCACAGTGTGGGTGCCACTACCGAGAAGGACCTCTACCTGGTTCCCTGTAACCTCACTTCATGGAGTGAGGGAACCACTAGAAGGCCCTCGAAGCTGGACCTCAGTGTCTGGGCTGAACGATGGGGTGGAGACTCTCCTTCAGGTATACTAGGCCGAGGCCATGTAGGTCTTTAAAGGTCAGCACCAACACTTTGAATTGTGCTTGGAAACGTACCCGGAGCCAACAGTGGCATAGCAAGGTCAGGTGATACCCAGTGTGGGTTTATTATCACCCCCCCCACACACACACCTTGAAATATATACAGTGGAACCTGGTGGCACTGTGGGTTAAACCACAGAGCCTAGGACTTGCTGATCAGAAGGTCGGCGGTTCGAATCCCCGCAACAGGGTGAGCTCCCGTTGCTCAGTCCCTGCTCCTGCCAACCTAGCAGTTTGAAAGCACGTTAAAGTGCAAGTAGATAAATAGCTACCACTCCGGCGGGAAGGTAAATGGCATTTCCGTGTGCTGCTCTGGTTCACCAGAAGTGGCTTAGTCATGCTGGTCACATGACCCGGACGTTGTACACCAGCTTCCTTGGCCAATAAAGCGAGATGAGCGCTGCAACCCCAGAGTTGGTCACGACTGGACCTAATGGTCAGGGGTCCCTTTACCTTTACCTTTACCTTTACCGTGGGTTAAGAACTTAATTCGTTTGAATACCTGACGGCCAGGAATGATAAACAAGTGATATTAATGTTTGTAGATGCGGAAAAGGCCTTTGATAATATATCTTGGGAATTTATGATAAAGAATATTGAATTAATGGGCATTAGACAATTGTTTATAAAAGGTATAAAAGTTATATATATTCTGATCAAAAAGCAAAATTGATAGTAAATAATATAATAACTGAAAATATTGAAATTACGAAAGGTACAAGACAAGGGTGTCTGCTCTCACCACTATTATTCATATCGGTACTGGAAGTCTTTCTAAGGACAATAAGAGAAAATGAGAAAATAAAAGGAATTTCAGTTGGCCGGAAAGAACATAAAGTGAAAGCCTTTGCAGACGACTTGGTACTAACTATAGAAGAACCATTAAATAATGCCAAAGAAGTTATTAAAGAAATCCAACAATTTGGACAAGTAGCAGGTTTTAAATAAAACAAAATCAAGACTAAAATATTAGTTAGAAATATGAAACAAGACTTGGTTGATCTATTGCAGGAGGAAATTGGTATAGAAGTAGTCAAAAAAGTTAAGTATTTAGGAATTTGGTTAACCACAATGAACATAGATTTATTTCAAAATAAATCCTCCAGGCGTGCCTGGAGTTGTTCAGCAACCACCCGCTCAGTCACCTTGCCCAAGAATGGAAGATTTGAGACTGGGTGGTAGTTCACCATATTAGCTGGGTCCAAAGATTTATTTTTTAATAAGTGGTTTTATAACCACCACTTTCAGTGGAGCTGGGAAGGCTCCTTAACAGAGGGAAGCATTCACCACCCCACAGAGCTTTTATGAGCCAGGATGGGCAAGGATGAAGGAGACAGGTGATCAGTTTCACTGTCCAAGCAGCCTGTCCACATCCTCAGAGGTAACACATTGGAATTCCAGAAATCTGGCACTCTCCCGCCCTGGTCCCCCTCCCATGGTGGAGTCTACTGAACTGGGTGAAAAGGCTAAGCTCAGTTCAGTAGACTCCACCATGGGAGCAGGGCCAGGGAGGGAGAGCGCTATCATGCAGCTGTAGCAGCAACTGTTGCTGCTACAGCTATTATTAGCAGATGTCTTGAAGAGCACTGAGGCATAGACAATGCTCTTTTACTTTGTCATTATGTTATTTGGATTCTGTTTTGCATGGTGATTTGCAAAGATACAAAAGGGAATTCATTCCACAAAATTATTATTCTTAAGTCATATGTTTTCAGCTCGGTCCAAGGCACAATGACATGGAAGTAATTTCTACCAAGTTCAATAGTAGTGATTAAAAAAAACCTGGTACTAGTCTAACAGTCAAACTTTGCTACTAGATTCTGTGGAATGTATAAAATAACCTTGACTCTTAGGTAAATGTGCAAGCTAATGCAGTCTTGGTTCTGCCAGAGATGATTTACATTAATATATTTTTGGGGTATACCAGAACTCTGTTTCTCACTTTTTCTTCTGTTGAATTCCAGTTGTCAAAGCAGTATGGCCCTGTCTTCAGCATCCAAATGGGACCCCGGAAAACTGTGGTGTTGACAGGATATGAGACAGTAAAGGAGGCTCTGGTTAATCACGCGGACGCATTTGCAGACAGGCCCATCGTTCCAATGTTTCAAGAGCTTGCACAAGGCTTAGGTGAGGCACTTCCCTTTCTATTGGAACTGGTAATGCTTGCAGACACACACAGGGCCCACAAGGTGAACACAATCTGTTCCCAAGAAATGGTTTGTAGGATAAGCGTTTGCAAAGCACGTCATTGAAATCCATTGTTTCCTGTGGGGGAAATCCTTGTGAATTTTTCAACCAACCTCAGTGCCTTTGACATTGACAGAGTATCTGCAGGCATTAGGCTGAGAATGTGTCACAAAAAGTGTCAAATGTGGATTTCTGCAGATTACATGGAAAAGTAATGCCACACACCATTTTCTTGCCCAGCCTATGCAAAGAGGAAACATGAAGGAGGCATAATATCTGCCCATGTAATACAAAGTTCTGCTGGGATCCCTGACATGTACAAACCACCCTCTACTCTATCCTTCACTTTGAAATGGAAAATATTGTTCAATGTGTTCTCAGTTCTTGCTCTGATGGCACAGCTGCCAGCTACTTTGTCAAAGCTCAGAAGTCTGAATGGGAGAATAGCTGGGATCCATTCTCAGTTCCATGGAAGAAAAGCAGAACACAATTTATTGATATTTTTGTTCAATGGCCATGCAAACATGAAACCTTTCCTCCCATTTTTAGGTGTAACTTTGTCTAATGGTGAGAACTGGAAAGTGATGCGGCGGTTTGCTTTAAGCACATTACGGGACTACGGAATGGGAAAGAGGACCATAGAGGATAGAATTGTTGAGGAATGCAGTGTCCTGATAAAGAAATTTGAATCTTATGAAGGTGGGTTGGTGTTTTCCTCTGGTGCATAGCTACACTACCATAGTTTAAAGGTGCCAAGACTATTGTGTTACATATTCCTAAATTCCAGAAGCACAGATCCCAAGGTTCCCTGCAATTGGTCTGTTCCTGTAATGTGCAGATTGCACTGCAATAACTCCTGTGACTTCCAAGCATTTCTTAGCCCAGCTATGGCCACATCCAGCAGCACTTAGGATCAGTTTCTTTGATAAATGAGGTCTACACATAGGTAAGCTGCCAGTAGGGATTTAAGGCAACAAAGAGCAGACTTAAAAACAATGCCCTTTCCATATTTGGAATTTCAACAGGATATTTTTGTTTAACTGTCTTGTTTATGTCTAGGTAACCCATTTGAAACCACCTCAATTATGAATGCTGCTGTTGCCAATATTATAGTGTCCATACTACTAGACAAGCGATTTGATTATGAAGATTCCACATACATAAGACTTCTGAAGTTGATCAATGAAAATATCCGGCTTTTCGGAAGCCCTTCAGTCACGGTAATCTATTTTTTCCAATTAAAACAAACAAACAAACAGTTCATTGTAATGGCAGTGTGTGCAAAGTGGGGAGGGCAACATGTTTATTGTATATTGTTCAGGATTCACTACAAAACACAGAATATTGATATCTTGAGATACCTGCTGGTGATTCAAAATATTTAGAAAACTCACACGGCACAGTCATCTCGTAACTACAACAAAGTCTCTTTTGCAAACACGTGTCAGCGAAGCTCAGATTCTGACAGGAGGAGAAGAAGCAGGCACAGGGAGAGGACAGTTAACAGCAGAAAGCAGAGAGGAGGGGGAAAGCAGCTGTAATCTGAGCTCTGACCAAAGGGACAGACAGAGGTGTGAGAACTCCAATAGTGGGCAAGACATTGGAATGCAGGAAATACTCTCTGCCAAATCTCGTAGGATTTCAAAAGTGGCAGAGCTGGGCGAAAGATACCGGAAGAAAAGGCAGGGGCTTCCATTCTGGGGAAGGGGGAGGAGCTCAGTCTGGGCGACTGCATCTTCTGGGGAGGACGATGAGTAGAGGAGCTCCGTCCTAGTTTGTTGTTTTAGCAATTAACAGCCAGTGTTGTCTTGCATTTGTGGGAGAGACCAAGCTGTAACAACACACTTCCTGGCCTCACTGCCATCGGGACTCCAAGGACAAGGAAGAAGAAGTGATTGTATGTTCTATGATGGCTCAGAAGGGGCCTCCAAGGGCAGATCTCCCTCTCTGAAGATGAACCTCCAGAGGAGAACTGCCATAACCTATTATTCCAGGGTTGCACATAAATTATGCTGTCCTGAGGTAGCCCTAACCCCATTCCAAATGCCATTCAAGAGTTTTGTTTGTATTTGGACAACCACGCTTTGAGAGACGCAATTGAGAGAACTGTACTGAGCTTTCCTAATGTCTCTTTTTCTTTTTTCACATTTTTATCCTTTCAGCTGTATAACATGTTTCCTGCTCTTGGTTTTCTTTTGGGGGCTCGTAAGACTGTCATCCAAAACAGAGATGAGCTGTTTGCCTTCATAAATGCCACCTTCATAAAACACCTCCGAGATCTGGATGAAAATGACCAGAGGAGCTTTATTGACACATTTCTTATCCGACAACAAGAGGTAATGGAATCTTTTAAGTTGGAGCAGAATAAACGTTGACATTTTCAGTTCATGTTTTCAGGGTATATTTGCAAGTGAATGCATAAGGAGTAGTCAGGAAGTCTCACTTCAGAAGGGACCAACCTGGCATACTTCCTACCATTTCCCAATAGTCAGCCATTGTTAATGTGTACAGAAGTTGCCTCTGCAGGGGCAAAGGTTGTGTGCTCACCAGCATTTCTGAAAAAAAAATCCCTGATCAAGAAAACTGGATCAAGGAGCTGGATTGGCAAGCTTCCCTGATCTCCACTCTCAGCTGTGACTATGGAGGAGCAAGACTTTTTGGGGTATTGATGCTGAGCCCCTCCATCTTAGGCTTGGGTTATATATATATATGTATATGTATTTACACGCACATATGTATGCGTGGCGTGCTCTGGTCCATGGGGTCACGAAGAGTCGGACACAACTAAACGACTAAACAACAACAACAACATATATGTGTGTAAATAAACCCTATACCACCATGATGGCATAGTCTGAAAAACCTGGAATCTCTCACTGCTCAGTGATTGGGGTGATATGAAATGATACTTTGGATCATCAGGTCCACTCAGTCATTCATTCTTATCTTTGCACATGAAATTTTCTCACTCCATTTGTTTTAACCAGTTCATACTCTTTGCATCCCAGGAGGAGAAGAAAATCAAAACAAATGCTTATTTCCACAACAGAAACTTAATAGTTATTGTGGCCAACTTATTTGCTGCTGGCATGGAGACCATTTCTACCACACTGCGCTGGGGACTGTTACTAATGATGAAATATCCTGGAATTCAGAGTGAGTGTTTTTCATTGGGTTGGCTCCCATCATTCTGAGAAAGCTTAATTTCAGTTATATGTAACTATCAAAGAGCGAAAATATTTATAATATTCAATCATAAGTTTAACATTTTAATCTGATCTCGCTTCACCCTCTTTCTGTGGTTCTTTGCATTTCGTTTCATCTTCCTGCGTACTCCAAATTATCTCAACATATACTTTTAGATATATATTCCCATATATATCCAATATATATATTGAAACTGCAGGTTTTTACATTAATCCTGCCAATGTCTTAGTATGTTTACAGTTTGCTTGTAAATATTCAATAAACCATTTCCATTCCTTTCTTTTTTTTAAAAAAAATGGTTATCTTGATATATTATTCTCACGGTAAGTTTCAACATTTCTGTGTAGTCCATCAACCTCTGTATCCATTCTTGTCGGGACCTCTTCTTCCTTCCATTTTTGGACAAATTACATTCTTGCAGCTGTGGTTGCATACATAAATAAATTTATATACTGTTTAAAGGTAAAGGTAACGAGCCAGTCGTGACTGACTCTAGGGTTGTGCGCTCATCTCGCTCAAGAGGCCGGGAGCCGGCGCCGTCCGAAGACACTTCCGGGTCACGTGGCCAGCGTGACGAAGCTGCAACTGGTGAGCCAGCACCAGTGCCACACACGGAAACGCTGTTTACCTTCCCGCTATAAAGCGGTACCTATTTATCTACTTGCACTTAGGGGTGCTTTCGAACTGCTAGGTGGGCAGGAGCTGGGACCGAAAGACGGGAGCTCACCCCGCTGCGGGGATTCGAACCGCTGACCTTACGATCAGCAAGTCCTAGGCACTGAGGTTTTACCCACACGCAACCTGCGTCCCTATATACTGTTTAGGTAGTTCCAATCCCAAAATTCCCAAAAGAAAAGATTCTGGTTTTCAAAACATCTTAAACATCTTTTTCAGTTCATTATATATCATTTTCCAGTAAACTTTAACCTTATTACTAGACCACCACATATCAAAAAGGTACTTTCTTTCTCTTTACGTTTCCAGCACATATTCAAGTTGGATTTATACATTTGAGCCAATCTATTAGGTGTTAGATACCATTTATATAACATTTTCATATAGCTTTCTCTTAAACAATAACATTCTGTAAATTGTATATCGATAAACTTTCCCATGCATCCGTTTCTATATTATTACCAATGTCTATGGCCAAGTGTATTCTTGAAGATTTCACTTGTTCGTCCTTTGTCTCCCATTGCAATAACATCTTATACATTTTAGATATCGCTTTAACATTACAGTTTAACAGGTCTCTTTCTAGGTGTGATGTTTGTTTCCCAACCCCCCACTTCATATCCTTTTTAAATACTTCATTCAAATGATGATATTGTAATCATGTTGGTAACATCTCTGATAAATCCTTATTTTAATTTAAATTCTCCACCTTCTCCACTTAAATTTCCATGTTGCCCAATTTTCCATCATATTTTTCTTTTTCACCGCTATGGCTTCCAAAAGTGAAAGCCATAGTGGTGTTTTGGTCTCCAAAAGGTTTTTTTACTTATCCATACTCTATACAATTTTTTCCTGATTATATGGTTTGTAAAACCTTTATGCACATTCACATTTTCATACCTCAAGTAAGCGTGCCAACAAAAAAATATTATCATGACCTTCCAAATCTAAAATATGTGGATTCTTCAATAACAACCATTCCTTCAACCAGCACAGACAAGGTGCTTCATGATAAAATCATAATATTACTTCTTTTAATACAGTTTTCAACCTATTAGCTAATTTGTCTGCAAACAGTTTATAATCTTTTTTCAATAATGAAATAGGCTGATAGCTCTTAACCGGCTTTGGATCTCTATCTTGCTTATGAATCAAAGTTATGTACAGTATGCACTCTTCCAGGATTTGGGTAACTTTCCTGTATTCTAAGAGTTACTCATAATTCTTTTAAAGGCTGTATTAAGTAATCTTGTAATTTTTATATTATATTGCTGAAAGTCCATCATGTCTGGGTGCCTTCCCTAATTTACCCTGTAATTTTGCTTGTTGTAATTCCATCTATGTGACATGTCCATTATGAAATGACATTTTATCTTTTGGTATCTTAGGTAGTTTGCTGTATTCTAAATATTTACCCATTTCTTCCAAATTGCCTCATTCGCCTCAATAAAGTTCTGTATAAAAACTCACAAATTGATTACTTTAATTTTTTACATGTTTATAAATTTTATTAGTATTTTCCACACAACAACAACAACATGAAAAATATCGAAAAATAACAATACACAAAACCAACATACAAAAAATCTTTTTTTTTAAGAATAATTTTTTATTAACTGACCAATCACATCAAATCAAACCAAATTACATAAATTCCAAATTACAGAGCCGAATTTTAAATTTTTGTTGGGGTTACCCATATTTCAAGTTCCGAAGGGATCCAATCAACTTCTTGCTTCTTACTGCTGTTTTAATGTCCACAAATCTAACCTTATGATGTTCACAGTATGATGTTCCAGTCCTTTCTTATTATTTTTCCACATCTCTTGTTGTTATTTTCATATATTTTTCCTTTCTCTTTGTGACCTCTGATAGTCTCCGCAAGCTGGTTAGAACAGTTTGTAATCCTGTGTGGATATTTTTTTTTATTATCCAGTAGCCATATCCAGACGTTTTCCATGTAACATCACTTCCATACATCAAAACAGTCTTAGCATCATTAATCTTCACCAATCTGCCTCCTTTCTCAAAACCCCTGAGGAGATTCACTAGGAATGCAGTCTGAAAACAAATCCGTTCTTCCTTCCGGCTGTAAATCCTTTGGCAAGATGGTGACTCCGAATTAATTGCTGCGCCATTCCCAAAAGCTCTTATTGCTTCTCGGTCTCCATAAAGCATACTTTTGGTTAAAGTTTATCTCCACACAGACCTTAATCATCCTGCTTGGGTCAGTTCAACCGACAGTTCTAATGAGGTAACTGATTCCCTTTCCAGTATTTAGCCACCAGGATTCTTGCTGCCGACGTTGCGTATAAGAAAAAAATAGTTTTGTCTTTTGGAATATCATCATTTAAAATCCCTAAAAGGAATGCCTCTGGCCTTTTACTATATGATCTTCTTAGTATTTTCTTTATTTCTTCGTGGATCATGCTCCAAAATTTCCCAATTTGGGGGCAAGTCCACCACATATGGTAGAAGGTTCCTTTTAGTTTCTTACATCTCCAGCACTTATTATTATATGTTTTATTCATTTTTGCCAGCCTTTAAAACATTTTATCCCAATAATTATTGGGATTGTCTGGAAAAGGAAGAGCATTTTTGGGAGAATTGACATTTTTATCAAGGATATCCTACCCCATAAAGACAAGTTCAATATATTCCATTTATTTAAATATCCTTTTATTTCCTTCCACTTAGTTATCCTTGTACAAACTGGTATTTTTTTTTGTGATCCAGATCCCCAAATACTTAACTTTTGTGGTGATTTTAAGGCCTGTTACCCTTTCCAATTCTTTCTGTTCCTTTACCCTCATATTTTTCTTTAATAATTTTGATTTTTCTTTATCTAACTTAAAGCCTGATACTCCTCCATACTCAAACAATTTCTTTAGGGCTTCTTGTATACTTTCTTCTGGATTTTCTGTAATAATAAAATGCTTTAACTTTAAATTGTCTATTGCTTAGACTAATCCCCTTGATTTTTAGGTCCTTTCTTATCGCTATTAGGAGTGTTTCCAGCATCACAATGAACAAAAGTGGGGATAGAGGACATCCTTGTCTGCTGCCTCTTTCAATTTGGAATTCTTCAGTTATTTCATTGTTAATTATTAACTTAGCTTTCTGGTTTTCATAAATCGCTTTAATACCATTCAAAACTTTGTTCCCAAGTTTCAAACTTTCCACGGTGTGGACCAGAAAATTCCAGGCCACACTGCCAAAGGCTTTCTCCGCGTCTACCAGTAACATTGCCACCTTTTTACTAGGTTTCATATCAATATATTCTAGAAGATCAATCACTACTCTTGTATTATTTTTTATCTGTCTCCCATTCTGATCCTTGCCTATTATTCTGTTCAAGCATTTTTTCAATCTATTTGCTAACACACCTGCAAAGATTTTGTAATCAATATTCAATAGTGAAATTGGCCTGTAGTTCTTTATAATGTTTGGGTCCATTCCTTGTTTTGGTAGTACAGTGGTTCCTCTGGTTACGTACTTAATTTGTTCCGGAGGTCCGTTCTTAACCTGAAGCTGTTCTTAACCGGAACTACCACATTAGCTAATGGGCCTCCTGCTGCCGCTGCTGCACGATTTCTGTTCTCATCCTGAAGCAAAGTTCTTAACCTAAGGTATTATTTCTGGGTTAGCGGAGTCTGTAACCTGAAGCGTATGTAACCTGAAGCGTATGTAACCCGAGGTACCGCTGTATGGTTATCAACGCTTCATGCATGCCAAGAGTCAGATGTTAAGTTGTGGGTGAACATATCAGACGACACAGCGGTTCTTCAAACAGCTCTTGTTTATTCACAGGCCAGGACAGAACTGAACTGAAGGGTTCAGCCAGCCTGCTTATATAGAGCTCCACTAGAACGCAACAGGAACCACTTTCTGTAACTAGCCAATCACTGAACGTCACTTTCGATCCCTTATTTGCATATGTGGACCTGAACTATCTACAGTATCCCCTTGCTGGCCCAGGGTGAGAACTTCAGTACATAACATCAGGGATTTTCCCTTCTTCCATTATCTCATCCTTTTAAGTCTAGAGATTACTACTTCTTCTAGTTTCTTGTAATAAATAGTCAGTATTCCGTCTGGGCCTGGTGATTTCCCAGTTTCCATTTTCCTTATCACTTCTCTTATTTCTTCCGAGCTTATGCACGAGTTTAAATTGCTAAATTCCTTACCATCTATTTCAGGGATTTTGTTTTCTCTTACATACTCTTTAATTTTATTCTTATCCTTACCTTCCAATTCATATATTTTTTTTATAAAAGTTCCTAAACATCGTTTTTATTTGGTCCGGATCTGTAATTTCTTTTCCTTGTTCAATAATCTTATTATAACCCTATCCGCTTGTTTCTCCTTAGTTAACCAAGACAACATTCTACCAGGTTTATTTGCCGATTCAAAATACCTTTGTTTTGTCCATTTGATCTTATTTTCCACCTCTTTGTTTATTAAATTAATTAGTTGGGATTGTAGAATTTTAATATTTTGGATTATACTTTCTTGTTTTGGATTTTTCAACAATTCTTTTTCATTCTCCCTTATCTGTTTATTGATTTCCATAGTATCATTTGCTTTAGTCTTCCTTATTCTTGCCATTTGTTGTATTGTATTGTTGTATTCCAATTCCTCTCATATAGGCTTTACTGGTATCCCAAATGATTTTCCTGTCAGTCCCATGTCTCTCATTAATTTCAAAAAATTCCTTCAACAATTCCCTCATTTTATTCACCTTTTGCTCATCTCTCCATACCTCATCATTCATCCTCCACCTCCCTCTCGTATGTTTTTTAAATTTTATGTGTATAGTAACTGGATTATGGTCTGAGAGAGATTTGTTCAGAATCTCTGCTTTTACCAAGCTCAGTGTCAATTTCTTATTTCTTTCAGATTTTCCACAACTCTATCTCCTACATTTATTCTATTAATGCAGGTTTTTTCTTTATTTGCCAAGCTAATAGTTTCCCTGGCTTGTCAGCCTGTTGAAATTGTTTCTGTTTTAAATATTTAATTTTCCACTCTATTTCTTGATCTATTATCATTGAATATTGCATTTGCAACATCTTGATTTCCTGTTTCACTATCTCTTTGCAAGGAGAATTCATTAATTCTTTTCCTTTTATTTCTTGTAAAAAATTCTTGCTTTTTCCTGCTCTCTTTTATTTCTTGTCTATGCCCTTTGGAGTGTAAAAAACGCCCCCACACTACCACTTTACTTGCATCCCATACCACCTTTAAATCTGTCTCTTGGTTTAAAATACAGTGGTACCTCAGTTTCCAAACATCTTCGTTGAGGAACATTATAGTTTTAGAATGGCTTCCACTGAGTGTATGTTATTTTTCTCAGTTTTCTCTATTAAATTCCCAGACTGCCATTTGTGACTCAGTTTTTGAATGTTTCAGAACTTGAACAGTATTCCTGAACAGATTATGTTCGAAAACTGAAGTACCACTGTAATTTCAAAATAACCTCAGGTTAAGAACGGTTTCAGGTTAAGAACGGACCTCCAGAATGAATTAAGTTCGTAACCAGAGGTTCCACTGTATTCCAAAGCTTTAAATATATAAAGTCCTAGGAGACATTGTCAAATGCTTTCTCAGAGTCTAAAAATATTAAAGCTGCCCGTTTTTCATTTCTCACTACTAAATATTCTATTACATCAATTATGTTTCTATTATTATTATTATCTTTCATTTGTCTTCCCAGCAAAAATCCAGCCTGATCTTGATGGATTCCCACTTTTAATACAGTTTTCAACCTATTAGCTAATATGTCTGAAAACAGTTTATAATTTTTATTCAACAATGAAATAGGTCGATAGCTCTTAACCTGCTTTGGATCTCTATTTTGCTTATGAATCAAAGTTATGTATGCACTCTTCCGGGATTTGGGTAACTCTCCTATATTCAAAGAGATATTCATAATATCTTTTATAGGTTGCATTAGGTAATCTTGTAATTTTTCTTATAATGAATTGCTGAAACTTCATCAGATCCAGGTGCCTTCCCTAATTTTGCGTGTAAAATAGCTTGCTATAATTCCATCATTGTGACAGGTCCATTAAGAAATGATGTTCTTATTTCTTTCGGATTTTCCACAACTGTACCTCCTGCATTTATTCTATAAATGCAGGTTTTTTCTTGTTTCTTCTTTATTTACCTACATAATAGTTTCCCTGACTCGTTAGCCTTGTCAAATTGTTTCTGTTTTAAATATTTAATTTTCCACTCTATTTCCTTGTTTATTATCATTGAATATTGCAATTGAAACATCTCGTTATCCTGTTTCACTATCTCTTTTTGAGAGGGATTTATTAATTCTTTTCCTTTTCCTTTTATTTCTCCTAAAATTTCTTGTTTTTTTCTGCTCTCATATTTCTTCTGTATGTGCTTTGCTGTGTAAAAAAAACCAAAAAACACCCCACATTACCACTTTATGGGCATCCCATACCACCTTTGAATCTGCCTCTTGGTTCAAATTAATTTCAAAATAACCCTTTAATTTTTTGCCCCTTTTCCTAATATTTCTTGATCATTTAATAAATTTTCATTTAGTCTCCATCTCTTCGGGAAATTTGTCCCTGTTCTTAATTCCACTATTATGGAGTCGTAGTCTCATAATGTTCTTGATAGAATTTCTGCCCTCTTTACTTTAGAATACAAATCTTTAGAAGTGCATACAGAGTCTTTTCAGCTTGCAGAATAATTCGCAGTCAAATAAAATGTACATTGTCCTTTGGGTGTTTTTCTCTCCAAATGTCAATTAAACTTAAATTGTCAGTCATCCTAAAAAAGGCATTCAGTAGCTTCTTTTGTTTCATTTTTTCTCACAGTCCTGTTCCAATCTAGGGAGGCTACACCATTCATATCGCCCATCCAAATCACCTTTTCATTCAAATGTTCAAATAATATTTCTTCCAGCCTCTTTTAAAAATAATATTTTTTTTCTCATTAGGTGCATACACACCTAATGCGTTAATAATACTTTTTCTCCATGTGATGGTATCTAAGTTATCAATATTCTTCCTTGTTCATTTTGAATAATTGCTTTGGGTCCAACCCTGGTTTTATACACATTACAACTCCTCTCTTATTTGTTGTATCAGAATGTACAAAGTCATTCCTACCCTTTTATTTAACTTTTATTTATCCAAGTTTAACTTCTTTGCAACATGTTCAATTTTATTCATTTAGTCTTATTATTTAGCCTATTTATATTTCAAGTTAGAATTTTCAAAACCATCTTGTTCCATATTTATTTCTCTTTCACCTCCACTTCTGTTGAATCTTCCTCTTCCTGTCCAGCTTCCCTTCCAAATGCTCTTTCTCCAGCTAACTCTTGCCCATATTTTCTCCAAAATTTGTCTGGCTCTGTAGGATCACGAAATCTTTGTTTTTGACCTTTAAATGTAAAACATACCACTTCAGGATATTCCCAGCGGTGATATTTTAATAATCATCCTGGATGAATTTCTCTCCCTCAGTGTATCAGGTTATTGGCTAAAATGTTTGTCCTGTTTTAAAAATACCTGTATCATATTCTAGAGATTAAATTTGTGAGTCGACGGAATTGGAGAACCAGTTGATGGCAGTTCTATGCTGCGGAGATTAATATTTTGAGAGACAAAAGCCAAAATCAAAGAGATAAGCTGAGCAGAAAAATAAACATTGTTGTTTTTGTTGCCGCCAGTAAAGGTCCAAGAAGAAATTGCAAAGGTTGTTGGATCTTCTCAGCCAAGGATTGAACACCGAACAAAAATGCCTTATACGGATGCCGTGGTCCATGAGATCCAGAGATTTGCCAATGTTAACCCAACCAACCTACCACATGCCACGACTACAGATGTTACCCTTAATGGCTACTTCATTCCTAAGGTGATCCATTTCACTAAACTGCTGCCCACTAGTTACAATATATTTTAAGGCTTTTCTGGGAGTAAGCCCCTTGGACTTCAGTGTGGGTGACATCTGTGCAGACTTGTATAGGATTGCATTGTAAGCATGCAATCTACCCTTCGGAAGGTGTCAGGCATCATCTTCAACCCATTAAACAGATCTCAGTGGGAAGGAGAACAAGGTTGGAAAAGAAACCATTTCTAGTGGGAGATCATGGTTTATACATTAAAGTTTGTCACACTAAAGACATTTCTCAGATGAACTCAAATCTCATTTCTCCTACACTAAATATTTATTGTAGAGGAATATACTTTATTTTAAAATAACTATTCTTTTGCTTTTGCAGGGCACATTCATCATACCATTGCTGTCCTCTGTGCTGCACGATGAATCTCAATGGGAGAAACCACATAAATTCTATCCTGAGCATTTTCTTAATTCTGATGGAAAATTTGTAAAGAGAGATGCTTTCATGCCTTTCTCTGCAGGTGATTTTTTTCTACTTTTGTGTATATCTGCAATGTGTGCTTAGTCAATGGGATTTTTACATGTCTGGAATGTAGCCTATTGTGCAAATGAAAGAATCACATCTGTTGCTGTGGCCATTTCTGCCACTAGATTTGGCCACCATTGGTGTGCGGCCCCTGGAATGTTGCTCACCAGGGAATGTGGCCCTCAGGCTGAAAAGACCCCCCCAGTTTTCAGCATTGCAGAATGGCTAGTATTGGGAGTTCATGATTCTTTTAAGATGGGCACCGTGAGCTGTTATTTTATCTCTGCATTTCCTTCTGCTTCGAAATATTAGGGATGTTATAAAGCAACTGCTAAACCCAGTTTCTCTGCTGCCTATGTTTCCTTACAGGTCGGAGAGCATGTATAGGTGAGACTCTTGCCAAAATGGAGCTCTTCCTCTTCTTCACAAGTCTCCTGCAGAGATTCACCTTCCAGCCACCCCCTGGAACATCTCAAGAAGACCTGGACCTTACTCCTGCTGTTGGGCTTACAACACCTCCCATGCCCTACCAACTCTGCGCTCTGCCACGTTTCTAAGACTCACAAGCTCCTGGGTTGCTTTGTCCTACACTCGAGTAGGACCCTGGTAGAGTCACATGTCTGACTGGCATGTTCTCTCCCTCCCGGTCGTTCGTTCAGGAGCTTCAAAGGCTTTCTTCAGCCTGAACATCACAGCGACCGATGCCAACAGACATTGGCACACTTAGGGATCCGCAGAGTCTTCACAGCTTGCGTAACAGACCTCAGCAACTCAGCATTTTGGCTAATCTACTTTATTTACATATAAACACACACGGAGCACTGCAACATGGCTCCCTCTCTCTCTAGCATCAGACAGCAAAGAGAAAGAGCAAAGGACAATAGTCCCACTTCACAAAACAAAGTAACACAAACATCCTGTCTCCATCACTTCCCGCTTTGTGGAGTGAAAACATACACTGTCATGTGAAAGACAACAATCCCATGACTGCAATCACGGAGCAGGAATTCTAACATGCTTAGCCTACCTGTTTTTGCAATGCGAGTCTTTTTTAAACACCCCTGTTCAACAAGGGTATTTGGGTTGAGTAGCCTACTGGTGGAATTGGTCCATGCTTTGTCACAAACATGAAGTGTTTCCCTTTACCTGCCATACTGCCAAATCCCATGAAACTAGCATTGGAGCATCAGTGGCTTTCTGCTTCTGGCTTAGAATTCTGCTTCTGGCTTAGTTCAGTGGCTTTCTGCTTCTGGCTTAGAATTAAACAACCATCTTCCATCTTCTCTCTGTATCTGAATGAGCTTTCTCTGAGAGTCGGGGTAGCTTAAGGCTTCCCTCATCAATGGAATTCTGACTGGTCATATGAAAAATGAAAATGGTGGAAATGTGTCAAAACCAAAATCAAAACTTAAATCTCCACAAGAGGAAAAACTCAAAACCTTCTCTGCCTAGCTACTGCTCTGAGAGGGAAGCGGGAGCTAATCCCTTTCACACTGGTGTCAGTGGAAGTCTCCACGGTCTCACCCCAGGAAATAGAAAAAATGTCTAGTTCGAATGTCTCTTCTCTCTTAAGAAAATCCAGCCACACTTTGATTTTTGTCTTAACAGGGCCCCATAAACTTTGTAAGAATGGATGTAGGCCCCATGAGAGGATGCACTGCTTAGTTATTATCCTTCCTTGCTCACATTGTTGCATGTCATATGCTCTAATGTATACAAAGATATACCCTAATGCCACCATGTTAAACAGTTTCAAAATGAAAATGAATAAAAACTATGCTATAAAGAAAATATGTGTGAGTGTTTCCGCAGACTTGACATCTTTCCGCAGGGCCTGCAAGACAGAGCTGTTCTGCCAGGCCTTTGGTCAGGGTTCAGTCTGACTCCTCTCCCCTTTCATAAGAACTTACATGAAAGTAGCCTTCCAGTTTTCTCACAGGCCCATATAAGTTCAGCACAAACAGTTGGGCCTGGTGAGCATTTAAGGTCCCCAACCCCAATCTGTGGGTTGCCATCCGATTGGATTTTATTCTGATCCTGATTTGATTTGAAGATGTATTTTAATTGATTGTCTGATTTTATGTTAATGTATTATACATTTGATGTTAGCCGCTCTGAGCCCGGCTTTGGCTGGGGAGGGCGGGATATAAATAAAATTATTATTATTATTATTATTATTATTATTATTATTATTATGTTACGGAAAAAATCTGGGTGCGGGGCTACTCAGCCACCCAGCTCGTCAGACTAGGTCCACGGGTCCCTGCGGAAGAAAATGAGCTCAGCCGGAGACAGGAGCAAACTGTAGAAGACCCAAGTTTATTGCGCAACAGGTTCAAGATGAGATTGAACCCCAAGAAAGGGGCGACATGAGTTTTTGAAACTTCCCTCCATGTCCCAGAATACAGTGCAAAATACATCAGAATTACATCATGAATACATTAGAGAGAGGTTGGGTTACACAGGTTACATCATGAATATTTTAAGGAGAGGTTGGGTTACACAGATTAACATATGGAGGAGGGAATATGCAGAGCTGGAGATATGCGCGGATAAGCGCTTCCTGAGTACCGGTGATGAGAAGACAATAGTCCAAGTATGTAAAGTCTGCCACCTGGCATTGCCCGGAGGAAAGGTTGGGCAGAGTGATTTGACCGGATTAGGGTCTTCCTGAGTACGTGACTCCTCGCTCGAGGGATTATGGAGGCAGAGGAGGTGTCATGGAGTCCTGAAGAAACTGAGTCGATCGACACCAAAACCAAGGAAATTGGAGCTGTGGTTGATTTTATACGATTTTTAGAAGTTTTAGTCCGTTTCAGTCCATTCTTATATTAATAATTGAAGTCGGAAACAAAATAGATACATTGTTGCAAGATTTGACACTTTTATGGGTTCACGAGTTTCGATTCCATTGTTCTCCCAGCGGGGAGCCGTCAGCAGCTTGTCAAGAGGTTAAATGAGGCGTGCAGGAGCTCGCTGAGCTAGCTCTGCAAAGCGAATGCATGGTTCTGATTGGGTAGAACATGGCCATTGAAACGAATGGGGAATACAGTTTGATACGGTCAACCCACGATAAAGATGGAGCGAGAGAGAGAAAAAGGCTTGAGAGTTTGGGCTTATTTTGCCCGTGTGGAAAAGGGAAAGGCACTTTAAACTTGGGGCTTGGGTAGGGTGTGGTGCTTGTGCAACGGTGTGGGGCTGAGGGGTGAATGTAGGGCTGGGTGCCCTTGAGGTCATCGCCTCGGATTCTCAAAAGGAAGGGTGAAGGAAGGCACACACCCCTGAGGTGGATTTGCCCTGCCAGACTTTAAACTTTATTACGAATCAGCAGCCTTTTGCTGGTTGAAAGAATGGCTACTTCTTGAAAATACAGACATTTTGGATCTAGAAGGTTTTAACAACGTATTTGGATGGCATGCATATTTATGGTATGATAAGGTCAAAGCACATAAAGCATTCAAAAATCATATTGTTAGGAAAGCACTGTTCAATGTTTGGATAAGATACAAGGATTTATTGGAAAATAAAACCCCAAGGTGGTTGTCACCGATGGAAGCGAAAGCTCTGAAAAGGCTCAATATGGAGGCCAAATGGCCGAAATATTGGGAAATTTTGGAACAAGATAGAGACAAATTGAAATTGCAGAGTTTTGAGAAACTAAAAAACAAAGTGAGAGATTGGCTTCATTATTATCAGATAATGGAGGCATATAATTTGGATAAGAAAATTGGCTTCCAGGTGGAAAAATCAAAATTAGAAACAGAATTGTTAGAACCCAAAACTAAGAATTTGTCAAGAATGTACAACTTGCTGTTGAAATGGAATACTCAGGATGAAACGGTGAAATCTGCTATGATTAAATGGGCACAAGATGTTGGACATAATATTATGTTTGCTGACTGGGAACAGTTATGGACCACAGGTATGAAGTTTACGGCATGTAATGCCTTAAGAGAGAATATTATGAAAATGATATACAGATGGTACATGACCCCAGTCAAGCTTGCAAAAATTTATCATTTGCCTGATAATAAATGTTGGAAATGTAAAGAAACTGAAGGTACATTCTTTCACCTTTGGTGGACATGCCCAAGGATTAAGGTTTTCTGGGAGATGATTTATAATGAAATAAAAAAGGTATTTAAATATACCTTTCTGAAGAAACCAGAGGCCTTTCTTCTGGGCATTGTCGGCCAATTGGTGCCAAAGAAGGACAGAACCTTTTTTATGTATGCTACAACAGCAGCAAGTATTGGAAGACACAAGATCTACCCACACTGGAAGAATGGCAGATGAAGGTGATTGACTACATGGAATTGGCGGAAATGACTGGCAGAATCCGAGACCAGGGAGAAGAGTCGGTGAAAGAAGACTGGAAGAAATTTAAAGACTATTTACAGAAATATTGTAAAATTAAGGAATCTTAGAAGGATGTTGGATAGAAACTAAGAGGTTTTTAGCTGTAATGCTTTAAGAGATATGAAAAAAGGTTTACAATTGGGCAAAAGTTTAATGGTAAGGATTTGCTGAACTAACAAACTGAACTGGAATACAAAAAAGGGAGGTATGAGGAGGTCCAGGGAAATAAGTCTAGGGAAGATAGGTTTGGAAAATTAATGTCTTTTTAACTGTTTTATTTTCTTTGTTTCTTTTTTATCCTTTACTTTTTTGTTATACTTTAAAAAACTTTACTCTTTTTTCTGTATTTTGTATTTCTTCTATTTTTTGAAACTTTAATAAATATCATTTAAAAAAAAAAAAAGAAGGCACACACCCCTTTCCGTATCAATTATTATTATTATTATTATGTTTGAATGGGAGGAAGTTCAGGAGATACTGGACACTTTCAAACTAAATGCAGTTGTTCCTAATTAAAGTTGAATAAGTTGAATACGGCCTAGGACCCTCGTACCTACGGGACCGCCTCTCCTGGTATGCCCCACAGAGAAACTTACGGTCTTCAAATAAAAACATCTTGAAGGTCCCAGGCCACAGAGAAGTTAGGCTGGCCTCAACCAGAGCCAGGGCTTTTTCGGCTGTGGCTCCGATCTGGTGGAACACTCTGTCACAAGAGACCAGGGCCCTGCGGGACTTGACATCTTTCCGCAGGGCCTGCAAGACAGAGCTGTTCCACCAGGCCTTTGGCCAGGGCACAGCCTGACTCCCTCCTTCGGCAATCTTTGCGGAGCTCTGGCCCAATGGTTGCCAGTGGCTTGAATTAATGCATTTTATAATGAATGATTTTAGAGTGTTGTTTGTGTTGTACTTTTGTACTGTTTTATTGTTGTTAGCCGCCCTGAGCCCGGCTTCGGCTGGGGAGGGTGGGATATAAATAAAATTTATTATTATTATTACTATTATTATTATTCATCTGCAAATGATTTCACAATGCTGCCCTTCACTCCCATTATAACAGATTAATTTTACACATAATCTGGGTGACAGGTCTGCAAGCAAGTTCAAGAGAGTTTGAATTTGCTCCTGAAAGCAATAGTTTGAGGAAGTGGGCACCACTCACTTGAGTAAACATTAAGCTGAAAGGCAAATAATCCAATGTACAGCTTTGAATAGTTGAGGAGAAGAAAACAAAATCAGAGGGCCAAAGCGGGACACTTTTTACTGGATGGTTTAATGATTTGCTAGAGACAGTATCTAGCATAATATAAATACTGCTCACTGCAGTTGCAAGATGTTATCCTTGACCAAACTGCACTGTATCTTTCATTATAACCATTGCAAAACAAATTGCTTGCTGAAACGAAATGGATTGGACGGAGCCGATTCCAGCATTGTTCCTCTTTATCCTTATGGTTTCCTTTGTTTTGAAACTGGGCACTTTCTGGAACAAGAGCTCCCAAAATCTTCCACCAGGACCGAGGCCTTTACCTCTCATTGGGAATCTCCACATCATGGATCTGAAGACGCCTTACAGAACCATGTTAAAGGTAAAGCTTCTGGTTCTTCCCATGCCAAAGCTAAAGGGTACTGGGGAAGCCCAGTCAGCAGAGTGGGATAATAATAATAATAATAATAATAATAATAATAATAATAATAATAATTTTTGTTCTTTTAAACCCTATAAATCTCATCTTCCCTTTGTGCGCTACAGAACCTCCTCTTAGCTTTTCCAATAAATAGTCATAGGACCAAGTTGCAATTTATAACCGGTAATTTGAACAAGATGTCTGGTGTCAAATCATGTTTGACTCTGTCTCCATTTTCAAGGATGCAAAAGTGCCGGTGCAAACCTTGCCTAGGCCAACGTCCTCCTTCAGCCTATGTTTCTAGATTTGAGAGGTGCCATTAAAGGTATAATCACATTCATCCTTATAACTGACTATTCTGTTCTGGTTTTCTTTTTTTCTTTTTTTAAATGATATTTATTAAGGTTTCAAAAGAAGGATACATAAATAAGAAAGAGAAAAATAGAAAAAAGAAAAATACAAAATACAAAAAAAAACAATTAAAAACAATTCCATCTTTTCATCACTTCTCTTACATTTACTTGTTTTCCAGACCTCCTCATACCTCCCTTTTTTGTATTCCAGTTCAATTTATTAGTCCAGCAATTCCTTTCCCTCCTTTTTAATCCTGATCTTTAATCTTAATATATTATAGCATTAGGTTTTTACGTATTGAAAATCCAATTTTTCCATATTCTTTTATACCATTACAGCTAGAAACCACTTGACTTCAATCCAACATCATTCTATCATTCATTAATTTTACAATATTTCTGTAAATAGTCTTTAAATTTCTTCCAATCTTCTTCCACCGACTCTTCTCCCTGGTCTCGGATTCTGCCAGTCATTTCCGCCAATTCCATGTAGTCCATCATTTTCATCTGCCATTCCTCCAGTGTGGGTAGATCTTGTGTCTTCCAATGCTTTGCAATAAGTATTCTTGCTGCTGTTGTAGCATACATAAAGAAAGTTCTGTCCTTCTTTGGCACCAATTGGCCGACAATGCCCAGAAGAAAGGCCTCTGGTTTCTTCAGAAAGGTATATTTAAATACCTTTTTTATTTCATTATAAATCATCTCCCAGAAAACCTTAATCCTTGGGCACGTCCACCAAAGGTGAAAGAATGTACCTTCAGTTTCTTTACATTTCCAACATTTATTATCAGGCAAATGGTAGATTTTTGCAAGCTTGACTGGGGTTATGTACCACCTGTATATCATTTTCATAATATTCTCTCTTAGGGCATTACATGCCGTAAACTTCATACCTGTGGTCCACAACTGTTCCCAGTCAGCCATCATTATGTTATGTCCAACGTCTTGTGCCCATTTAATCATAGCAGATTTCACCGTTTCATCCTGAGTATTCCATTTCAACAGCAAGTTATACATCTTTGACAAAATCTTAGTTTTGGGTTCTAACAATTCTGTTTCTAATTTTGATTTTTCCACCTGGAAGCCGATTTTCTTGTCCAAATTGTATGCCTCCATTATCTGATAATAATGAAGCCAGTCTCGCACTTTGTTTTTTAATTTTTCAAAACTCTGCAGTTTCAATCTATCTCCATCTTGTTCCAAAATTTCCCAATATTTTGGCCATTTGACCTCCATATTGAGCCTTTTCAGAGCTTTCGCTTCCATCGGTGACAGCCACCTTGGGGTTTTATTTTCCAATAATCCTTATATCTTATCCAGACATTAAACAATGCTTTCCTGACAATATGGTTTTTAAATGCTTTATGTGCTTTGACCTTATCATACCACAGATATGCATGCCATCCAAATACATTGTTAAAGCCTTCTAGATCCAAAATGTCATATTCTGTTCTGGTTTTCTGAGCATTCCTAGGAAATATTTGTGCTGCTGCAACTGAATAACAATAATAAGTTAATAATAATTTATTATTTATACCCCGTCCATCTGTCTGGGTATCCCCGGCCACTCTGGGCGGCTCCCAACAGATTAAAAACACGATAAAGCATCAAACATTGAAAACTTCCCTTAAAAGGACTGCCTTCAGGTGTGTCTTCTAAAAGTCAGATAGTTGTTTATTTCCTTGACATCTGATGGGAGGGTGTTCCACAGGGCAGGTGCCACTACCGAGAACACCCTCTGTATGTTTCCCTGTAACCTCATTTCTCACAGTGAGGGAACTGCCAGAAGTCCCTCGGCCCTGGACCTTGGACGATGGGGGTGGAGACATTTCTTTAGGTATACTGGGCTGAGGACGTTTAGCGCTTTACAGGTCAGCACCAACACTTTGAATTGTGCTCAGAAACGTACTGGGAAGCCAATCTAGGTCTTTCAGAACTGGTGTTATATGGTCTTACAGTCACCAGTCTAGCTGCTACATTCTGGATCAGTTGCAGTTTCTGGGTCACCTTCAAAAGTCGCCCCACGTACAGCGTGCTGCAGTAGTCAAAGCGGGAGATAATCAGAGCATGCACCACTCTGGTGAGACAGTCTGCCGGCAGGTAGGGTCTCAGCCTGCGTACCAGATGGAGCTGGTAGATAGCTGCCCTGGACACAGAATTGACTTGTGAGTCCAAAATGACTCCCATGCTGCACACCTGGTCCTTGAGGGCCACAGCTGCCCCATTCAGGACCAGAGACTCCCCCACACCTGCCTGCCCCCTGTCCCCCCAAAACAGTACTTCTGTCTTGTCAGGATTCAACCTCAACCTCAATCTGTCAGCTGCCATCCAACCACCTCCCAACATTCACACAGGACCTTCAACGCTTTCACTGGTTCTGATTTAAAAGAGAGGTAGAGCAGGTTATCATCCACATACTGATGAACACGCAGCCCAAACCCCCTGAAGAGCCCTCACAGAGGCTTCATATAGATGTTAAAAAGCATGGGGGAGAGGACAGAACTCTTTGGTGAGAGGTGAGAGCCCAGGGGTCTGAACACTTATCCCCAAACACCACTTTCTGGACACAGTCCAGGAGGAAGGAGCAAAACCACTGCATAACAGTGCCCACAGCTCCCAGCCCCTCTAGATGGTCCAGAAGGATGTTATGGTCGATGGTATCAAAAGCTGCTGAGAGATCCAGCAGAACTAGGAAACAGCTTTCACCTTTGTCCTTAGCCTGCCGGAGGTATTAATCAGCACGACCACGGCAGTTTCAGTCCCATGATGAGGCCAGAATCCCAATTGGAAGGGATCCAAATGGTCCACATCCTCCAGGCGTGCTTGGAGCTGTTCAGCAACCACCTTGCCCAAGAATGGAAGATTTGAGACTGAGTGATAGTTGGCCATATTGGCTGGGTTCAAATATTTATTTTTTAATAAGCAGTTTTATAACCAGCATTTTCAGTGGGTTTGGGAAGGCTACTTAACAGAGGGTAGCATTCCCCACCCCACAGAGCTTTTATGAGCCAGGATGGGCAAGGATGAAGGAGACAGGTGGTCAGTTTCACTCATCCAAGCAGCCTCAGAGGTTGTTGTTGTTGTTGTTGTTGTTGTTTAGTCGTTTAGTCGTGTCCGCCTCTTCGTGGCCCCCTGGACCAGAGCACGCCAGGTACCCCTATCTTCCACTGCCTCCCACAGTTTGGTCAAACTCATGTTTGTGGCTTCAAGAACACTGTCCAACCATCTCGTCCTCTGTCGTCCCCTTCTCCTTGTGCCCTCAATCTTTCCCAACATCAGGGTCTTTTCCAGGGAGTCTTCTCTTCTCATGAGGTGGCCAAAGTATTGGAGCCTCAGCCTCATGATCTGTCCTTCCAGTGACCACTCAGGGCTGATTTCTTTAAGAATGGATGCGTTTGATCTTCTTGCAGTCCATGGGACTCTCAAGAGTTTCCTCCAGCACCATAATTCAAAAGCATCAATTCTTCGGCGATCAGCCTTCTTTATGGTCCAGCTCTCACTTCCATACATCACTACTAGGAAAACCATGGCTTTAACTATACGGACCTTTGTTGGCAAGGTGATGTCTCTGCTTTTTAAGATGCTGTCTAGGTTTGCCATCGCCTTTCTCCCAAGGAGCAGGCGTCTTTTAATTTCGTGACTGCTGTCACCATGTGCAGTGATCATGGAGCCCAAGAAAGTAAAATCTCTCACTGCCTCCATTTCTTCCCCTTCTATTTGCCAGGAGGTGATGAACCCAGTGGCCATGATCTTCGTTTTTTTGATGTTGAGCTTCAGACCATATTTTGTGCTCTCCTCTTTCACCCTCATTAAAAGGTTCTTTAATTCCTCTTCACTTTCTGCCATCAAGGTTGTATCATCTGCATATCTGAGGTTGTTGATATTTCTTCCGGCAATCTTAATTCCGGCTTGGGATTCATACAGCCCAGCCTTTGCATGATGAATTCTGCATATAAGTTAAATAAGCAGGGAGACAATATACAGCCTTGCCGTACTCCTTTCCCAATTTTGAACCAATCAGTTGTTCCATATCCAGTTCTAACTGTAGCTTCTTGTCCCACATAGAGATTTCTCAGGAGACAGATGAGGTGATCAGGCACTCCCATTTCTTTAAGAACTTGCCATAGTTTGCTGTGGTCGACACAGTCAAAGGCTTTTGCATAGTCAATGAAGCAGAAGTAGATGTCTTTCTGGAACTCTCTAGCTTTCTCCATAATCCAACGCATGTTTGCAATTTGGTCTCTGGTTCCTCTGCCCCTTCGAAATCCAGCTTGCTTTCTCGGTCCACATACTGCTTAAGCCTGCCTTGTAGAATTTTAAGCATAACCTTGCTAGCGTTTGAAATGAGTGCAATTGTGCAGTAGTTGGAGCATTCTTTGGCACTGCCCTTCTTTGGGATTGGGATGTAGACTGATCTTCTCCAATCCTCTGGCCACTGCTGAGTTTTCCAAATTTGCTGGCATATTGAGTGTAGCACCTTAACAGCATCATCTTTTAAAATTTTAAATAGTTCAGCTGGAATATCATCATTTCCACTGGCCTTGTTATTAGCAGTGTTTTCTAAGGCCCATTTGACTTCACTCTCCAGGATGTCTGGCTCAAGGTCAGCAACCACACTACCTGGGGTATACGAGACATCCATTTCTTTCTGGTATAGTTCCTCTGTGTATTCTTGCCACCTCTTCTTGATGTCTTCTGCTTCTGTTAGGTCCTTTCCACTTTGGTCTTTTATTATGGTAATCTTTGTACGAAATGTTCCTTTCATATCTCCAATTTTCTTGAACAGATCTCTGGTTTTCCCTATTCTATTGTTTTCCTCTATTTCTTTGCATTGCTCGTTTAAGAAGGCCTTCTTGTCTCTCCTTGCTATTTTTTGGAAATCTGCATTCAATTTCCTGGATCTTTCACTATCTCCCTTGCATTTTGCTTGCCTTCTCTCCCCCGCTATTTGTAAGGCCTCGTTGGACAGCCACTTTGCTTTCTTGCATTTCCTTTTCGTTGGGATGGTTTTAGTTGCTGCCTCCTGTATAATGTTACGAGCCTCCATCCATAGTTCTTCAGGCACTCTGTCCACCAAATCTAAATCCTTAAACCTGTTCCTCACTTCCACTGTGTATTCATAAGGGATTTGACTTAGATTGTATCTTACCGGCCCAGTGGTTTTTCCTACTTTCTTCAGTTTAAGCTTGAATTTTGCTATAAGAAGCTGATGATCTGAGCCACAGTCAGCTCCAGGTCTTGTTTTTGCTGACTGTATAGAGCTTCTCCATCTTTGGCTGCAGAGAATATAATCAATCTGATTTCGATGCTGCTCATCTGGTGATGTCCATGTGTAGAGTCGTCTCTTGTGTTGGAAAAGAGTGTTTGTGATGACCAGCTTGTTCTCTTGGCAGAACTCTATTAGCCTTTGCCCTGCTTCGTTTTGAACTCCAAGGCCAAACTTGCCAGTTGTTCCTTTTATCTCTTGACTCCCTACTTTAGCATTCCAATCCCCTATAATGAGAAGAACATCCTTCTTTGGTGTCATTTCTATAAGGTGTTGTAAGTCTTCATAGAATTGCTCAATTTCAGTTTCTTCAGCACCAGTAGTTGGTGCATAAACTTGGATTACTGTGATGTTAAAAGGTCTGCCTTGGATTCGTATTGAGATCATTCTATCATTTTTGAGATTGCATCCCAGTACAGCTTTCGCCACTCTTTTGTTGACTATGAGAGCCACTCCATTTCTTTTACGGGATTCTTGCCCACAGTAATAGATATGATGGTCATCCGAACTGAATTCGCTCATTCCCGTCCATTTTAGTTCACTGATGCCCAGGATGTCAATATTTATTCTTGCCATCTCATTTTTGACCACATCCAACTTACCCAGGTTCATGGTTCTTACATTCCAGGTTCCTATGCAATATTTTCTTTAAAGCATTGGACTTTCCTTTCGCTTCCAGGCATATCCACAACTGAGAGTCCTTTTGACTTTGGCCCAGCCGCTTCATCAGCTCTGAATCTACTTGTACTTGTCCTCCGCTCTTCCTCAGTAGCATGTTGGACGCCTTCCGACCTGAGGGGCTCATCTTCCAGCGTCATAACTTTCATATGCCTGTTGTCTTTGTCCATGGAGTTTTCTTGGCAGGGATACAGTAGTGGCTTGCCGGTTCCTGCTCCAGGTGGATCACGTTTGGTCAAAACTCTCCACTATGACCTGTCCATCTTGGGTGGCCCTGCACGGCACAGCTCATAGCTTCTCAGCCTCAGAGGTAACACATTGGAATTCCAGAAATCCAGCACTCTCCCGCCCCGGGCCTGCTCCCACGGTGGAGTCTACTGAACTGGATGAAAGGGCTGAGCTGCTGTATCATGAGTCCAGCAACTGTTGCTGCTACAGCTATTAGTAGCAAACGTCTTGAAGAGCATTGAGGCATAGACAATGCTCTTTTAATTTATCATTATGTTATTTGGATTCTGTTTTGCATGGTGATTTGCAAAGATACAAAAAGGGAATTCATTCCACAAAATTACTATTCTTAAATCATATGTTTTCAGCTCGGTCCACGGCACAATGACATGGAAGTAATTTCTACCAACTTCTATAGTAGTTAGGATTTTGGATTTGATATCCTGCTTTATCATTACGCTAAGGAGTTTCAAAGAGGCTCACAATCTCCTTTCCCCTCCTTCCCCACAACAAACACTCTGTGAGGTGAGTGAGGCTGAGAGACTTCAGAGAAGTATGACTAGCCCAATAGTAGTTATTGGGGGAAAACTGATACTAGTCTAATGGTCAAACTTTGCTACTAGATTCTGTGGAATGGCCTTTTCTCTTAGGTAAATGTGCAAGCTAATGCAGTCTTGGTTCTGTCAGAGATGATTTACATTAATATATTCTTTGGGTATACCAGAACTCTCTTTCTCACTTTTTCTTCTGTTGAATTCCAGTTGTCAAAGCAATATGGCCCTGTCTTCAGCATCCAAATGGGACCCCAGAAAACTGTGGTGTTGACAGGATATGAGACAGTAAAGGAGGCTCTGGTTAATCAGGCGGACGCGTTTGCAGACAGGCCCATCGTCCCAATGTTTCAAGAGTTTGGACAAGGCTTTGGTGAGGCACTTCCCTTTCTACTGGAACTGGTAATGCTTGCAAACACAAACAGGTCCTGCCAGGTGAACACAATCAATTCCCAAGAAATGGTTTGTAAGATGAGCTTTGCAAAGCAAGTCAACAACATCCATTGTTTCCTGTGAGGGAAACCTTGTGAATTTTTCAACCAACCTCAGTGCCTTTGACATTGACAGAGTATCTGCAGGCATTAGGCTGAGAATGTGTCACAAAAAGTGTCACCTGTGGATTTCTGCAGATCAAGCTAAAATGTTAAAAAGAGTAGACCAGGCCAACTTTTTTGCTCTTGACTTTCAGTGGCTCAGTGGGGCTCTGTTGAAGAAACAAAAATGGAGACCAGTTAAAGCAAACCTTTCCCATTCCCGCTTTCTTCCCAGCAGTCATATTGTAGAGCTGGGGGAGAATGGGGCAGGAGAATGTAATAGTTGTCACATCTGAATTGTGAATAATTGTCACATGGAAAAGTAATGCCACACACCAAGGGGAAACTGACCATTTTCTGGCCCAGCCTATACAGAGAGGAAAAATGAAGGAGGCATAATGTCTGCCCATGGAATACAAATAACAAGCTGAGTTCTGCTGTGACGCCTGACATGTACAAATCACCCTCTACTCTACCCTACACTTTGTTCAATGGCCATGCAAACATGAAACCTTTCTTCCTGTCTCTTCAGGTTTAACTCTGTCTAATGGTGAAAACTGGAAAGTAATGCGGCGGTTTGCTTTAAGCACATTGCGGGACTATGGAATGGGAAAGAAGACCATAGAGGACAGAATTCTTGAGGAATGCAGTGTCCTGATAAAGAAATTTGAATCTTACGAAGGTGGGTTGCTGTTTTCCTCTGGTGCATAGCTACACTACAGTTGTTTAAAGGTGCTAAGACTATTGTGTTACATATTCCTAACTTCCAGAAGCACAGATCCCAGGGTTCCTAACTATTGTTCTGTCCCTGTAATGTGCAGATTGTACTGCAATAACTCCTGTGACTTCCAAGCAGGTCTTAGCCCAGCTATGGCCACATCCAGCAGCACTTAGTATCAGTTTCTTTTATAAATGAGGTCTACACATAGGGAAGCTGCCAGTGGGGACTTAAGACAACATGAACAGACTTAAAAACAATGCCCTTTCCATACTTTGAATTTCTGTGGGGATGTTCAGGGAGGCAGGAGGGGATATATTGTTTAATTATATCCTCCCTAACTTGTGTTAGCAAGTTCTGTATCTTAGCAGATATAAACGCATAGCGGTTTGCTTGTTGCAGGCTTCTCTGAGCTTCTCTATATAAGTTTCCTGGTAAGATCCCTTCTTTTCCCTCTTAAAAAGAATAGACACGACAATCTTATTAAAGTCAATATAAAAGTAGTTTACTCACATTCATTCAGTTCATGGATGGATGGATCCCTCAAGGCAGACTTAGGTTACAAAAGTATATATACATGTGGAACTATCCCATAAGGGAGTTTGTCCCAAGTGACTGCAGACAGGCAGTCACTTCTACTAACACGTAGAAAAATGGAGGAGGAGAAGGAGGAGGAGAAGCAGCAGCAGCAGCAGCAAAGAAGGAGGTGTGCTCCCATAACCCAGATTAGGCCACACCCACATCTAGTCACATGCAGAGGAAGTTTGTCCCACAGGAAGTTTTCTCCTGGCTGGTAGAAAGCATCCACTAGCATGTCCATTCTAGGAACGTTGTACTCGACTCCTGTGTGTTTTACATCCCACATTTTAAAAAGAATATTTCTGCTTAACTGTCATATTTATGTATAGGAAGCCCATTTGAGACCACCACAATTATGAATGCAGCTGTTGCCAATATTATAGTGGCCATACTACTAGACAAGCGATTTGATTATGAAGATTCCACATACATAAGGCTTCTGAAGTTGGTCGATGAAAATACCCGGCTCGTTGGAAGCTCTTCAGTCCTGGTAATCTATTCTTTTCCAATAAAACAAACAGTTGATTGTAATGACATTGTATGCAAAGTGGGCAGGGCAACCTGTTTATTGTATATTGTTCAGGATTCACTACAAAACACAGAATGATATCTTGAGAAACCAGGTGGTGATTCGAAATATTTAGAAAACTCACATGGCACAGTCATCCCATAACTATAATAAAGTCTCTTTTGCGCACACCCTTTCTTGTCTCACTGCCATCGGGACTCCAAGGACAAGGAAGAACAAGTGATAGTTGGTTCCATGATGGCTCAGAAGGGGCCTCCAAGGGCAGATCTCCCTCTCTGAAGGTGGACCTCCAGAGGAGACCCTTCATAGCCTATTATTCCGGGGTTGCACATAAATTACACTTTCCTGAGGTAGCCCTAACCCCATTCCAAATGGCATTCAAGAGTTTTGTTGGTATTTGGGCAACCATGCTTTGAGAGACGCAGTTGAGAGAACTATACTGAGCTTTCCTAATGTCTCTTTCTTTTTTCACATTTTTATCCTTTCAGCTGTATAACATGTTTCCTGCTCTTGGTTTTCTTCTGGGGGCTCGTAAGACTATAATTCAAAACAGAGATGAGTTTTTTGCCTTCATAAATGCCACCTTCATAAAACACCTCAGAGATCTGGATGAAAATGACCAGAGGAGCTTTATTGACTCATTTCTTATCCGACAGCAAGAGGTAATGGAGTCTTTTAAGTTGGCCCAGAATAAGCGTTGACATTTTCAATTCATTTTTTAAGGGCATATTTGCAAGTGAATGCATAAGGAGTAGTCTTATTGCAGAAGGGACCAACCTGGCATACTTCCTATCATTTCCCAATAGTCAGCCATTGTTAATGTCTTACAGAAGTTGCCTCTGCAGGGGCAAAGGTTGCGTGCTCAACAGCATTTCTGGGGTAAATCCCTGATCAAGAAAACATGACAGTTGGGGTGTATGAGTTTTCAGGGGTGGAATTATGGCAGATAGACCATGGCTTATGAGAGGTAATGGTTGCCTGACTCCCTTTTGATACAAGGGGGATGGGAAAATGCCTCATGTGCTCAGAAGAAGGCGTTCTTCACACTGGAGGAGATAGGAAACTTTGTGGGTGGAGAGGCATCTCGGAGCAAGGAAAAAACATTGGCCCATGCACTGCGCTTGTTGTTGTTGGTGGTGGTGGTGGTGGTGTTTAGTCGTTTAGTCGTGTCCGACTCTCTGTGACCCCATGGACCAGAGCACGCCAGGCACTCCTGTCTTCCACTGCCTCCCGCAGTTTGGTCAAACTCATGTTCGTAGCTTCGAGAACACTGTCCAACCATCTCGTCCTCTGTCGTCCCCTTCTCCTTGCGCCCTCCATCTTTCCCAACATCAGGGTCTTTTCCAGGGAGTCTTCTCATGATGTGGCCAAAGTATTGGAACCTCAGCTTCACGAACTGTCCTTCTAGTGAGCACTCAGGGCTGATTTCCTTAAGAATGGATAGGTTTGATCTTCTTGAAGTCCATGGGACTCTCAAGAGTCTCCTCCATCACCATAAATCAAAAGCATCAATTCTACGGCCATCAGCCTTCTTTATGGTCCAGCTCTCACTTCCATACATCACTAATGGTGATAGCTTTAACTATACAGTGGTACCTTGGGTTACAGACACTTCAGGTTTCAGACGCTCAGGTTACAGACTCTGCTAACCCAGTAATAGTACCTCGGGTTAAGAACTATTGGTGTTACTCTTCCTGTTGGAAAGTGTGGCAGAAGTGAGTTGCAATCTCCAAAATATGGAGGGCACCACATTGTCTATCTCAGTTTAATGAAACATTTCCAGATGCATATGTGGTATTTCAGTGTTATTTTTCCTTTTTAGACTATGAGTAAATACATTAAAGATGTTCAACTGAGAACCATATATGTCAGCAGAAAACAACACTTTATGTTAACCTTGATTTCAGATCTCCACAAGTGTTTGCCAGAAATGCTGCCTTCCATGTATGCAGTCATATAATACTCTTGCAGGTTAAGCACTGGCTGAGCAGTTAAGCACCACGATTAGCATCAGAGAAGAAGGAGCTGGATTGCCAAGCCTCCCCAACCTCCTCACTTAGCTGGTAGATGGAGAGCAACAGCTGTGTCTATTGAGAAACTAGATGTTTTGGAGTGTTGATGCTGAGCCCCTCCATCTTAGGCTCGGGTTGTATACATGTGTAAATAAACCCCATATTATCATGATGGCATAGTCTGGAAGACCTGGAATCTCTCACTACTTAGTGACTGGAGTGATGTGCAATGATACTTTGGATCATTGGGTCCTGTGAGGTTTTCATCTTTATCTTTGCACTTGAAATTTTCTCACTCCATTCGTTTTAACCAGTTCATACTCTTTGCAACCCAGGAGGAGGAGAAGAACAAGACGAATGCATATTTCCACAACGAAAACTTAAAAACTGTTGTGGCCGACTTATTTGGTGCTGGCACGGAGACAACTTCTACCACACTGCGCTGGGGACTGTTACTAATGATGAAATATCCTGAAATTCAGAGTGAGTGCTTTTCATTGGCTTGGCACCCATTAATCTGAGATATCTTAATTCCAGTTATATGTAACTATTAGAAAGTCTGTGTGTGTGTGTGTGTGTGTGTGTGTGTGTCACAACAATTATTCAATCCTAAATTTAACATTTCAATCTGGACTCCCTTCTCCCTTTCTGTGGTTTTTACATTTCATTTCATCTTCCTGCAATACTCCAAATTATCTCAAAATATTCATTTAGATATATATTTCCGTATATATCCCATATGTATATTGAAACAGAAGGTTTTTACATTAATCCTCCCAATGTCTTAGTATGTTTACAGTTTGTTTGTAAATACTCTATAAACCATTTCCATTCATTTTATTCCTTTTTAGGTAGTTCCGATTCCAAAATTCCCGAAAGTAAAGCTAATGGTTTTTTAAACATCTTAAACATCTTTTTCAGTTCATTATATATCATTTCCCAGTAAGCTTTAACTTTATTAGTAGAGCACCACATATGAAAAAGTCTACCTTCTTTGTCTTTACATTTCCAGCACATATTCAGTTTGGGTTTATACATTTTAGCCAATCTATTAGGTGTTAGGTCCCATCTATATGGGACGCAGGTGGTGCTGTGGGTTAAACCACAGAGCCTAGGGCTTGCCGATCAGAAAGTCGGCGGTTTGAATCCCCACAATGGGGTAAACTCCCGTTGTTCGGTCCCTGCTCCTGCCAACCTAGCAGTTTGAAAGCACGTCAAATTGCAAGTAGATAAATCGGTACCGCTCCGGTGGGAAGGTAAACGGCGTTTCCGTGCACTGCTCTGGTTTGCCAGAAGCGGCTTAGTCATGCTGGCCACATGACCCGGAAGCTGTACACCAGCTCCCTTGGCCAATAAAGCGAGATAAGCACCACAACCCCAGAGTCGTCCCCGACTGGAACTAATGGTCAGGGGTCCCTTTACCTTTACCTTTACCATCTATATAACATTTTCATATAGTTTTGATCTTAAACTATAAAATGCTCCAAATTTTATATCCACCTTTGATAAACTTTCCCATACATCCGTTTTTATATTATTAACAATATCTATTGCCCAGTGTATCCTTGAAGATTTCACTTGTTCATCCTTTGTCTCCCATTCCAATAACATCTTATACATTTTAGATATCACTTTAACATTACAGTTTAATAGGTCTCTTTCCAGTTGTGATGCTTGTTTCCCAACCCCCCGCTTCATATCCTTTTTAAATACTTCATTCAAATGATGACATTGTAACCATGTTGTTAACTTCTCTGATAAAACCTTCAATTATTTTACTTTAAAATTCTCCAAAGGTGAAAGTCATAGTGGTGTTTTGGTCTCCAACAGGTTTCTGTTTTTAGTGTTTCTGTTTTAAATATTTAAAACACTTTCCCACTCTATTTCTTGGTTTATTATCATTGAATATTGCATTTGCAACATCTTGACATCCTGTTTCACTATCTCTTTTCAAGGGAAATTTATTGTTTCCCTTTCCCTTTTATTTCTGGTAAAATTTCTTGGTTTTTTCTGCTCTCTTATATTTGTTTGGTATGCGCTTTGCTATGTAAAAAAAAACCACCCCTATATTACCACTTTACTCACACCCCATACCACCTTTAAATCTATCTCTTGGTTTAAATTAATTTCAAAATAATCCTTTAAATTTTTTTGCCCCCTTTTCTAATATTTCTTGATTTAATAAATTTTATAATTTACTAATTTTTCCTTTAGTCTCCATCTCATCGGGAAACTTGTCCCTGTTCTTAATTCCACTATTTTAGAGTTGTGGTCTTATAATGTTCTTGATAGAATTTCCACCCTCTTTACCGTAGTATAAAAATCTTTAGAAGTCCATACAGGGGTTTTTCCAGCTTGCAGAATGATTCGCAGTCGAATAAAATGTACTGTGGGTGTTTTTCTCTCCAAATGTCAATTAAACTTAAATTGTCAGTCATCCTAAAAAAGGCATTCAGTAGCTTGCCTTCTTTTGTTTCATTTTTTCTTATACTTATACTCCTGTACCAATCTAGGGAGGCTACACCATTCATATCACCCATCAAAATCACCTTTTCATTCAAATGTTCAAATAATATTTCTTCTAGCCCCTAATGAAAATCTGGTGTATTTTCCCATTATCAATATTCTTCCTTGTTCATCTTTGAATAATTGTTTTGGGTCCAAATCTGGTTTTATACACATTACAACTCCTCTCTTTTTTGTTATATCAGAAGGTACAAAGTGTTGGGATACTGCCAGGGAGACAAAAGCCATCATGGTCCCCAAGCTGCTGCCTCCGGACGTCCATCGATCTCCCGTAGCTACAGTATCAGTCAATTAGCGACACGAAGCCTCGGAAATAGCTTTCCACATTCCAGAGCTCGTGCACGCTCTATCAGCAGAGTTCGCACAACGAAAGATGCACGCAGGAGAGCATATTTACAACTTTATTTAGCGTTGTTCAGAACAAAGAAAAAAACATGACTGCCTGCTTCGATGTCTCAGGCACAGAGAGAGAAACGAAAGCAATAGACAAACAGAAACTTCCTGTGAGCAGGAAATACGTAGGCTGTGACTCACAACAGCCTGTCCCCTTTTTAAGGTGGAACGGAAATATCCAAAGTTCTTTCCCAACCTTTTATTTAAGTTTTATTTATCCAAGTTTAACTTCTTTACAACATGTTCAATTTTTTCCCCTTTAGTCTTCTTATTTAGCCTATTTACATTCCAAGTTAGAATTTTCAAAGCCATCTTGTTCCATATTTATTTCTCTTTCACCTCCACCTCTGTTGAATCTTCCTCTTCCTGTCCAGCTTTCTGTCCAAATGCTCTTTCTCCAAATAACTTTTCCCCATATTTTCTCCAAAATTTGTCTTGCCTTTATATGTAAAAGATACCACCTCAAGATATTCCCAGCAGTGATATTTCAATAATCATCCTGGATGAATTTCTCTCCATCAGTATATCAGGTTATTGGCTAAAATGTTTGTTTGTCCTGTTTTCAAATACCTTGGCCTAGAGATTAAATTTGCAAGCCTAGGGAATTGGAGAACCAATTTATGGCAGTTTTATGCTTCAAGTACTAATATCTTAAGACATCAAGGTCAAGGAGATAATCTCAGTAGAAAAATTAATGCTTTTCTTTTAATTTCCTCCAGTAAAGGTCCAAGAAGAAATTGCAAAGGTTGTTGGATCTTCTCAGCCAAGGATTGAACACCGAACAAAAATGCCTTATACAGATGCCGTGGTCCATGAGATCCAGAGATTTGCTGATATTGTCCCAACCAACCTGCCACATGCCACGACTACAGATGTTACCCTTAATGGCTACTTCATTCCAAAGGTGATCCTTTTCATTGAACTGCTGCCTACTAGTTACAATATATTTTAAGGCTTTCCTGGGAGTAAGCCCCGTTGACTTCAGTGTGGGTGACATCTGAGCAGACTTGTATAGGATTGCACTGCAAGCATGCAATCTACCCTTCGGAAGCTGTCGGGCATCAGCTTCAACCCATTAAACAGATATCAATGGGAAGGAGAACAAGGTTGGAAAACAAACCATTTCTGGTGGGAGATCATGACTTATATGTTAAAGCTTTTCAAACTAAAGACATTTCTCATATGAATTCAAATCTCATTTCTACAGCACTCAATATTTATTGGACTAGAGGCATATGCTTTATTTTAAAATAACTCTCGCTTTGCTTTTGCAGGGGACTCATATCATACCGTTGCTGTCTTCTGTGCTGCATGATGAATCTCAATGGGAGAAACCACATAAATTCTATCCTGAGCATTTTCTTAATTCTGATGGAAAATTCATAAAGAGAGATGCTTTCATGCCTTTCTCTGCAGGTAACTTTTTTTTTGTTTGTTTGTTTTTTTTGCTTTTGTGTGTATCTGCATAGTGTGTGCTTAGTCAATGGGATTTTGACATACCTGGAATGTAGAATACTGTGCAAAGGTAAGGATCACATCAGTTGCTGTGGCCATTTCTGCCAGCAGATCTGGCCACCATTTGGGTGTGGCCCCTGCAATGTTGCTCACCAGGGAATGTGGCCCTCAGGGTGAAAAAGATTCCCCTTCCCCCCATTTTTCAGCATTGCAGGATGGCTCGTATTTGGAGTTCATAATTCTTTTAAGATGGATACCATTAGCTGTTATTTTATTGCTGCAATTTAATCTGCTTTAAACTACAGTGGTACCTCAGTTTATGAACTTAATCCGTTTCAGAAGTCCATTCTTAAACCGAAACCGTTCTTAAACCGAGGTGCGCTTTCACTAATGAGGCCTCCTGCCACTGGTGCCTTTCCACCGCTCAGATTCCGTTCTTAGACTGAGGTAACATTTGCAAACCGGGACACTACTTCCAAATCGTTCGTAAACAGGGTTGTTCTTAAACCGAGGTACCACTGTATTTGGGATGTTTTTAAGCAACTGATAAACCTGGTTTCTCTGCCCCCTGTGATTCGTTACAGGTCGGAGAGCATGTGTAGGTGAGACTCTTGCCAAAATGGAGCTCTTCCTCTTCTTCACAAGTCTCCTGCAGAGATTCACCTTCCAGCCACCCCCTGGAACATCTCAAGAAGACCTGGACCTTACTCCTGCTGTTGGGCTTACAACACCTCCCATGCCCTACCAACTCTGCGCTCTGCCATGTTTCTAAGACTCACAAGCTCCTGGATTGCTTCGTCAGGAACTCGTCCTACACTCGAGTAGGACCCTGGTAGAGTCACATGCCTGACTGGCATATTCTTTCCCTCCTGGTCGTTCGTTGGGGAGCTTCAAAAGCTTTCCTCAGCCTGAACATTACAGCGACCGATGCCAACAGACATCGGCACACTTAGGGATCCACAGAGTCTTCACAGCTTGCGTAACAGACCTCAGCAACTCAGCATTTTGGCTAATCTACTTTATTTACATATAAACACACACGGAGCACTGCAACATGGCTCCCTCTCTCTCTAGCATCAGACAGCAAAGAGAAAGAGCAAAGGACAATAGTCCCACTTCACAAAAGAAAGTAACACAAACATCCTGTCTCCGTCACTTCCCGCTTTGTGGAGTGAAAACATACACTGTCATGTGAAAGACAACAATCCCATGACTGCAATCACGGAGCAGGAATTCTAACATGCTTATCCTACCTGTTTTTGCAATGCAAGCCTTTTTTAAAACACCCCTGTTCAACAAGGGTATTTGGGTTGAGTAGCCTACAGGTAGAATTGATCTGTGCTTTGTCACAAACATGAAGTGTTCCCCTTTACCTGCCATACTGCTGAATCCCATGAAACTAGCATTGGAGCATCTCTTACTTAAAACCTGGCCCGAGTTCTTATGACACTTGGGGCATAGAGATCAACCAACAAAGCTGGTTTCATGTATTGCCATTTTAACATATACCTTCAAAGATCTTGAAGCATCATATTCCCAGGTGGATGTGCAGTGAATTGTGACCAAGACGATAAAGGGTCTGGAAACCAAGCCTTATGAGGAATGGTTGAGGAAGTTGGGTATGTTAACTTCTGTGGCTCCAATGTATTCGGATACTGAACTGTATTTGTTGATGTTAGGCAATGGCTTTGTTTCCTCCTGGTTCTTTAAAAACTCTGCCATAATAGATGCGTCAACTGGGTTTGCTTCTGGCATCTCTATGCTGTCAATTAGTTCAGTGACTTTCTGCTTCTGGCTTAGAATAAAACAACCATCTTTTCTCTGTATTTGGACTCCTAGATAGTACAGTGGTACCTTGGTTTATGAACTTAATCCATTCCGGAAGTCAGTTCTTAAACCAAAGCATTCTTAAACCAAGGCGTGCTTTCCCATAGCAGCGGGGGACTCAATTTACAAATGGAACACACTCAACAGGAAGTGGAAAATGTCCTGCTTCCAAGGCAAAGCTCACAAACCAAAACACCTACTTCTGGGTTTGCAGTGTTCTTAATCCAAGTTGTTCATAAACAAAGCCGTTCTTAAACCAAGATACCACTATAATGAACTTTCTCTGAGAGTCTGGGTAGCTTAAGGCTTCCCTCATCAACAGAATTCTGACTGGTTATATCAAAAATAAAAATGGGGGAAATGTGTCAAATTCAAAATCAAAATTTACATCTCAAAAAGATGAAAAACTCAAAACCTTCTCTGCCTAGCTACTGCTCTGGAAGAGGGAGCAAATTTCACATTGGAGTCAATGTAAGTCACCATGTGATCACCAGGAAATAGAAAAAATGTCCGCTTTGAATCTCTCTTCTCTCTTAAGAAAACCCAGCCACATCCACTAAAAAACTTTGAATTTTGTCTCTCCCCCCCTCCCCAAGGCCACCACCTCTTAGTCTTTATTTGTTTCTGTATATATATAATTTTATTTCCCATTTAATAATATACGTTCACATCATTACAATCCACTTTACGTCCCTGGCTCTTTAGAGCCTATCAACTTCCTTCCCTCCTGCCTCATGGCTTTCAAAATTAACCTTTACACCATTGTATTTTGTACGTTTTCCAATTCTAATTACACTCATTACAAAATAATTCAAAATTTAAATATAGAAAGGTAGAAAATTTCTCATTACAAGTCTTCACACACCCCTGCTAGTGATGTTAATTGCTTACAATAATCTTTCAGATACAGTCGGACCTTGTTTTGTGACCAGGATCTGTTCCGGAGCCCCGGCTGCTAGCCAAAAAGGAAGCAGGGCAAAGCGCCGCATCTGCGCTTCTGTGCATGCATGAAGTGCAATTTAGCGCTTCTGTGCATGCACGAGCGGCAAACCCAGAAGTAACCCATTCCAGTACTTCCAGGTTTGCCGCAGATGTTCGCCGGAATGGACGCTAGACGAGGCAGATATTCACGGAGGTATTACTGTATTGTATAAATTTATTCCAGCCCTTTTGAAATGAGAGGATGCACTGCTTAGTTAGTATCCTTCCTTGCTCACATTGCTGCATCTCATATGCTCTAATGTATACAAAGATATACCCTATTGCCATCATGTTAAACAGTTTTAGGATGGAAATGAATAAAAACTATGCTAAAAAGAAAAGTATGTGTGAGTGTTTCAATGGGAGAAAGTTCAGGAAATACTGGACACTTTCAAACTAAATGCAGTTGTCCCTAATTAAAGTTGAATAATTTCATCTGCAAATGATTTCACAATGCTGCTCTCTATTCCCAGGGTAACAAACAAACTAAGTTTACAGGTAATCCTGAGTGATGAGTTCGCTGCCTTCAAGAGCATTTGAATCTGTTCTGGAAAGCATTAGTTTCTGCAAGTAAGCACCACTCACTTAAATAAACATTAAACTGAAAGGCAAATCATCCAGTGTACAGCTCTGAATAGTTGTGGAGAAGAAAAAAATCGGAGGGATGGTTTAATGATTCACTAGAGACATTACATACCATTATATATGGGCTGCTCATTGCAGTTGGTAGACACAGTTGTTGACTGAATTGCACTGTGGCTTTCATTATAACCACTACCCCAAAAAAATTGCTTCCTGAAACAAAATGGATTGGACGGAGCCGATTCTAGTGTTTTTCCTCTTTATCCTTATGATTTCCTTTGTTTTGAAACTGGGCACTTTCTGGAACAAGAGCTCCCAAAAACTTCCACCAGGACCAAGGCCTTTACCTCTCATTGGGAATCTCCACAGCATGGATCTGAAGATGCCTTATAGAACCATGCTAAAGGTAAAGATTCCGGTTCTTCCCATGGCAAGGCTAAAGGGTACTGAGGCAGCCCAGTCAGAAGAGTGGGATATTATTATTATTATTATTATTACTACTGCAACATTGCATTTTGTTCTTTTACAACCTATAAATCTCATCTCCCCTTTGTGTGCTATAGAACCTCCTCTTATCTTTCCCAATAAATAGTCATAGGACCTAGTTGCAATTTATAACTTGTAATTTGAACAAGATGTCTGGGGTGTCTGGTGTCAAATCACGTTTGACCTTGCCTCCATTTTCAAGGATGCAAAAGTGCCGGTGCAAACCTTACCAGCAGCCAGACCTGCGGAGGAGGGCCCTTGCTTGCCCAATCCCAAAGCTCAGGGCATAAGCCATGCAAGTAGAGGTGCCCCCCTACAAAAGGGGGTGTGTCAAGTATTTGATCGATGTCTTGGCTAAGTCTGTCCCTGTTTTGTTACACTCTTGCATGCACCACATGTTTGTAACATGTAAACCCATTTTGGGATGCTTGTACTTATTTTACCAATAAAACTTTCAAGTCCAAGGAGAGAACTGCAAATGAAACAAAGAAAAAGAAAAATAAGCTTTGCAGAAAGATATTTATTTTAGATATGGCCACCTTCTAAATAAATAAAATCCAAGTTTGATTTTAGAAATAGGTATCTTCTTATGGAAAATGGTAACTAAAGAGAGGGGTTGGGGAAGGATACCACAGACCAGACCCACCTGTGAACTTTTAGCATTTTCTAATATGCTGCCGAGGTGATGCAAAGGATCAGTATATGTCTGCAGGTTTCTTTTCTGGCTCTGCCTTACTGTTTACAGCACCCTGGCATGCAGCCATTCATTCACAGCGAGTGTTTTTGTTTGCCTTAAGTCTGCAGATTATACATAATTACTGCCTTCTTATCTGGTATGTTGCTTGCCTTAATGTTTCCTAACTCTGTCCACATGAAGCTCAAGATAGGCTTGGAACTTCACTGGGGGAGATGGTTTATTGATGATGATGATGATGATGATTCAATTTATTTCCTGCCCTTTCTCCGAAGGCTACTTCATGGGCCAATTGATGGAGGTGAAAAACATGTGAATTTGTTGTTGATTGAGAAAGGGGATGCCAAGGTGTGAAAAATCATTAGTGTGCGCAGGTGCACTTATTTGTGTTGGTCCCTCCCCCCCCCAAGGCAACCCATATGGCTTTGGCAATCTTCACCATGCCTACTCAGAAGTAAATCCCTCTGAAACCAGTAAGGCTTACTCCCAGGTTAGTCAAGTGAGAATTTCAACCATAATCTGCTTCCTGTTGTGGAATGCATCGCTCTTTGTTCTTTTCACATGGAAAGAAGCTACTTGTCTTATTACCTGTAGATTTTATCAGTGCTCCTTTATTGAGCTTCTAGTCTCTTTGTCAAAGTGTACAGAACGGTCTGAATTTCACATCCCAGTTTTTACCACATTAAACCTCAGGGCTGGCCAGCCACATTTTGTCACTCGAAGCAAAACAGAAAATGAGCCCCAACACCTTCTCCTCCACCTTCTGACGCAACTCAAGGTGGCCTGGTTAAGCCCTGGTGCACTCATGGCAGTGGGGGGAGCAAAAAGAGCAGCTGCAGCCCCAACTCCCAAGTGGCCGTGAGCAGCATGCCCCTTGGAGGCCTTCAAGCTACAGAGACACAAAGGGGGAGAGTCGTGGTGGGTGGGTTTAGGCTCCTTGGATCTGCTGCACCTCTCCTCTGTTATGTGGCGAGGCCCCAGGGCCCCCAGTTCCCCTTAGATAATAAACACATGGACACAAATATTTTTAGTTAATGGGATAAATAAGGCCAGAACTTTATTGGTTACAGATGTGAGTGGTTTGGCTTAGGCATTGTGTGAAACCAGACTATATCCTGATTCCTGCACGTCCACAGGAAGTCTCTTAAGGGTCAACCACCAGTAGGGAGAGCCCTATGATATACATCAATTAAAAGCTCCCC